CGCCTCCAGGTGGACGAGCGCAGACCAGTTACTCTGGCTGCAGAATGAGCTGCCCAACTACCTGCAGATGCAAAAAGAGAAGAAATTATCAAGATTTTTCGAGGCGCTGTTTCCAAAGTGGTTCAATGACTTTCCAGAAGAGGTAGAGCTAAACAGCAGCGCACCTTGTGTTGAGAACACTGGTATTGATGAATGTGGTGGAGCTACTATTGACTCTATGAACGAAACAGTCCAGCCGGATCTTACAAACATATCTGAATCCGCCGAACAAGAAGAGAGTGAGTCAAATTCACGACCGATGCAAGCAGGAGAACGCCGTAAAGTACGTGGTGTTCACATTGTCCTATTTATAAAATGTAATCATTTTTCTTGGTTAGCAATTGGGAATGGTTTCGGAATAATTCAAAGGGAAAAACTACACCTGGCAGTAGCTCAACCGGTAAAGCCCTATCTGCACTACTTGGTCAGCGTGCAAGAGGCACTCGAGACCTCAAAGAGGGTTGAAGTGTATTCTAAACTTCACTATGAGTCGAAAGTTAAACCATTGGTGTCTGACGCACTTAAAAATAATCCCGTACAACCTGCACAAAGGCTTAGTGCAGTCCGGCAGCACACCACCGATTGCTTTGCGGATGAGTCGGAAGAAGTCAAAAAAGAAATTCGGGAGGAGACTGCACGTCTTAATGCTGCCAGAAGATTGGGAGATGTTGTGGGACAGGATTCGAGAACGAAAGAAGAAGTTTATCAGTAAGTGATACATTGATTGGACTTGATTAAAAATAGAGCTAATCACTTACAATTTAAAGTGCAATTCAAGAGCTACCAATCCTTCTAGGTCAAATATTCGAGGACCTCTCAATATTGACGGGCGGATGGCACTACACCCTTGTCATGGGTGGAGTCGACCCAATGTGTGAAGGCGACATTATGACATTAAGGTGTGTTATTTGCTGTTTGTTGTGCCAATCACACGTGTTGATTCATCAGTAGCTACCACCACGGTAAAACTGCAGATGGTCTGAGCTTCAAGGCATGCACGCCGAACTTCCATGACCAGTATTTGTTACCCTTCGAACGACACCTTGGGCGCGTCTATGGTAAGTGAAATTCCTGGCTATGCAACTCAAAATCATGATTAATGAAAATTTATCATAGGCGCATCTTCAAAGCTGCCGGCGGCTCCCTCATCCACCCCAACCTCACCTCACCTTCCACCTGGCCTGATCTCACTGGATGAGGCTTTGGACGAGTCCTCACTCAGAGATCACCATCCTTCTGTGCTTGATCCCTCTCTGGACTTCAATGCACTTGCAGGAACGAATGGACATGGTGAATGGTTGATGCGCACTAGTAGTAGTGACCCAAACCCCATCACATCTCCTCACAACACGACAGACAATCCAATCACCGCTTGGAGAAAGTCAACAGCGCTCAATGAAGACCCGCTACCACATCCCCCACCTTTAATCGCACTCAATGGCCCAGGTGTCAGAGCAGCTGATCCATCAGTCGAGGCTATCCCTCCTTACATACTTCATCCGTCGTCGTCGTTTGACACCACCCGTCTTGCCCCAGCCTGCTTCGCTCTTGGCCGAGAAAATGAATAGATTTTCTGCGCTTGAGGAGGCCAATGGACTATCCATGGAACCGCATGGAAATTCATTGCCGTTCAACCAACCGATGTTCAATTTGGGGCCGCAATGCACGTCCAGATCCCCAAATTCCATTGTCTTTGCTAGCGAGTATCACAGAGTCACTCCTGCCTACATCCCACCGCCCGAGTCAATGTATTCCAAGTCCACCACACACCAACCCCCCTCAGCTCCTCATCAACCAACATCTCACGCTGTTGAAGGAGAATACCAATTTTCGCCGGCTTCTCACCAACCGATACCTCACAACGTCGAAAGAGAGCACCCAATTCCCACCAGCTCCTCACCAACTGGACATTTTGTGACATTGGGGAGATCGTCACTTCCCGCCGACACCTCACCAAACCGACACCTCACAACATTGGAGCAGTTTTCCCTCATACTAATTTGGAGGCAGGGCAACGTCATCCATTGACCGGGGGTCTTCGGAAGCTTCTCGGCAGCTGACACCTCTGTGGACATCGGGGGAAGTCCTTGGCTGGTGAAAATCCCCAACTGATTTGGAGATGGAGACAGTGTCCTCGTTACCTGTGCCCCCACTGCCTCCAACAGACGCACCAGGCCGCGCACCCATGTCCTTCTTACACGAGCAGCCGAAGCCAACAAAATTGGTCACAAGGAAGGAACAAAACCCGCACCAAAGAGGAAGCAGAGCGAGGTCCAGCGCAGTAGTGAGGGCCCCAAAGAAAAAGTCTCGCAAGTAGATATATTGCAGTCCGTCGTGTTTTTAATGTAGCTACCTAAACAATATACAAATTGTTATTCGCCCCTACAGACTCACTGGAAGTCATTGGTTTGTTGCAAGGCTGGACACACGAAGACATTTAACATGGTGCAGTTGATGTTCGATGTCAGACTGAATTGGCAAATGTTCAACATATAGCCAGGAGGAGCTGCCACTGGCGGTTTACTAGTACTTACACAACAAATTAAAGAGCAAGAGCATCAGCGCTGCACAGCCACATGTATAAGCACAAATTTCCGGCAGCTGCCAGGCGGAACATAGTATGATATATCATATACTAGGTATTGCACGCATACTGAACATACATGATATATCATATTCTACTACTGACACATCAAGGTAGGTGATATATCATTAAGGTATACAAGTACTGCAGCCGGGGGAATATCATATGATATATCATGAAAATATACAAGTACTGCAGCCAGGGGAATCTACTAAAGAAGCTCGGTCACATGCTCGCTCTGCTTTTTCACCTGACTTGCAACAATGTCACCTGACCGGAAAACGTGGCACTTTTTCCTCGACAGATTACGTAAGTCGAGGAAAAAGTGCCACGTTTTCCCAGTCATGTGACAGTATCACATTGGTTGGTTTGGTTGATATATCATTAAAATATAATAATACAAGTACTGCAACCGGGGGAATAAATCATATATCATTGATATATCATGGCTCTACGGCTGGTATATCCGAGTCCTCAGTAAGTAGGTGTTATATTACAGCGCTATGATTGATGTATCAGTGTTATATCACAGTGCTATGATGGATGTATCATCTTCCCACACACGGTGTCATAGACCAGGATATATCACCTCCCTTCTACCATGACAGCAATATAATACATTATAATGGCATTATCGCCTGTATAGCGCTATCAGAACTACCAGCAATGTGCCTATAGGAGCATTAGTGCATGTCCACTCTACCTAGCGCTTGTCCGCTCTATCTAGTGCTTGTTCCTGCGCCCTAGCGCTAGTCCAGCGCGCTGTTCTCGCGCTCTAGGAATCACCCGAAATGTCAGAATCCATCCATGGTCCATCCTACCTCATTGGTATGTAATTTGCCTTGCCTCGAGTTTGTAAAAAGTACTACAGTCTTATTACATGTATATCCTATCCCTTCTGAGTCCGAGATGGTATAGTTTACTAGTATAAGAAGCCTATGGTGACTACTTCAACATTACTTCCCTTTGACTGTATTTCCTTCCCTTAGGTTTTACTTAGAAGTAGTCACCCCTTTAGTTGCGCTCTATGGCCCCTATTTGACTTTCCTTACCCTTGCAATCAATACCCTTGATCTCACTCGCTATCCATTACCTTCCTTTGACTCAGTGTCCGCTTTCTTGACTTCCGCTCTTTCCCACGCATTAGCGCTCTATCTTGCGACGCGCTATTCCCGCGCTTTAGCGCTCTTTCAGGTCTTTTGATCTTAAGTTGTTCTTAGTAGCTTTTCCCTTGGGTCAAACGTTCTTGCATCTTTGTTGCAAGTATAGCAGCATAGGCAGAGCATTAGACATATACTGGCTGAGTACCTTAACAAGTGCCTAGTCAGGTTGTGTTTTTCACAGCGGGATAAATTCGAAGCTGAAGCAAGACGGTTAATGCAGCTTGGAAAGGGTAGGAACACACCAAAAAGTATCATCCAACCCATTATCAATAATTATCCATCACAGACGGCCCCAGAATGAGCAGAAACGCACCAAATTGAGCTGTCTGGCAAATCATCCATCATGGGAGCGGTAATGGATAATCTGTCAAAGCATCAGCAGTCCGTGACAAGGAAGGATAACCAGCTGTCTCTAATGAGACTTAGTTATCCATAATAATGACACTATAGCCTGAAACGAAGTGTTGGAAGGCCAAGTTTATGATTTTGCAGAATTGGAGCATGTTGATTGAGATCTTCTACCAAAATCTGTTGATGACGAGGTCATTGTAGTTGATCACGCCTCACACAACGACGGACAGTGGGATGTGGACATGCTGATGTCTTGTAATGGTGTTTCCTAGTGATACATTGTTGTACACAGAGCCTGTAGTGCCTTGATAATTCTGCCACTTCTGCCAGTTATGCTGGCACAACTGCCTGCAAATAATTCTGCCCCCAGCACTACCCACTATACACGCTAGTAGAACTAGCGAAGCGAGAGCTCAGTAATGTTAGAGAACAAAACTGTATTGACAAAGTACCTAGCGAAGCGAGAGCTAGGTTACATCAGTAAGTGAATATGTGAGGTACAAACATACTACACACCTCAGTAATGTTAGAGAACAAAACTGAGGTGTCGACGAGAGACGGGACGACGTAAGTACTAATGAGGATGCTTAGGTAATATAACACCGGAGGATCGACGAGCGGAAGTACCGTATGGTGCAGAAGTCAAGAAGTACCGGGCAGTATGGTGCTGATGGTGATCAAGATAACAAGATAATGTAAGAAAGGAAACGAAGTCAACACCCACAGGGTGACTGGGTTGGAGTCTGTAATTAACTATGATATTTGAATTTGTTCATCAGTTCACTGATGGCAGAATGGCAGAGCACAACACAGAATCTCAATCAATTGCTCCATTGACGGTCGACGTAAACAAATTGGTACATACTGGTCAACACAAACAAATAGTATGCAAGTATCCGTCCCAGTCCATAAAGCAGAACCACCTCCCTCGAATATCTACATCAAAAGCTGGCCCACATCACTATGTCACGGTGATCCAGACAACATTAGCTATCATCTGGTTATGTTAGTGTCCTAACATGGACGTCGGGAGAACACTTCTTGTATGCGCCTGACCTTTTCACTTTGAAGATGTGTGCCTTATTGGCACGCCTGGGGCAATTATTATCCTCAACCTGCGCACCCTTGCAATTATCGAGTAATCAGCCTATCATAAGTCTCGCACGAGGAACGAAAATATTTGCCGATTCCACAGTAATTGGTCTAGGTTTCCCTACTTCGCAGAAGTAATAGACATTGCTACGTATTGATACTATTGAAACTGTGTAAGATTTCGGGACAAGTCCATTTGCCGGCTCTACTAGTATGTCGTTGCTACGTTCCAGCCGACGATCTGACAGAATAAATATTTGCAGGCGACCAATCAAGATTTCGATAACTTGTCCCATTAGCCACTTGCTGTGTGAAGGATGTTAAATAATGGCTTAGGCTTGGCATTTGACGGATTGCAAATATGCCCGGACTCCGACCCTGATAAGGCGCTGTCAGATCTTGTGTAGACACAATACTGCGTTTTCAAAAGACTACAGTCCAGATTGCTTAAAGGAGACTGACCAGCACCTTGCATCCCATCGAGGTTGCTGCATACAGTGTGTTGCATATGAAAAGTCCTGGTAAAGGCAGCGGGGCCGAGTTTTTCAAAAACTCGTACTGCAGTTTCATGTGCAACACACTGTAAATATAGAACCTTTCACCGCATGCCACCTAAGCAGTACTAGTAAGCCTGGAGTAACGGATCATATTAGATCACCAAGACCAGCACGTGGCTTCTTAGACTGGGCCATATAATGCATCACTGCAATAGACCCGGTCAGTCGTCTGCTATCATGGTCCCGTTGTTTGACCAAGCTGATATCAATATTGGCATCACACTACAGCACGCCAATGTGAGTGATGATCAGAATCAGTAGCATAACATTCAACAAACTGTACGCTATATAGTATGCTTTCAGTGCGTGCTACCAACAGTTGTTATGCAGCAGCGTTTGTGCTGACCTTTCGTCTCAGTCGCTATAGCATGTCTTTGGGTAAGTACCAACTCAGGTGGTAACCTGTCAAGTCGACCAAGGAAGTTGATTATTTCGCTATTAGGTTTACGACTTTGCTCTCACCCTCGATAAAGATGTAGGTTTTCATCCAGCCAACATCATGACAGCACATAGAGCCTGACAAGTGACATACAAAGGCCGCGTTCATACTGGACGCTCCATGGCGAATACCCAAACTAAAGTATCTTACCTGCCGGTACTTACCATTTGCATTGATCGTTACCGATATGCTTCGTATGTCCAAAAATATACTACTTAAAGCGAGTGGAATCTCACCTGTTTTCAGGAATCTCACAGCTTGGACTTTCCCTTAAGGTATATTTTTTATCCTTGCATGTCGCTCTTAAAGCTCAATAAATCTCAGTCCTGCGAAACTTTGTTTGCGTTCAGCATATGTGAGTTTGATCCCCTTATGAAACGAATATTTCCGGAACTGACACCCCTATCAGATGTTGGAGGAATCGTAATGGTTTGTGCAGAATGTTAGTATCCTTTGCTATTCGTTATTTCTGTGGCTGACCCTGATTGCAACATTCTCCAGCACTTTTTATGCAGAGGGTTTGGGCGGTAATGGGTCGCAGATGGCTCATAACGTGTTGTAACGTTGTGGTAAGTCAGTCTTTTATATGTGAAATGTTTGTCAATAGCCCAATGTATAGCTCTTCCTGGTCCCAGTGGCGGTGACACTTACATTATCCCACTCTTCTTCCACAAGTGAGTCTCCTCCTACTGGTGATTTGGTGGTTCACAGCTATGTGATATAGTCATGCAGTCACCTATTCCAAAAGTCGCAAATTGCTATGATAGCAAGCAAAGTCTTATTGTCATCGCAGCATACGTTGTGCTCGTCATCGTAGAAATAGGTGGGTTTCACGGTATTTTTATGTTGTCGCGTTAAATATTTCATAGAAATCCTCAGTTTCATGTTATACCATTCGTGGAAGCTTTATAGAGAACATGGAAACGACATCCCTCTTGTACGGGTCCTGGTCAGACATAACATGTTTTACTTTGCCTGTGGGCTTTGTGAGTCGAAACATGATTCTTCACAAATTGATATTAACATTTGTGGTGGATCAGTATTTTCCACCACGGTCGCGGTCGTGGTGGTTACTCTTCCTGTGCGTGTTCATAGTAACATTACGAATCCAACGTCTAACTCAAGACCTGATCACAGGCATCGTACGGAGATGTAGCATCAACGTAAGGGCCATTTCCTGGACCGACCATATTGACTGACTGTCTCGTAGTTTCCAGGTCGTGATACACGGAATACTAGCGACACGCATGCACCGCGAGCTGTACAACACAGCTCATCACACTGAAGAGAGTTCCACCGGGAATGTGTCCCTACCTCTTGTTTTTGCACCAGCCTCGTCGGAGATGCAACCTGTTTGTAGAGGTCCTTCGTCTCCTCATCCTAGAGAATACTAGACCAATGATTTTTAGATAAAGAATTCGTATCTTCTCGGTTGGTAAGAGTAGATACTGCGTGTGATCCCCTTTCCTTCATTGAACAAAAAACCGCCCACTTTGCAAGTAGTCTATCGGAACGTACAATCCATGGAGAATAATTCGGGCAAATTCACAGGACGCAGCTTCCTAAATGCAACCTCAATTGAATGAAAATAAAAAGGAAGTCAAGCGAAATGGAGATGGGGTAGCGCACAGTTGGCGTTGTATGTCATTTTGAGTGGTAACCTTGAATACAAACAAAGCCAGTACCAGCCATCGAGCAACACATTGCTGGGTAGCTGTCGAGTGCAAGTGCGTACTTATTTGTGTTTCTCCCTTCTGTTAAGCCCAGAAGCAGGCTCCAGACGATAAGATAACACCTATCTGATGTCTGCTTTCGTCTGCATTTACTATTACACCACTGGGGCGGTGTTGAGAGACTTGGTTAGCAAGAATTGAGCGCTGGAAGGAGGCGAAGGAGAGTACTAGGGATCAATTACCTAGGATGGTGCACCATAGGGAGCTCGAATCCCTTACAACACCGTAGATGAATTAATGAAACACGTCAATTGAATTATAGGCATCGCTACACATGAATATACATTGATGCAGAACGAGACATGATGAAAACAAATAAACCCTCCTGACCTCACTGCAGCACTCACCACACGCCACTCCTCTACATCCGACCCAGTACATTCCTTTTCGCCTGCTCCAGTGGTATTGGTGGATATGACATGTCCCTGACAGTGCCGGAGGGACCGCGTATATAATGGTGATAGAGGGCAGTCTAGCCAGCACTGGACGCCAAATTGTTTTAAAGCCATAGAAACATTGTCATACTAGCCGATGACAAGCGAGAAAGAGACGTTCAAATGACGCTCTTGCCAGAGTCCTCGTAACATGGTGGTGTGATGGAGTAGCTTCTCAGCACAAAATAACGCTATTCATGCGGTCGTGTAGGATAGATAGTCAGATTCGAGGGCCGGGACGCGCCAACTGCGGCACGATTGGATGGGATGGGGTACATTCTGGAAGCTGTGGAGACGAAAGTCGGTTGCATGAATGCACCGAGGCGAACAGCCTCGTGTACAGGGCGTCTATGGAAACGAGGCAGGTTATTGAAGGAGATGGAAGGTCATCTGGGCGGATAAGTACTAGTAAGGTAGAGGGGCGAAAGTTTCGGATCGAAAAGTCAAAAACTTGAAGTTCTGATTTTCTCACATTTTCACCATGCTTCAAGCAATGCTTGTCAAACTATAAATCGTAGCGGCGCGAGCGCCAATCCCCGACTCCGCAAGAACTTGAGACAAACATGATTCGCAGATACTGCAAGACAACAACATAGGTCATTTATACAGTTTCGAGCCAAGACAAAGAAACCACCAAGAAAAACAATCACTTGACCCTACTCGACCATATAGGCTTAAGCTTGAACTAATTTTGTAAGTAGAAGAGCAGACCAACGGATTTTTGCCAGAGCAACAAAAACCTTTCTTGCATACAAATCGCTGAAGTATCTTGCCAAACGAGGCACAAGTATCTGGCTACCTTCTGAAACAATCGCGGGACGAGATTCGAGAAGGCAGTGTTTGCATTTCGTCTTTACTCGATTGCATCACTCATTGTTGGGTAGCGATGGAGTGAGCCTGAGATAGCACTCAACACACATGGTCCTTTTTTGATCTTCATAAGAAACACACTCAACTAGGACATTATCCAAGAGGGCCGGCAAATTTTGCTCTGGAATTTCCTCACTGTCACGGTAGCGGAACCATCTCGGGTAGACATCTAGTCTCAAAGGCAGACATGGTGGACGATAGGTTACGGTTCGATTTGCCGATTTGCCGCAACTTATTTGGAAGTCCGATCGATGCTTCTTCTAGTATTACAAGTATACCTAGGTATACCTGTAAATTCGTGTCACACTCAGTGCATTCCTTGCTTGCAGACCGCTGCAGATAACCGGCTGACCTGCAAGCACCTCACGCAACTCCTACAACCTCTCGTTGACCTCTCACCTCTTGCAAGTGCAGCATGCGGAAACCGGTGCCTGTGAGACTCTCACACCCTTGCAAGCCTGAGTGAGCCTCCTAATTGTCGAGTCTCTGCCGATGCAATTAGCTTGGATGCGGGCATCGTGAAAATGCTGCAAGTTTGCAACTGTTGCGGTAACTGCTGCGACGTGAGGTGTATTTACACTAACTTACTTTGCACCTGTTTTGTCGCTGCCATCTGCGTATATGATGCGTTGAAGGCATTAAACAACTTCGCATGATGAACTCACTCGGTACTTGGTATTTTGAACTGCAGCACTGAAGGCCAATATGTGTCTTCTTGTTCCTTCAGATTGAAGTTTCGGGCTTCGGTTTCGGGCTTCGGTTTCCTGGATTCTGAAGCGGACAGGCTGGGCCAAAGAACTATGTTTGCCGCATTAAGCATGATACTGGTACCATTCATTCGGCTCACTCGTAGTTAACTTGGTACTATGATCATTGATGAACCGGAGGGTACCTCGTTTTTGACGGGTTTTGTCAATTTGACCTCCATCATCCTCATCTATGTCCGTTGTATTTGAAATACAAGATACATACACCGAAATAGAGAAAGGTCATACTATCAGAAGATGGGAGCGAGCGAGCGGAGGAACTTGATGGACGGATAACAATGGCATTCATGCTTGATATACCGTAATCCAGTGTTTACATCGCCAAAGTGAGATTTGAGGAATGATATCTGATTGATCGAAGTGTTTCAGCCCAAATTCCAGTGCAAAGACAATGTGCATCTAGGGATACCAATGGGATAAAGGTAAAAGTTGTTGATGAGATCGCAACACAGTGACTCGCGAAGAATGTTTGAACGCCGCATATGATTTGAGCGCGGTGCCCGTGCGATTTTCGAAGTATTCTTGCTACAATGTCCAGTGTGCGATGCAACGCTCAGCCTCGACGCATTAATAAAACCATGTTGTTCGTTGACCCAACACAGGTTTGAACGGCGCCCACGTCGAGCTCGTGACAGACACTGACTATAATTATTAACACAAAGGAGCTGAAGTGGAGTACATGCCTGAGCCAAAGTGGAGCAGAAGAGGGGTTCGGGTGGAGCACATGGCGTCGACGCGAATTGGTCCCGCGGGATTAAACGACCCGGGTCCATTCTTACAATATGTAGATAGATATCTGTTGGGTAACTTGCAAATAATCGTCGCCTCGATTTGATTCGCCTCTGCGGCATCACTACTAGTATGATACTAGTATTAGTATAGCCCAGAGAAAGATCAGATATAGCTGCTGCTCCTTGTTATCACCTTTCATCAGGCCAGGTTCACATGCAACTCGAATCTCGGACAGCAGCGGTCTCCAAGTAAGGTAATGCATTAAGAGAGTGTGACACAAATTTGCATGTATACCTAGGTATGCTTGTAATGCTAGAATAAACATCGCGCGGACTTTCAAATATGTCGCGGCAAATCGGCAAAATCGAACCTATCGTCCACCACCATACAACACAACGTAAGCGACAAGGTTTTCACGTCATCACTGTGACGTAACGGGCGAAGATTTTACAGATTCATGCGTCTGACAAAACCCTTCTCCCACTAATCGTGGGAGTCGGGGAGCGAGACCATTTGCGTACTCTGCTAGTATGTCGTTTCTACAGTCCAGCTGACCATCTGACAGAACATTCGCCGGCGACCAATCAAGATTTTGATAACTTGTCCCATGTGAAGGAAGGATGTGGCGTGTTGATAATAGGTTGGCATCTGACGGATTGCATCATTGCAAACACGACCACCTCCGCGGACTCCGTCCCTGATAAGGCACTGTTTGATCCTACTGTGGATGCGGCATTGCGTTTAAAATCTACATTGGAGACTAACCAGTACCTTGCATCTCAGCGATGTTGCTGCATAAATATAGAACCTTTCACCCAAGTACTAAGCTTGGAGTAACGGATCATATCAGACCACTAAGACCGGTGCGTGGCTTCTCAGACTGGCATATAATGCATATCTGCAATAGACCCGGTCACTTGTCCGCTATCATGGTCCCGTTGTTTGAACAAGCTGATATCAATATCGGCATCACACTGCAGCACGCCAACGTGAGTGATAATCAGAATCGGTAGCATGGCCGCACATTCAACGAACTGATCGTTTACTTGAACTATATAGTATGCTTTCTGTGCGTGCTACCAATGATTGTTATACAGCAGCGTTTGTGCTGAACTTTCGTCTCAGTCGCTATAACATGTCTTTGGGTAGGTACCAACTCAGTCGGCGACCTGTCAAGTCGACCAAGGAAATTGATTGTTTCACTATTAGGTTTATGACTTCGCTCTCACCCTCGATAAAGATGTAGGTTTTCATCCAGCCGACGTTATGACAGCGCCCAGAGTCTGACAAGTAACATACAAAGGTCGCGTATATACTGGACGCTCCATGGCGAATACCCAAACTAACCTATCTTACCTGCCGGTACTTGCCGTTTGCATTGATCGTTACCGATATGCTCCGTATGTTCAAAAATATGCCACTTAAAGCGAGTGGTATCTCACCTGTTTTCAGGAATTTCACAGTTTGGACTTTCCCTCAAGGTATATTGTTGTCCTTGCATGTCGCTCTTAAAGCTCAATAAATCTCAGTCCTGCACAACATTTTATGCGTTCAGCACATGCGAGTTTGATCCCCTTGTGAAACGAATACGTCGGGAACTGACGCTCCTATCAGATGTTGGAGGAATCATACTGCTCTGTGCAGAATGTCAGTATCCTTTGCTATCCATTATTTTGGCGGCTGACCCTCGTTCCTACTCCCGCAGCACTCTTTATGCAGAGGGTTTTGGCGGTAACGGGTCGCAGATGGCTGATAGCGTGTTGCCACGTTGTGGTAAGTCAGTCTTCTGTATGTAAGGTGTTTTGTCAATAGCCCAATGTATAGCTCTTCCTGGTCCCATTGGTGGTGACACTTACATTATACAACTCTTCTTCCACAAGTGAGTCTCTTCCTGCTCGCTGATTTGGTGGTTCACAGCGATTGGATATAGTCGTGCAGTCACCTATTCCAAAAGTCGCAAGTTGCTACTCCAGCAAGCAGAGTCACATTATCATCGTAGCCTACGGTTTGCTCGTCATCGTAGAAATAGGTGGGTTTCACGGTATTTTTATGTTGTCGCGTTCAATATTTCATAGAAATCCTCAGTTTCATGTTATATCACTCGTGGAAGCTTTATAGATACCATGGAAACGATTCACCTCTTGTACGGGTCCTGGTCAGACATAACATGTTTTACTTTACCTGTGGGCTTTGTGAGTTGAAATATCATTCTTCACATATTGACACTAACATTCGTGACGGATCAGTATTTTCCATCATGGCCGTGGTCGCCGCGGTTGCTCTTCTCGTGCGTGTTCATAACCATACGAATCCAACGTACAACTCAAGATCTAATCGCAGGCTTCGTACGCAGACGCAGTATCAGGGTAAGGGACTGTTTCTTGGACTGGACATATTGACTGACTGTCTCTCGTAGTTTACAGTTCGTGATACACGGAATACTAGCGACGCGTATGCACCGCGAACTGTACAACGCAGCCCACCACACTGAAGAGACTTCTACCGGGAATATAAGTCTTCCTCTTGTTTTTGCACCAGCTTCGTCATTATAAAGGTTCTTCTTTTTACCCTACAGAAAACCAGGTCAATGATTTTTAGATAGAGAATTTGTATCTTCTCGGTTGGTAAGAGTAGATACTGCACGAGATCCTCTTTCCTGCCACTCATGAGCCTAATTGAACCAGTCGAAGAGCGCAGCTTCACGAATGCAATATCACTTGAATGAAAACAAAATGAAAGTTAAAAGTAAAATAGACTCGGACTCGGAGATGAGGAGGCATACAATTGGCGTTGCATGTCATTTTCAATGGTAACCTTGAATACAAACAAAGCTAGTACGTGCCACTGAGCCAGATACGAAGTGGCCCAGTGCGTGTAACCGCGACCAAATTCGATACGCGGCCTACGCAATAGAAAGGACTAAACCTAAAGATACATATCACGATCCGAGAGCCATAAAAGAATCCCTAACCCTTAGACGTTCGTCGGAGTGGCATCTCCCTTGATAGGTTCACACCAGTGCTACAGCCAAAAGAAATTCAGTTCTTGATACTAGGGCAGTTCGTAAGGACTGACATTCAGTTTCTGCGCATGTGCTAATCTGTGTGTTTGGGTACGACAGTTATATCCGTACCAGCAGTTGTCTGGAATCACGTCTCCTCCTGGGAAGATTGGGTGTGTGGACAGCCGTCAAAGTGATCAAGGGCAGAAGCTTACGGTTAATCTTCTGACCCAAGTACCAGATATGGAGATGATCGCGTATGAACTTCTCCAAGCATTGTGAACATAGCCAGTCTGCTTTGTTCCAGGTGAGATAAGCCGGTGTTTTGTAGTCAAACAGCCCCCCGACAAGCTCCTCAGCTGGTGTCTCCTGCGACACAGTCAAAAAGTGAGTTCTGTCTGCAAGATTTGCGCCGACGCGACCTTTCAGTAATTGTGCGATTGAGTGGTGAAGCTGGTTGCCCCAGAGGTAGCTCCAGTCTTCAGCAATTACGGGTTGAGTATGTGCTACAGGCTGTAATTTTTGACCTACTACTTGGTCCCCATAAATCCAACCCCTGGGCAGTATTGGATTGACATTGCGAGCCTGTCACCAAATAAGCAATCATCACCCGAAAATGATAGAAGACACAAACACCGATCATGCTCTCCAACGATTTCGTCAATTATAGGTTGTTTTTGATTAACGGGAAGGAGAAGCGGCTCTTTCCTGTCGATCAAGACAGTTTTTAAAGGCCCAATCATGAATTGGTCATGGAAGAAGATTTCTTCAGTGGGGTCGAAATCCCATTCGGTGATGCAATCCAACCCTCCCTTATATACATCAACCACGTTGTGGGGAGCACAGTATAGCATAAATGACGACTCAGGGCTGTCTATGTGTGCTTCATGAGTGGGTGGAGCTTGAATGGCGTTGCTCGCGCTCACATGTTGCAGATGGGATCATAGTAAAATCAAAACCCTCAGCGCGAGCGATTATTCCTCGCAAAAAGGTTTCAACCCGTTGAATATCCCTCAGCTCAGGAGTGGAAAAACTTCCGAAGAAACCTTTTCGTAGTGAAAAGGCTTCTGTGAGTGCCGAATCTATTTCTTCTTGATCTGAGTCAGGATCAACAGCTGACTCGTAACCATTGTGGCCGTAGACAGCCGAGAACAAGGACAATCGGTACATCGCTTTCTGGAATCGTGTCGACTCTGCCAAGGAGAGTTGGCTTGTCTTAAATCTTCGGTCTTTCATTCTAATGGAACGACTTAGACGAATCCGACTGTAAAAGATGATAAAAAAATACCTCCAACTAAACAGGCTTTCGAGCTCTTGAACAGAGGTGGAAATGGCCACAAGGCTTCTAATGTCCTGGTTGGAAAGCACTGGGTTTTTCTGAATATCGTCCTCGCCCAAGAGTTCACCAACGGGCTTGGAATATAATTGCGCATTTTGGCATCGGACGAAACGTAGTGCTTGTGGTAAGGCTAGTCCAACCAAGTTGTAAGCTACAGAGCGAACGACCGAGCGAGGGTGTTGTTGAAAGACGTTGTAGATGGTCTTTGAGGTCAATATTGTTGAAGCAAGGCATTGAAAGTCAGGCAGAAACCTCAGAACACACTCTACAAGGTCAGCATTCGCGAAGGAACTATGCATTGGGTGAACTGTGTTTCCCATTTGGCGATTCAGGGGTTACGAGGTGTTGCAAAGTGGTGGGCCCTCCCTCGATTCGTTCGAGATACAGGTCACGTCAACGACAGACGACAGTAGACAATGGTGTCCAGTAAACAAATGTGACTCGTCGAGTAGTGAGTCAAGCGGGCACCGGTGAGCTTGAGATGCTTTTCCTCGGAACTTGCCGAACAAGGTACCACAAACCAGGACCCCGGAACAGGGTAGTCTTCCTGCCAGTCTTGGCAACTTGCTCACTGTTCAGAACAGCGAATAGCGTCAACGTACAAGGCCTTCAGCTTTAGTCTCAACCAACCAGTCAGACTAATCGTCAAATATGTCGTTTGGGGGAGGGTAGGCTCCAATTTATACTTTCAAACATACGGCTCAAGTTATCTAATAGTACCAATATCTTTGGCACTAGCAACACTGGCACGTCCATCTTCGGGCAATCTAACGCGTCTAAGCCCACAACTTCGCTCTTTGGGAATACGCAGCCCTCTTCCGGAGCGGGGACCACAACGACGGGCTTCGGTGGCTTCGGGATGCAACCCCAAACCCAGACGCAGCAACCTGCTCAAGGGAGTTCTGTGTTTGGAGGAGGCACTTTCGGACAGACACAACAGCAGCAGCCGTCCGGATCGACTTCGATATTTGGGCAGCCCGCGCAACAACAACAGCAGCAGCAGCAGCAACAACAACAACAACAACAACAACAACAACAACAACAGCAACAACCTACAACGTCTCTCTTTGGGCAACCTGCTCAACAACAGCCCTCGGGTACCTCTTTGTTCGTAAATCCTTCAGCAACAAATACGACTGGCAATGCATTTGGAAGCACTCAGCCACAACAGTCTACTAGTCTCTTTGGGAGCACGCAGCCGCAACAGTCTACTAGTCTCTTTGGGAGCACGCAGCCGCAACAGTCTACTAGTCTCTTTGGAACCACTCAACCACAACAACAGACAAGTAATATGTTCGGAAATACCCAGTCACAGCAGCCGGGTGGACTATTCGGGAGCACGACTGCTCAGCAAGCAGCTCCTGCTAGCGGGCTGGGGGTGAGTACAGCGGGGACATCCATCTTCGGCCAACAAAGACAATCATCGTGAGTTCCTTTCGCATTTTTGTAATTCAAATTGGTGTTGATGTATCGCAGGATGATGAGGTTAGTCAAAGGTACTCACATTGAGGATGGTTTTAGTGATGCTTGAATAGTACCACACCCATAAGCGGACCTGCACCTTTTTCAAAATCCACGAAGTTCAATGATCTTCCGGATGATATCAAGAAGACGTTTGAAGCTATTGAGTATGTTACTCATAAGTGTTAGCATGTTCCAGGACTAACTTCACATAGCTCGCACATTCAGGGACGTATACAAATAAGCAACGAGCTCAAACAGCGAAAAATGGGGGAAGAGGCGATCAAGGGCCAGGAGTTAATTCGCGAACTGCACAAAGTACGCCTCATTCTATTGCATATATGCAGCGTGTTCAGTTACCGACTTCCTCGATTCAGGAGCTGCTCGGTGTATCCTCTGTTATCCAATCGGACTCTCTTTTTACCAAGGACCTGAAATCGAAGACTGAACAAGCGGTTCAAGACACAATTGTCGCAACCAACATTATTGAGGGCTTTAAGAATCCCCATCAGAGCGCAGCATATCTCAAGAATCATGCTTCGTTCCCTCTGGAGTACGTGTGGATCATCAATGTCAAGTATCTTGGAGTGTTAACGCGCTGCTGACCAGATTCTTCACCCGAGTTACGCAAGAGATGCAGGAGCGTCTGCAGTGGTTCAAAAACACTATCGAAGTATGGTGCCGCATTTTTGGTTACACCTTTGAAACATTCTAACACATCAAACAGCAAATTGAGCGGAAACTTTCCGCATCAGCATCCCAATCTCAAAATACACCCCAAGGTTAGACTTTTCTTCGCTCCTCCTCATCTTCGGCTTACATTCCCCTAGCAATTTCATCCACCCTCCAGACGCAACACGCCATATTCGTTTCGCTTGCGGCTAGGACTGCGGCTGTTGACGCTGAGGTTCAAAAGGTGAAGACATTGTACACACAACTGTGGCGCGCGAAAACGGGGAGTATGCGTGACCCTTTTAATGAACTTGACCGCGGCAGTGGGGGAGAGTTTGGGATGGAGTCGTTACAGGTCAAGTGAGGTAGCTCTGCAAATTCCTTGATCAGCGTGATACCAGCTCGGAAAAATATATTCTTGCATAAACGTTGCATATCCGATTCCTTCTGTGAACTATGAATATGCCCCGCTTATATGCTGCTGTGATATTTCTGTGACACCGAGCTTGCACTGAGCGCTCTGAGGCGTTGCACTGCCTCGTGACCGCCTCGATTCAATAATGTCCTGACTAGTGACCACCATCAAAGATTTACTCAGCCTGGACATCCTGCGTCTATTTAGATACCCATTCTGCCGATGGCCTATATACCCCAGCAGATCGACGTGGTCAGCGGCGAGCAGTACCGTTACGCGTTAACTAACTTCGTGCGTGACCGTTATCACCATCAGTAAGATTCTAGATGTTGACCTAAGATCTCATCTATCTCATCTCCAGCGAATCGCGCACGAGAAAGTCGAAGAACAACGTCGACAACTCGAAGAACAAGAGAAACAGGTTGCATTGCTCCACGCGCGGATCGCCTTGCTAGAAGGGACTGCGAATGATGAGCAACAGGAGAGCAAGAATCATGGGGGCAGCTCAGTTGATGACTTCTCCATCAAAGTATGTCTTAGGATTTCAATGAATGCTGGGACTACCCTCTACTCTGCTATGTATATAGAATGCCGCGTCCCAGTTGGAGCGCTCGATCAACCGCTGGGCAGCAGATATTGTGCGCGCACCGCCCTCCCCGCTGTCTGATATCTATGGAGCCGCCTTGGGCGACATCACAGGCTCTTATGATCATGTGCCCTATGATGCCTCACCAATGCAGGTGCAAAACATCCTCCGCCATGCCATGTCAGAAGTCATCGGCAGCGAGATCGTCAATAATCTTGTTGTGACCAACTCTCCCGAGGCAAACGTCCAACTCACGAGGATCCACGAGCACTTGTTTGCCCGTACGTGTCAATTCTTACGTTCCCTTACTTGACAAATGCTGACGATCGTGTCATGCACCAGGCAACCCTGTCGTCGCATGCGTTTGGCGCCGACAAACATTCTCAGCAGCAGTGGAGACCTGCGACCCTGAAATGACAGCCGCCATTCTTGCAGAGACCCTCCCTGGGCTCACCAAAGTGCTTGGGGGATCAACAAACAACACAACCCCGATTCTAGCAGGCGCATACACGTTCTCCCGCATGCTGCATGGCTCCCCATCATCATCCACTGACGCGTTTTACCGCAGCTTTGTCCCCGAGCTCGGAAGCATCCTCTATCCACGTCAGATAGAGCTCGTGCGCCGCTGTCTCAAGAGCGAGCGAGGCGAGCAGGATCGTGTAGGTGCGACGATCTTCCCTGGGCTTGTGAAGGTCACAAGGGGCAGCGTGACCACTACCGAGCAGAATCAAGAGACGGTACATACGGTCGTGCGGCGCGCACAGGTAATCTGCGAATGTGCGCTCGCATTATCGGGAAATGTACCAATGCAAGGGTAGTGTGAACCCCTGGATTTATGCCAGCTTTCACTTGGATAAGATGGAAAGGATGATACCACGAGGGCGGGATATATCATGCAGTGATCTAAATATTACTAGCATTCAAATCTATACGACGAGCAGTGATGCGAGTGTTGCTTGTGATTGTATCACCTATGACGGCGTTAGCGTGACACATACAACGACATGAAACATCAATACCTCAAGAGCCTGTAGAACCTCCAGCCGTCTCCGTGCAGCTTCCAGCCAATCATGGAGCAGCTCCCTTGCAGTTCCTTTCACTTGATTCAACTCTCTTGCAGCACTATCGAGATCCTTCTCATTCATGTAATACTCCGCTCTCGACAATACACTCAGCACGTCTGACCCAGGAACGAGTCCATGCCGCTGGAACCTAAACAAAGAAAGAAAGTGCGAAGCCAGGTGCGTGAGCACACCTGCGTCCTGATCGGGGACCAAAGCAACGCTCGAGACGCGTGGTCGGACAGAGGTGCTAAACCATGATGCAAGGTCTGCAAACGGCTCAACGCCAATGTCGGGTACGTCGCTTTGTTCAAGGGAGTCCAATGCTGCAGCGATGATTGTATCTTCCTTGGCGACTGCGATGTGTCGGAGCACACGGAGCTCTTCACGGAATGGCTTGCGTATAGATGCGTCGACTAGCGCTCTGCATAGCACGTATGGCAGTCCACATGCTGTGCACGCGAATATTCTCATCAAGATAGAAAGAATTGTCGAGTGCGAGACGTTCAAGGCGCTTGAGACCTGTCGCGAGCTCGTCAAGCTTGGCGAGACGACCACCGCGTTCTTGCTCGACGCGGACTTTGACCTCGCGAATCCATCGCCTCTGCATCTCTATACCTTGTGCGATCACTTCCTCCTTCAACCTGTAAAGAGTGAGTAAGGTGATGTATACTGAGCCAGTGACGGTCACCTACCGCTCATTGATAAGTTCTGTCTGGGTGCGCAATTCCTGCTCCAGTTTCTCGCGGTAAACCTGCGTGAACCTGCCACGTTCCTCATCGTAGAATTTCCTGAAGCCGTCTTGTTGCGAATCCAGTTTATCCTGTGCCTCAAGCTCGAGCTCGAGAAGCTTCGTGGTATACTCCCGCGCTTGTTCGTCGAGCTTCATCTCTAGCTGCAGCTTCTCATCTTCCTTGATCTTCTCTATACGTGCCGCGAGGCCAGTGAGGTCACCTTTGGCGACTTCAAGAACATCTTTGGCTTTTTCGGAGGCAGCAGGGTTGGAGGCAAGAAAAGAGGCGAGATTGTCAATCGTGGATGCGAGCTGGGTAATCACAGGCTCAGATACGGCGACTTCAGACACGGCTGGAGCAACAAGAGGCAGGGGCATGGGAGTGGGTTCCGCAGGGGCCTTCGGGGCAGGCTTTGGGGGTGCGGGGCGCTCATAGCCGGGTGGGGGCTCGAAGCCGATAGGAAGCGGTGCAGCATAAACGACGACAGTATCAGGATTCTTGTCCGACACAATTATAAGGTCGGTGTCATCGCGTGGTGGGATAGTATCTGAAGAGGACCCGGGCTGAGCTGGCGTGGTTCTCGCCTCATGAAGAGAGTCAACGGGCTTCCCAGCAAGGGATGCCTCTGCTCTGCGGATCAGGTCGTCCAACTCGTCAGCGAACTGTGCACCGTGTTGTCGTGCAATAAAGATTGCTTTCGCGGTTGCTTCCGGGACCGTCTCTTCCTCCGCTTTCTTTACGACAGTCTTGAGGGATGCAGCGGCAGACTTTACGCGTTCTTTGGATTCCTTGAGTGCTGACTTGGCCGTCTTTTCAATTGTTTCCTCTGTCGGCACGTTACCCAGCTGCCGCTGTACGAAGTTGTAGACGGTCTTGTAGGCGTCTACGGTAGTAACCACAACCTGTTCAATGGTGATCTCATCCCACTTGTGCGCCTCGCCATACTCGACGAGTTCCTTCCCCAAAGGAACGTTTTCGGTGAACAGCTCACGGTACTGCTGGTTTTCGAAGGAAACGAATGAGCTACCGATGTAGAACGTGCCCGTCGCTGCCACAGTATAGAATAAAATCCTGCGAGCGACTTTTGCTGGTTTGGAACCAGATGAGGCATTGGAAGTAGTGGAGGCTAGTCGCTGGGACAGTTAACTCCGTCATAAGCCACGTCCCAGACCGCAACACTATAGATTTATTTGCTCACTTTGCGAGAAGTCCGTACAAGGCCTCGTCCAATCGTCGCTGGGACATGTCTAGAGACGGCTATGGCACGATGCATTGCCGCCGTTGTAGTGCTCGATGAGCTCAAACCAAAGACCAGGCTAGCGAATTGCAAAGACAGAAATTGGTCCGGAAATTCCCGTGCTACCATTGTACTTCCCGTGCTACCGTAACATTGAACAAGCCACAAACGCATGCCCACTGGTAGCGCCCAATGATTGCCCAAATAATTTCAAAATCACGGATGTGATGGTCCCTCAACAAATACTGTACTTCGGAAGCCCGTGATACGTCAAACTTGGCGCCCAAAGGGTTGCAGTGGCTCGCTAGCCATCACGACTCACGATTCACGACCCATTACAGGTTCGCAAGTATGCAACTCCATCATTGTCTGTCAATAGCATCGGCGCTGCTGGCGAACAGGACGCAATCAACTCCAAGAAATCCAATCAGTCGAATTGACGTTTTGGAGCTCTTCTGAAGAAGCACCTGGTCCGGAGGGCGTAAGTACAAGCACAGGTATATACACGCAGGAGGAACAACTGGCTTCCTTCTCTTAAGAGGAGACTAATATGCGCGGTAACGATGGGGCCACATGTTTCCGAGGTTTCCTTCTATCCCCGTGAGCTTGTCACGAATTTTGAAGATAATCCCTTGGTAGGTTACTTTGTAGACGACTTCCCGTACCAGACGTACTTGAGACGTATTACTGGAAGTTCGACGCATGCTTGTTTCTGATTCACCGACCCCATTTCTAGATAGAAAATTCTGCAAATAGCAGCTGCTGTGATGACATGCGCTGATGCAGTCTCTTGGACTTTATTTAACTCATGTCGAGGACGGAATTATCAAATCACTGCGTGGCTTTCGTTATCGCTGAGTCGACGGTGACGTGTCAATGGGTGACTTCCCATAGGATGATATTTTAAATCAGTATCAAGGGCCGCAAAATGAGATAGAGATGGAAGTAATCGACGACGAAGCATCTGCATGCATTGTTGCATCTGCTGTGTACTGGTGGAAACCGACAAGAACACATCGACAGACGTCAACCACAATGATAATACATTTGCCGTGCGCAGCTCTTTCCAAATCCACGGATGAGTACCCCCGTAGCAAGCTTTATTTGCGAGCCGAGCCTTCATTACGACCATGGGCTTTGACATGGAAACATTCACCTTCATACTCACCTCCAGCTTCGCGAAACATTGGTATCATACACTCATTGCTTGTGACGACATCAGTCAGTATGCTAATCCTCATGTCGAACGTCAATCTTTTGATGCCGGATCAGGCTGCGAGATGTGCGATGGACGTACAACTGTCTGTGGAATCCTGGGGTATGATTGCCACGTCCCGGTTCGGTCGCGACTGTATGCATTGCCAGCGCCATCGTAGTATAATTCAGTCATGAGTATAGAACTTCAATGAAGTGTAGTATTAGAGCGAGAGAGGACCCAAATCAATGAATGCTCACCTTGTCTCCTCGCCAGGAGTCCGACGGTCGTCGGCCGTCGTCGTTCTGAACCTTCACATTGCAATAAAAAGAGTCCTGACATAGTTGCTGTCCAACGTGGTACAAACACAGAAGGCAAGGTTGGAGAATGAAAATTTCTTGAGGGTACTTTCTCGTTGGACGCTAGTTGTCATTAGGGTACCGCACGGGTAACACCGAGGGTCGGAAAGTTGACACCGCACCCGCACCCGCCAACACCGTACCCTTCACGGGTACGGGTACACACCGACCCGTCAATGTCGCGGTTTATGGAAAACACCGCGGTGTCTCTGAACACCGCGGGTACATTACCAAGAAGAGTGTATTAAGTATTAACAACAATGAAATAAAATAGTACTACTTTTCCTTGTCATTCTCCTCTGCTTCGACTTCATTTCGCTTCCGTTTTTGAAGCATGCAAAAATATCCAGATTCAGATCATTTACCGAACTTCTGGGTTCGTGTGTGTCCGATGGGAGTAATGGACGGGCTGTTGGCCTTGGCGTGCAAATGCTGTGTAGACAGAGCCACTATTAGCCACCTGTGACTCCCACGTATTGCCTCTAATTAGACGTGATTATAGATAGGGCTAGCACGTCTAAAACGACAGAGTTCCAGCGTTTCCAAGCCTCCTTCAATAACTCTTGGATAAAGAGTGACTTATAATAACAGCAAGCAACTTGAACTGTGGCCTAGCTAGGTAAGCCAGCGTGGGACGTCGGCGTTAACGTAGGTAATGTTCCTGGCATCGGCTATCTTGCGCCTGCCGTGTGAACCTTCGTGCTCGCTGTCATACACGACGAGCTCGATAAATCAAACATATCGGAGGCGCGTTTTGATACTTAACAGTAAGCATAATAAAAGAAGTGCGTTGCAACAGTATGACGGATAAACTAGACTACTCCTCTACTTCACCATTGTCAACAACCTGGAGCTGTGAGAAGTCAGCGGTGATGGTGATAATGTCCTGCAAACTCCTCGAGGCTTCTTCTGCGACCTCCTCTGCGATCTCCTCCTCATCTAAATCCTCTTGAGTATCCGCACCTATAGGGGATGAAGGGTTGTGTGCAGGTATATGGGCAGCAAACACGTTGGCGGGAATCAGAGGATCTGGCATGCTGGCACTCTCCCCGATACCGGTGCAAGCACTTAGACCAGGGACGAGTGTACCATTGAAGCCGGGAAGCTTTGAGATATCATTGAGCCGCTTGATATGGCGGGAGTTGAACCGGCCACGAATGTTCCGATGTATAGCGATTTGATGGGCAAGGGCAGGGTTAGCAACTGTGAGTCGATCTTCGCACACCCGCAAATACTTATCTTCATCTCGTATATATGTCACTAGACGGCGAACCTCGATATTCAGACGACAAATCTCCTCGCGTGCTCGACACATTTTAAAATAAAGATCCATCCCACTCCGAGCTGCTGGTGATGACCAAGGTAATTGAGAGACATCGGAGCGCGTCTTTCGTAGCAGCTCGAAGTCAGCGAGAAAGGCGTACTCGACAACATCCTCCCACTTGAGTATTTGCCGGGGAGGGTACACCGCACTGGCAAGGTTGTTGTATGTGTTGAGGGCGGACCTGATGGCGGCAGAGCGCGTCTGCAAGGCCCTCGCAATATGTTTTCGCAGTTTGTAACCTTGAAACATAGATAGAGTTAGCTGAAACAAGCCAAACTAGACTCAAACTCACCTGTCCCCGCCCTATTCATCTTCGCAAGTTCGAAAATGCGAGCCACGACCAAACCTTCCAAACGGTCCAAGGCACGTTGATACTTTCTATTAGCTACGAGTCTCCCTGCCTTCTGCCATTCTTCATCTTCTGGAACCCAGCGAGCGATGATACCGAGTTTGCATTCTAATAACTGAACCAACTTCAGGTTTCTCTCATAGTCCTCGAGAGCGTGGCGCCGCGTGCTTTCAACCTTGCGTGTGTTTCCAATGTCTGCGCCGTATGATGGAGTATTGTGCGTTCCGAACATGTTCATTCCTGCGTCAAGAGCAACTCTGTTTTTTGGGGGCTTCAGTAACTACGAGATACATACACCAAAAGTAAAACTTACTTGCTTGCACTAAGATTGACTAATCTCTGCCAGTACTCCATTTGAAGTGTCTCTTCTTCAGGCTCTCGTGTTAGACCCTTAAGGTAGATTTTCTCGTCTTCGAGCCAACATTCAAAGACGCTCTCGTCTTCGACTTTGAGCTCTTGCATAACCTTCGGTAGGACAGCTTCGCCATTGGCGATGATCTCGAGAGCTTGTTTGTAGTTACCATGCAAGAAATTTGCTAGCCAACCAATAGTTATGTCAGCGAGCGCTTATGATAAACAGAACAACATACAAAGATTGCCATATACCTCGAGCTCGTCGTTATGCTCGAAATATGAATCGATAGCCTGTTGACGATGGAAAACGCTAGTATACCGTAGAGCCGATGCAAGGGAGTTTGACTTGGAGAACGTCCGCTCACAAGTCTCCAGATCTTCGATACCAATGCCTTTGATGTAAGTTGTTAATGAAAAAAGCTGACATAACCGCCTGTGCGCATGTCCGTGAAACGCGCCAACCAGGCAACTATGACGTAATGAGCGCGCCAGGGGACCAAGAGAGCTGTTGTCAAGAGTAGTCTGAAACTGACAGCCGATGTCATAGCCACCGCCCAAATCGTCGCCAAATGCATCTAGCAGCTTGGCAACAATAGCCAAGGGGTATTTTGCACTGTTAGAATACCTGTTAGAAATATAAAACAAAAAGACTAAGTACTACTCACCGCTCCCCGCTCTGCACCATGTCTGCGATAAGTAAACAAAAGCCGTGGCGGCATACGGCGACGAAGACACCAGTTTCGTCATAAATACCCCAAGCTTTTTTTGTCTTCGCATCGTCCATATTTTTCCACCGGCCTTCGCATGAGTTCTCTGCCAGACTCTGACTGTGTTAGTTGTCTCTACAAAAGGTACGCATCAATTACTCACATTGGCTCCCGTATCACATGGCGTATCCTGTGCAAACTGCTCTACAAAGTTACGAGATAGGTAACGGTCACTAACGAGTACCTGGCCAGTGGGAAGTTCGGACGATAGACCAAGAGAGTCATCGTCGTCATCAAGCGAGCGTCGCAGAATTCGTTTCAATGAGTCGTTCCCGTCCATAGCATAGAGAATCTTGAAGTGTAGCTTCTCTTCGTCAGTTAGCGTGTAAGTGCATGCAGGGCATGCATGTTTGAGGCGCCAGTCAGGCGAGTCGCGTCGGAGGGATTTGTTGATGAGCGAGGCCACAACCCGTCTGATTTGAAGATATATGTCAAGTGCAATTGAAAATTGACGTGAGATGTGCCGATGGAATTCCACCTGTAGTATGTGTATGTGTTTAGCATGGAGCACAATAGAACTTAAAATCGTACCCCGTGTAAATCGCATATCGTTTTGACAAAGGCTTGGATTGACAAGTGAGGGTTCCTGAGGTGCGCCACCCGATATAACTCAAGGGCTTCTAATGTTATGCCCGCCACCGGTGATATCGGGGAGCAGGGCATGACGCCTTGACGAACAAGTGCAGAAGCAATTGTACGGTCCGTCGATGATATTTTCAGTACAAATTTCTCAGCAACTTTTACAAATGATGTGATAAACACAAACACCGAAACTAGCAAGTAACTCACAGAACGCGTCTACTACTGTCACTGGCCATTGGCCACCATTCAAATCGGTCACCTCAGTCTCTTCGCTGCGTAGGCGATCATAAAAACTCTTGAAGCCCTTTTGCGATTTCTCCAGGCTCCATATAAGGTATGATTCGCTCATTATTTGTATTTGCTCGTTGAAAGCAAGATTTCTTCGCAGAACACGATCACGCCGTGTGCGATTGTCGACACGTTGAACCCTGTGAGCACCATCTTGATCCTTTCTGATGTGCGTGTCAGTTGCTGACTATCTGCTAACATGCACTCACAATTTCCAGACCTCACCCAGAACACCTCTCGCCAGGTCTCTGAACTCTCCGCCAGCGTGGCTAATGGGGAGTGCATCAGTACCATCCCAGATGTCGCCGAGATTGAAATCATCGGAGTCCTCAGCAATGTTAGGTGGGTTAGTTGGTGGGTCTCTGAGAGCTTCCAGAGCTTGGCGCTCCTCGGTTGTCATTGCTATAAACCAGGTTAGTGTTCTGGTTGTTTTTTGAGCACTTGGACCAGGCTTACCTTGTAGGCGAGTCTCCCGCCGCTGTTTACAGCTGGCTGCTTGCAGAACCAACACTCTATGTTTGATCACCTTCGATACACGGTTAGTGGGAAGCCCATCCTTATCTCGCGAGGAGCCTATGTGGCGGATAGACCGCAAAGACAGGTTAGTGCGAACTCGTTGTGTCTGACGTCCTCCTGGATTCCGCATTTTTTTTCTTTCATACAAGCCAGCTATGGGTACATTTTTTGCACATTGAGCTGTGTGTGACTAATCATAAACGTTATTAGTGCACATTTCCATCAATTCCCCCTCATTCAATTAACCATTTCCTTAAGTGTCTTATATCCACCATGTCACGCACTCCCTCACCATCCATCATTTCTTGCCACGATGATCACGTCCGGGACTTATGTCAGTTGGTTGAAAGCTTAACCGTATCAGGTGGGTCGCAGGTCTATATCATCTGACAATCACCCGCATGCTCACGCTCTCAAACAGGTTCATCGTTGGATACTATTAGCTGGAAGCGCAAGACTGTTGAAGAGAGTATCACCCTTTCCAAAGCATCACACACCAACTCCTCGCATGTCAATCAAACCATCCCAAACTCCGATCTATCTACTAGCTCCCGCGCACAAGACCATCTGCCGCCTTCGAGTTCATCATCACATGCGCAACATTCTACGAATGTCGCACTTCTTCCAATGCAGGTACCAAAACCTAGCGATATCGCACCCCCACATGCTGGTTTAGAACCTGAAGGGTTCTGGTTAATTACCGTCGGCCAAGAAGTAGGCATCTTCTATCACTGGTAAGCATTGCCGACCTCTCACTTATAATAATATTGACACTCATATAAGGGCTGACGTGGCTGAACGCACCAACTTTGTGAGCGGTAACGTTCAGAAGCGGTACCCCTCGTTCCAGAAGGCACTCGAGGTATATACAGTACAATATAATGAAGGTAGAGTACGAGCAGTACCAACCCCGGGTGGCCCTTTCTGGCTGCCTGCATCCCCACCTTCCCCCTCTTGGTCCGCTGACTCGGATGACTTGTGGTCGCAGGTAGACGACTTATCGGAGACAATGACACACTATGAACTTTAGATACCTTCGTAGTAGTTCACTATCTCAGCCGTGTACATATACATGACTTGCTTGTAATTCCTTAGCAATGGAATCTTTATGCTCGGATCACAAAATGTGCTAGCTACTATGCGTGATTACAAAATTGATGCAGATGTGCAACTGTGATTGAACGACATTGGACTGCATAGTTGCATTACCTTAATAGTCTGCATGTATCCCGCAAGTGTAATTAGCGATTAGCCAGTGATATACAAGAGTCATAGTCCTAAATCGAGGTCCACTGCACTCACCACACATTCAGTATAACAGATGACCTAACCTTGGACGCAGTTGGTGGTTTAGAATTCTATGGTAGTGCAACATGCTAGAGATACAATGACATTCGCTATGTGTTCGCCATCAATTCGCCATGCGTTTGATATCAATTCACTATGTGTTCGCTATAATGTAAGGATTCTGGTATGTGTTCACCATCAATTCGCTATGTGTTTGATATCAATTCGCTATGGATTCACTATAATCGCTCGACATATCATATAGTCAAACTACTTATTTTTACTGTTAGCTACCTTAACTTCGAAGAATTTGACCTCCAAAACAATACAAATGAGCAAATCATGCAGTAGAATAATATCATGTTTGAGGCGCTCCCTGCAATACGGGCAGCTGGTATGTACAATGTTTTGCACACATTCGAGAAGTCCCCTCCCCTCACAAGCATGCGCACCACATTCGTCAAGAAAAATGATAGTCTCTAGTCCTCCCTTCTTTTGCGCACCTTTGAGTAGGTTTTCATACGCATCATCCCATGCATGTTCAGACTTCCGGGCCCATCCCTTTTGCCACTGGTTGGCCATGTTCTCAATGTCTTGCAGGGTTGGCGTGTCGCAGGAACAGGGAAAGTCATTCTCCATAGTCAGTAGAGATCCATCATCGACCTCAGGAGTGATATCGCGAGAATTGAGACCGTCGAGCACGGGCGAACTGACCAAAGGGATGTGTATAGTTGGCTCTGCAGGGGCATGTATTTTTTTAAGGCTATGAGTGCAGTCAGCAAGAGTAAGAGACGGAATAAACAAAAGTGATTTGACCTGGCCCGCTTGCTGAAAAAATGTATTTAAGCACGAAATTTTGATTTGAGAATGAGAGCCGGACTGACCTCGCCATCCGAACGCGTGCCTTTGCATTTTGCGTGTCTCGAACTCTGAAATAGCAGGGAAGTACAATCTCAGTGTCAGTCAAAGGCGAAAGCTTACCCTGGCTTCTCAAGCCAACGCTTGGTAGCCATGCGCTGCCTGCTCAGAGTAACAGCAGGATTAGCCTTAGAATGTATGTGAATATTATACAACTGTGAGCAGACTGTGAGTCCCAAAATCGAGACTTACCATAGATTTGAGGGGAAAAAAACGGTTCGTGAGATTTTCCTTGATCTGATATTAATGCCCTTACCTTGGGATTCCCCCTCGTACATTATGTAGAATGTTAATGAGACAGCGATCACCCCCATTGAATCAATGTCATACGTGGAACTATCCGGGACCGAACACCATCAGGATTCAAGTCAGGATCGCGACAAGGTCATCCCAGCAGAGATGTGCATTATCGCCCTCGATCAACGTTATACACTACTGGTATACAAGTTGGACCAAGGGATTGCGACAAGGTCATCCCAGCAGAGATGTGTGTTATCGCTCCCAATCAACATTATACACCATTGGTATTCAAGTTGGATCAAGGGATTGTGACAAGGTCATCCCAGCAGAGATGTGTGTTATCGCCCCCAATCAATGTTATACACCATCGGCATTCAAGTTGGATCAAGGGATTGCGACAAGGTCATCCCAGCAGAGATGTCCCCCATCAGAAAACTTCCTCCCGAAATTACAAAGTTGCCGCTGTGCAACCGAGGAAGCTGACAACAACCCCATCTGAATGTTCCAGACCTCGTCCTACTCCATTGGCGTGATTCTTAGGTTCTCAAGGCAAGCATCTTTTTTCTATTCGAGTTGTTCTATTATTGACTCTGATATGCTTTTTTGTAGGGTTTCAATGATCCGACTGCCATGGCGTCATCGATCCCATAGGTATGCTTTTCAGGTTCCTGAAGCAAGCACATTGTTTTTTTAATCGCATCCCCACAACGACACTCCCTCCTACCCACACAGACAACTATGAGCTACATTTTCTCTGAAGATGACTTTAATACCAATGGAAATTTCATCAACGGCGGAGGACCTGAATATCTCGCAGGGTTGCTCAATGAAAATGAAGGTGCAGTGTTATTTATGTGCATCTCCCACTCTTTGTATTGACCTTTGAAAAAAACAGGATCGAGCCATACACCCAAACTTTGGCACGGTATCGATTGGGAAGACCCATCATTATACTCGATGCCACTGACAAGTGATGAGTTAGCATTCCTCAATGATGGCCCGGCCCTTCCACAGCCTCCTACTCCCGTCATCTCTCATTTTTCACCTGACGCACGTGAACTCACACCTTCCTCTCGCGCATCATCGCCTGGTGGTGAAGAGTCATTGTCAGAGCCCCTCCGTGATGCAAATTCATCCACCTGGGCAGCGCGAAACCCAACACGTCCCATGATCCATCGCCGGACCCCACCGCCTCGGCTATCAGATGCCCAGAAGGCCTCTCGGAAAATCAAGAAAGACCAGAGGACAGAAATTACGAAGCATCTACACGATGCTGTTGCCAAACATCTGCAAGAACAGAAAAACGGAGTTGAATTGCTCTCACTCGCTCACAATGTTACTCCCAAACAGATCAACGACATAATCAGTCATCAGACCAAGTATTGCACGGCGCGCAAGGTTCACCTCAATAACGCCTTAATTCATGCCAAAGCTAAGGAAATGAACAGCGGTACGCAAAATTCCTTTGCTTGCTCTTGTTCTCATACTCATATTCTGTTGCAACAAGGCCAGCCTAATGGCCTTTCGGTACACATTGGTCGAGCTGCGCGAGATGGTTGCTCAGGACCCCCAGATGCAAGATTTGACGAAGGGTGAAAAGGCCACTTATATAGCTGCTCTCAGTCAACACCGTGAACAAAAGGTAAGTAGCGTGCGAGCAAATAACATGGCTACTGCGCGAGATGTTTTAGTCACGACGGAAAGGGTGGTCAAGGAGGTGAGCTCTCCGCCTGTCACATGTATTCTACTGAACTTATTTTCACTTCGAAGCTCGATGATTTGCGTATTCGCACAGGCACCTACGGGACTCTATTTGTCGTTCGGGGTCACATTAATGACACTATTCAAAGCACAATGCACGGTACTGACAATTCTGAAGACTTCTGGGAGGACGTTTACGACTCTCCAATGGCTGATTTTCTCCGACAATACGAACAATGGGCCTGCACGCAGAATCAAAGTAAGTCATCTGGCTCCTCACAGTGATATCTTATTCTTATTCAGTCTTTTTCAGATCTCAATGAACGAGACTCTTTGGAAACAGTCCGCAAGCAAGCTCGAAAATTGATTGTCCGAGGACTGGGTATGTGACAGTAGTGTGCATGAGTGCTGTCTGACATCTTTACAGTTGCAATGACTGGCAAAAGAGACATCACGATGAACTACAACAACTACGAGATGGCGATTATCGAAACGTATGCGGTCAAGCTAGTAGGATGGCCCCAGGGTATCAAATTTACCAGTCCCTCAAACATCGGGACAGTCGGTGAAATTCGCAAGCTCCGCGATGCGCTCAAGGACCAAACATGTTACTGGGCTGCTCTCACTCCAGCCGAAGTCAAGGTTCACAGTGCTGAACTTGATGCGCGCCGTTCGGCGGGGCAAGTTGTTCGGCAGCCACGCAAGAAGCGCTCCGATGCTGGAATCACTCGCAAGCGCAAGGCTCCACCTACCACAGGACAGGCACACAAAGAGAACAGAAGGCCGTCAAAGAAGGTGAAAAAGAATACTAGTGCCCAGCATCGTGAGGCCCCTAAAAGTGCGGAGTTCATTGAGTCGTCTGATGAGGAAGAGGACGAGGGCGAGTAGTACACCCTGCTACTCTTTTATGTATATTCTGAGGATCTGTACATATCTGAATGATTAGTAGCTGTCACTGTAAAAAACGCGCCACCAATGTGTAAAAACGCGCTGTCAATATGCATGGTTTAAGGAGCTCGTCGTGTACGACGGTGGGCACGAAGGTTCACATGGCGGGAGCATGATAGCCGAAGCCAGGAACATTAATGCCGACGTCCCGCTTAGTTACCTAGAACTACTGTTATTATAAGTCACTCTTTATCCAAGAGTTATTGAAGGAGGCTTGGAAACGCTGGAACTCTGTCGTTTTAGACGTGCTAGCCCTATCTATAATCACGTCTAATTAGAGGCAATACGTGGGAGTCACAGGTGCTATTAGCACCAGCATCCTTGCCCTTCATGGCGTTGTTGACGGCATCCTCGCCAAAGCATCCAATGGCATGGTGCTTCAGATTAGTCGTCGAGGACTTATCCTTTGTATCCTGATAGCGGCGCACACCACCTAAAGCTGTCTTACACTTACGCGCACCACACGGGAAAAAATGACACAAGCGGCCATTGTGGTGTTGGACCACAACTTCGGATGAAAAGAGACTATAGATAGGTGACCGCCAAGTCTTCTTGAGAGCCTCTGTATCATTGTATAATCAGATATTTGCAAAAATCAATGGAAAGAAACATACCAAGATCTGCAGAAGGATCGGGATCAGGCTCGAATGCACCTGCCGTTGATTTGTTATCGTCAGTGGCAAGTGAATCAGTACTTGATCGCGTAAGATCAACGGTGTCTGTGGGGCTCGATCGAGAAGACCGAGACACAAATGACTGCTTGACCTTCTTCAAGGGGCGGGCCAGAGCCTTAGCACCCTTTGCAACAGCCTTTTTGAGTGACCTGGCCTTCTCGGAGATGGACGACGAGATAGACTTAGATGATGAGTGTGACTGGGTAGACGAAGCATCAGATGCCTTCTTTGTGAGCTTAGTTTTCATGGGGAGACGACTCAGTGGACTTACTGGTCTCGAGTTTTTGCCTTGGCTTTATGGTAGTGACTCGAGCTTCTCTGCAACGAAGTGTCAGCTCAATAAATTGCTAGAATGATTCACGGGGGTACAAAAGACATGACAGAAATCAGTATAGCATTCACTTGTGATCCTCAAGCTCTCAGAGGAAGGAAAAACAGAGAATCAAACACGGTGTTCAATGGCTGTCGCGCGCCTGGTTCCCGATTTGGTATATTATACCCGCCCAAACACCGTCAACCCGCGGTGAATGGCCACGGTATGCTCAAGGGTACGACTATCCTACTCCGTACCCGTACCCTCCAAACCCGTCAGCATAGAACCGCGGTGTTACCCGTACCCGTGCGTTTCCCTAGTTGTCATGTCGTACGTTGATATTGAAACATAAGGAGGCACCGTTGTCCCTTGGCGATCGCTAGTGGACGTCAGGCTCATCACAAAGTATCCAAACCAGTGCCTATAGAAACAAGGTAAGTATGCGAAAGTATACGGGGAATCTGTGAGGTGCAGGAGCGGTCAAGAGGGGTGCAAATGGCAAATCCCGGATAGGTGGCTTAGCTTTACATAAGCTTTCAAATCTTAATATACCGCCACTTGAACTTTCAAGACATACGATTTGAGTTTTGATCTAGCGGTCTCACAGGTGAATAGTTTTTTTGGATTGCTACTGGGAGGGGGGGGGTTTTTCTTACCGTAGAACACAACCAGGTAGTTAACTTGATAAAAAACGCGCGTGCAAGTGCGCCACTCGCCAAAACACAAATGTTGGATGTAACTTTTTCAAACACGTGATCAAAGCGCGTCATGTCAATATATGCGCATTATACGCGTCGTGCGTCTCGACGCGTCTCGTCAACGTCTCATACTCACACTCTTTAGCATAAATTCTACTATGGGCTCGTTACAATGGCACATGCATACCTTCGGGTCCTCGGATGACGTGTCCGATGACTGTAGTGACTGGGACTCAGATACGAGTTCCAGTTCACGTCAGACGAACTTAGACTTACGACGTTCACGTCGTTCTGTTTCTATCGACTCTACCGATTCATTTGGGCCTGTGTACCCCTTGGACGCCTTCCTAGAGTCGGTAGTTGCACCAGAAGATCTGCCAGACGCTTATGAGTTAGCAATAACCCCTGATGACTTTGTTTGTTCAGACTCGGACGACCCTGAATCAGAACCGGAAATGGAATATGACAACGACGAACTCCTTATATTAAATACCCCCGACGCGCTCTATCAGCTGTATCGCAAGGACAAGCTACAAGTCCGGATTAACGCCTCCAAGCGGTGGGAACTTCTGTGTCCGGACTGCGCAGAGTGGTGTCAGACTGGCATACACTCTGGTATTGACTTATGGATCCCAGGACAATTCGTGTCCCTGAGCAATCATCGGGGGAGTCGGAAATGCCATCAGAAGGCAGCTCAGAAACAGCTGCGCGCGCCTGAGAAAGACAACAACATGTGTAACGTACCGGCAACATGTTCCTCCCAGCTAGTTACCTCAAATGACACGAGGTACATTCTAGTTCGCTTCTATCTTATCGCATATGCTTATTGTGCTCAAAATTTTCAGGGTATTACGGTTTGCTGCTGCTCCTACTCATTGTGCTGGTCTTGCTGTCGTCTGGCCCGATGACCTTTGGCCATTCACAATGCTTTTTCCTTGGGAACGATATCATGAGGGTCCGGACTCCTTACCTTTCCTCGTCGACCTCAGCATTCCCAGCAAACCTCGAGCGTATTCCAAGCACTGCAAGCTGGTCACTTCTCTTGAGGGTGTTCCATGTGATGAGTGTGCTGAAATCTCACAGCACATCACACACCTTGCAGACGCTGCACGCAACCCCAAATCACACACCAATTACCACTTCCTAGGCCTTGCGCACATGCAAGATCTCGCCAAAGGCTATGCCGATCAAACAAGGCAATTGAAACTTCAGGTGAGTTTTTTTTTATGTACTTCGGCATGCGCTAACTAGCTATATGTAGGGACTCAATGATTCACGCAAACACATGACCTCACTCACCCAACTTGATGATTATCATCGTCTTCTCATGGCCATCTCTGAGAAAGACATCCCTCGGCTTCACCAGGTCGTCAATGTGGCGTTACGCAATGGCACCAGCATCCGGGAGATAGTCAACAAGCTTGAGGACGCGCTCGAGGGCGTATATCCTCCACGAGGCTACGGGGCCAATGACTTGGACATAGCGACGTTAGTCTTGCAAATTGGTGGCCATCAGCTTCTCTTCGTGCTCAACCAAGGTCTTGGTCTCCCCTCCATCCGCACTCTTCGCACTAGGTCCACCTTTACCACACTCACTCCGACCATCGGGCCTATCCGTGATGACCAGTTCGATGCGAACATTCATTCTGTAGTTCTAAGCTCTCGTACTGATATCGCGACCCCGCATGGAGTCAGTCTCATGGTTGATGAAATCGCCCTGGAAGAGATGGTGGTTCACCTTGGCAAATACAACAAGATTGCCGGTCTTTGCTGGAAACATTCACATGTTGTTGACCCCGTCCTCTGCACTTATGACTCTGCCATCACCATCGCGCAGAAAATCCAAGATGGTGATGTTCATCTTGGGAAGGAGCTTACCGTCATAGGAGTCACATGCTTTGGAGAGGATGAACTATACCCTATTTTAGCAGCGCCTACCTGCAAGACGGAAGACGCTAGTGATATGGAGGGTTTGCTTGCTCGTGCAATTGGGCGGTGGAATGCTACTGGAGCAGCTTCAGTTGTTGGACCGGTGTGGTCCTTTGCAACTGACGGGGATGCTACTCGGTGTGCAGCGGGGCACCGACTTTTCCTTAGGAATCCTTTGTCCTCAGACTCAGAGCTCTACGGTATTCTTGGGAACATGCCTGGCTTGAACACCATGACAGGTGATGCCGAGGTAACACTCGATTTTGACTTTAAGCATATCTTCAAACGTGAGTTTTATATATATATCTATCGTTCTGTTCTAATTCAACTGATAGGTTTCTGCACTCTGATCTGCTCCCCTGCGGGAATCGTACTCAATAACGGGTGTATCATCAATTCAATGATGCTGGCACGGTACCTCGTTTGGTTACCTGCATATGACGAAACAAGCGTCATCAAACTCCTCCACCCTGACGACCCACAAGATGTACCCCGTGCAATTGAGCTTATGCAGGCCATAGTCGACTTCTCGAAATCGCAGCACGCCCTTCTCAATGATTCGTTTTTGTCCAATGTCGAGACACATGCGGACCTGATGTCGATTACACTTCTGAGTCACGTCCTTGAATCCATCCTCATGCCGTTTATCAATACCAAGCTCTCCCTATCCGAACAAGTCCATCATCTCAGTTGTTATTCTCACCTTGCTTTCACCATCTTCCGTATTCATCGACATTCATTCATGCCATTCCAGCTTTACTACGACACTCAGACAGCTGTCAAGAACGTCATTTTCAATATCGCAAAGCAGCAAGTTCTTGACCGTAACGCATCATTCTTCCTTGGGGATTGTGGAGACGATCGACTTGAACTCATGTTCGGTCAGTCGCACATGATCGGTGGACATAATTCTGGGTGTACGTATTCCCAGGCCCTTGATCGTCTCGGTGCAGCAAAGGACATTGATGGTGTGTTCAAACGACACCCTGAACTCAATCCTGGCCATCAGTGTCTCAGTCTTGGCAAACATATCGAAGATGTTGACCACATCAATCGGCAAATGTGGAGGGGTGACATCATTTGCGGTCGCTGTGACCTTCCATCAGCGTGGCGACAAGGACGTGAAATCGCGCTTTCTATTCTTACATCCTCCCAGATCGACCCCATCAATTATTCATTCACTGAACTGTTCCGTGATCCAGGAACAGACATACTTCGTCCTCTAGGTATGAATAAGTACTTTGGCATTGCAGAAGAAGATCCCGAGGACTCTAGCCGTGTCCCCAATCCCCTTCCTGATGTCCCTGTGTCTATGCCCTTGCAGGTCTTGGAGACTATAATACCTAATTCTGAGGCTGGTGAGATTCAGGGGGTCTATATGGGCACTGAAGAGGACGATGAAGAACCTATGTTGACTTTTGAAGAAGCCCTTACCGCGGAATGTGTCTCAGCTGTGCCTGGCACTCCATCCCACCCCTTTCCGATAGATCCTTCTATCCCTGCTCTCGTTCAAGGTCCTGGCATTCGCACTGACGACTACCTACTCTACAAAGATCGTTGGATACACAAACAGACTATTTGCCAGCTCGTGATCAACAAGGAGTTCATATCCAAATCCTTCAACCGACTTGAGCGTGTACATGGCTATACCAAGGTCAATAAGAGGATCAATATGTGTGCCGGGCGCATCACTGATCAAAACTTGTTTCTCGTTGGCGACGTATTCCTCACTATCCTCCGATCAGCTCGTACTATATCTATCGCCATCCTTCGCTCTATTTTGGTCACTCTTAATGATGTTTCCCGGTCATCGATTAGCACGACGTTAATGAAGGCTTCTCGTACTACAGCAAAAGTTACCGGACAGCTTCTCACCCTTGTGCCTACACTTCACCCGGCTCTCAAGATCCTCTGTCGTTCCTCTGGAATGGAGGATACATCAAAGCTCGGTCCGCTATCCCAGGAACAACAGAGTCTACGGAACGTATCGTAATTGTCAGCGTGCCCGGCTTCCTCGTCGAACCAATCAATCCCGAGCCCACCTTTATTTGACTTCGCGAAGATATCAATAGCGACAATTTTTCGGAGATTCAAGGGGGGCAAAGTACTTGGCAAGTGTCATATGGTACCCTTCAAGCGGCATGCGAGCTCTTGTGGATGAAGGCAGTCGAAGCAAAAGTACCTCTCAAGTCTATTGCTTGTATCACTCCTTCAGATGCCAAAGAATTCCCTTACCAACTCTCCGATGGTATGTTTTTTCTTACATTAAGTTGCATTTGACTGACAATGCTTCTTAGGTACACCTGCTGTTGTCTCTGTCGAAGCATGTAATTTGCTTACGGCGTCCGAAGGCAAGCGGATCACCATGTGCCCACTCTGTGAAGCGAAGGTTGCCGACATGCGCTCTCATATTGGCCAGCACATTTTGCATGCATTAAGCAACACACCAGAGAATGTCAGTTTGAAGGAACCGGTGTGTTTTTTTGCCCATGACTGCTGTACATTAATTTCTAATACATCTGCTCAAGGTTGGCAATGTGCTTCCTTGCGGTTTTTGCGGCCGCTCTGGACTACCGGGGTGTTCTATCACCATCAAAGTCCCTGCCAGCGGCCCTCCAGTCTGGGAGACGAAGTGTATCTACCAGCACACCTTCAAGTACGGATTTGCAGAGACAGGTTCCAAGAACAAACCTTGTCGGAATGTTCCCCTCAAATGTGCTCTTTGCTACCCTACTCTCCCTCCTGAACCTGGAAAGTCAATGCGCAGGACGCCAGTCGTATCCGTCGATGCTGTCTGGAGGTACAACATGGTCAACCACATACTCAATGAGCATGAGGAATACTCAGTGCCCGGGCATAGAGTGTTGGGTGTCGCCTTGCCGGCGGTGGTCTGGATGGATGTCAAGCTGACTGAGCTTGAACAAAGCGCCTCCCGCATTGCGAAAGAGCGCTGGCAGGTGGGACAGGAGAGTGATAAGGAGAACATCCCTGCATCTGGTTCACGCACACGCAAACGTCCTGCCCTTGAGTCGGCCGCATCCCTACCTTCGAAATGACCTCGTACCTCTGTCCAACCACTTCAGTTTGCATGCACTTTAATTGCATAGTCTCCTTGGTTGATCCGTTAATCGATCGTGTTTTCACTCATGTTCAGTTGCACTATCATTAGTATCATTCACGCACAATGTTTACAATTGCTACACACTGTTCTACGATGTTTTGTAGCGTGCTTTAGTTATTGCATATGTCTTAGTTCTTTGTCGCTAGATGAACTGACTAAGCTACCTAATATAGTCATATTGCCGTGACAATCACGCTGTGACAGGGGGCGGGGGGGGGGGCTCGAAGTTTTGCCAGGATGATGTCAGAAGTTGTAAATTTGCACCCCTCTTGGGAGCGGTAGTCCGCACGGTAAGATTATGTCAGCGGATATCGCTGGTGTGAGTGATCCTAAAAAGGCAAAGTATGAGTTTATTTTTTGCCTACCTAGTTTGTACCAAAGATATCCTAGTGAGTTCTTTATCCTATCTATCAGATTTTCACCGGATCAACTAGCCCACACAAGACATGAGTGCTGAGCAGAACAATTCGAAGAACCAGAATTCAGGCTCGCTTACAACATATCTATCTTCCCATGGGACCCATGGTTTCTGCTCCGAATATTACATAATAGGTACTGCATCATATATTCATCAGACAATCACGGATTATATATCAGGATGGTATCACTATCACTGGCTGTGCAAAATGATCATCCACCTTAGTTGACATTAGCACCACTGTATGATGGATTGGGCGTAGTACGTCTCACAAGTTTTGCGTTGGAATAAGGAGGGCATGAGAGCACAGGTCTGGCAGAACACTTTGCAGGAGCGACGAGGTGGATTTGAAGGCACATTTCGGAGCGTGCTTGGAGGCACGGCAAAGGGGTGGTGGAAGCGTGAGCGTGTGGCAAAGAGGTGGTGGAAGCACTGGTCCAAGGGTTGGATGGCCGCCACCGTGACAGCATACTGGTAAATTCTGTGCAGCGGTAAATCAAGGCAGGGCTGATCTAAAAAAATATTATTTCAGTGGGATAAAAGCGCTTGATGGTTGGTAGATATATTCTGTATGAATGCTGGCTTTCGGTGGCCCATCATACGTCCACTAAAATTGCCACTCACTGCTCACACCCATCCCTCCAATATGACCGTAATTTCAGATGATCCTAGTCAATGGCCGCTGATCAATTCATATAATTTTCACAGCTATTTTATAGGTTCATGGAGACTCGGTCGGTTGATGTCGGTGATGCCTTGAGCTAATGATTTCATAGTTGCAGCTTCCGCTGCGATTATTTATGATTGGGGTGAGCAAGATACATCAGGAAAAAGGGAAATTTTCTTAAACACACTTAAGGTGACTTGAAGGTAATTCTAAGTAAGATTAAGTAGAATTCTGCTAAGTATTCCATTGCTTGAAAAAGTAGGGTCTTCTGATGAATTTGACTTATTGTTATACTTATCAGTGACTTGAGATAAGTACACAGTTAAGCATATCAGGAAAAATGGTACTTGTCATTATGGCTCAAAACCCCCCAAAAAGCGAAAATTTCAAATTATATTTCCAGTAACTACTACAACACATGTAAACTACTAACTACAAAAGAGGTAAAAATGCGAAAATTAAAGGAGGAAGAGGCAAGAGAGCTAGAAGGAAGAATCAGAGAGGAAATGTAAAAACAAAAGAAAGATTTACCAAATAGCCAAAAATCCAAAAATTAGAGGAAGGAAGAGGAGTTAGAGGCAGAGTGAAAATAAAAAGGAAGACTCACCAAATGGTAAAAAATGCGAAGATTATTGAGGGGAAGGTGATGGTGGAGGAGGAGGAGGAGGAGGAGGGAAGAGAGCTAGAGGAAGGAGAGGGTCAGAGGGAAGGAGAAGAAGAGAGAAAGAAAGACTTACCAAAGAGGCAAACTTAGGGAGGAGGAGGAGAAGGAAGACAAAGAAAGAGAGTTGAACACAAAGAAAGAGAAAAGACTCACCAGAGTTCAAAGCACCAGCCCCAGCCCCAGCACCAACAACATCAACACCAACACCAACTTCAAGAGAAGGAGAAGAAGAAGAGAAGAGAGGCAAAAACTCAGAAATTGTCAGAGAAAGATGGAAGATAAACTAAGGAAGAGACAGTGGGAGAAAAGGAAGGAAAAGATGGGAAAAGACTTGTGGTTGACCGCACTTTTGCTTATATAAGCAGTGCCAAACAAAGCCACAACACAAGACTTAGTGAATTTTCGAGTTTTTGGTTAATAGCATTTGAACCTTTCAATTTCAAGTATTTTGCTTATAACTCACTAGGATCTCAACCTATTGGTGTCATGAGACTATGGATAGACTCCCCTTGATGAAGGCTACAACTTTGGTTTTCATCGAAAAAGTTCCCACAGTCAAGTTGCTTTCTTGAACCCTCCACTTTCGAGTATTTTGCTGATATCTTACTATGATCTTAACCTATTGATACCATTAGACTATGGATAGACCACTATGAGACTGCAAGCGGGTTCGAGTCACTGGGCAAACTAGTGAATTGCGCGATTCACCTGATAAACCAGTGGTGAGGTGGTGGCCGGTGTGGAACAGGTGATTTCGTGTCACCGCCTATTTGGGTAATTTTCGATGCTTTGCAAGCTACTGTATTCACCGTCCATCCTGCAGTTGATAATCACCTGTTCTCTCAGTTACATTCACCACTTGAAAAAAATGCCAAATCTGTCGACAGATGATAATCTTTGACGTCGCGCGCTGTTGCAATTGTACCCATCGAATCACTGATCTTCGTCAACTGCCCATCAGCGCCACTAACAATATGACCACCAACTCTTCCGCACTGTGAGTCATCTTAATTTCTCTTTGACTTAACTGCTCAATATCACCTTTCACCAGACCATCCAAGCCAACTTTGTTTTGTCGCCTCAAGATACCTGAGAATCTGGATGACCCTATTGAATTATGTACGTGTCTCCATCCTGAGCTCCTGACCTATGTATCATATACACATACTGACCACTGTCTCCTCAGCCCCCGAATACCTCACGATACTTGCTGCCCAGGCCAAGGCCTCCAAGCCCAATGATGCTGACACAACCATGGTCCTGGAGGATAATCTTGTTGTGCCAGTGGACTATATCGAGAATCTCATCGAGGCACGCTGGAATGCGGAGAGGCAGCGGTGTAATGCAGAGTGTAAGGCTCAGTTGCTCGAGCTTAAAATTTTCACAAGGGCTAGATAAAATTTACACCAAGTACCAAAATCCGTGAACATGATCTCAATTGCAACCTTGCCTCTTGTGAATGCTAAGAATCCTCAAAAGCTGCATGAGCAAGATTCCCACTTCGGTCAATGATTGCCCACTGCCGACCTCCATCCATTGGCACACGCCCAATGAGACATTGCAAGCAGACAATGTCCACGACGTCTAAAGTATCATTGAGGCTACTGTAAAAGTGAATGTCGAGAGCGTTCAAGCTTGATGGAGTGGATTTGAGTTTGCATGTTGACAATGCAGTGAGGAAAATGGTAGTTGGACCGTCAACTTTGAGAGCTGGAGTATGTGGAATGCAAATGACAAAAATATGTTGCAGATGACCATAGAATGTCTGTTTCTCATATGCAGGTGGCATGTGATGTTGTCGAGCGAATTTATCAATGAGGGTCTCATACTGCAAAGTTCTGTTGGCACGCGCAATGACACCACATAAACAACTAAACTCACTCGCACAAATGTGGCGTCTCATGAATCATGTTGGGATGAAACAAGCCCTGCCGCAAGCATTGTGTCACCACCATCCAGCCATCGGACCTTGCCCCATTGCTCAATACACACTTCTTTGACATGCTGGCGAACCGATGCTAACGACACATCAAACCGAGTTGCAAGTGCCTTGAAGATCCGTGAGAGTGTGACTGATGCGAGTGGGGTTGTTCTCTGTGGTGGCAAGAGCACACATGATGGATCTGTTGATTGGGGAAGTAGTAGTAAATAATTGGGGTGTGCTTGAAAGACATAGCAAAAACAAACACGACTCATGCTTGAAATGCCTGGCTATGACTCCCAATTGACATGGACGAAGGGTCAGTTCTTCTGTGAAATTGTGGACAAGCGCTGCTTGTGTAAGTTGAGCGTGTTCGACAATGTAACAAGCCATGCATGCATCAGGATGACGTCTGCTCATAATTGCTGGTTGCATCCGCCCACAAAACCTCTCCATTGGAAATGCCCAACTGGTCCACACTTGTCTGGTCTCTTCGATGCTATCAGCTATGTGCAGAAGTGCATGAATTGTGATAGGGCATGCTGATAGACATTCGGGATTGTTTTGGTAGTATATCCTAAACAACGGCACCTTAGACATCAAGACAAGCACTGCAGAGAAGTGTTAAGGACTCACACTTCAAATTCTTCGAACCAAGTGGCAAACCCCATTCTCAAATCACTGATATCTGCAGATGAGAGCTTGAACTGAAGACAAACACGGACCATGCGAACAAGCTTCACAAAGTGCTTATAGTACTCTTTGAGAACTTGTGATGCAAAAGGACCGGCCCAAGATATTGAGTCCAAAATGACCACGAGTCTGCTGTGCACATACTCTGTTCAGTGGCTGGATTAGGTGGGCGAGCACCATATGCTGATGGGATAAAAGAGCCTGAATTAGCACCCACTTGACATACAGCATTCCAGACACTTTCGCCCAGCTCATAATCCTCCAACCCAACATTGAGGCCTTTGAATTCACCTGTCCAGAGTAAGATAAGGTTTTTGATGACATTCTCCCAAATGAGGTGCATGAAGTCATAGGGAAATGACTTCGGGAATGATAGTGAGGACACAAAACTTAAAACAGGTATGCCTTTGATGCCATATTTCTTGGCGAGTCTCTCTGCTTCAGCTGTTGTGGGTGCCAGTTGAACTTGCTGAGCATGTTGCATCATCTCCTCATGAGTGCGGTGGGGGAGTTGAAGTGGATCGAATTTTTCACGGCAGTGCATGATGAACGAATCTCAGGGTGACTGCTTCAATTGAGAGGCACCTAGTGCACAGTACTTTTTGCCCAGGGAACTCGAACCCCAGTAATGTTGCATGTTTGACAGGGAGAATAACCGTTGTGACCCTTGATTTGCATGACCATTGAAACTGCAGGAATATCTCCTGCCACAATGATGAGATAAGCCTGGAGGATGAACAGCTTCGCCTGGAGTGAGTCAAATGCCCGAACTCCTGCAGCTAGTTTGAGGTGCTCTTCGACAAAAAGCCATAGAAAAGAATCAAAGTCTTTGGTTTCTTTGGGCCAGGAACCACACCCAGGCATATGATATAATCCTTGAGAAATCGGATTTACGGAGGGAGATTGTAGTTGAAGAGAATGATTGGCCAAGCAGTAGATTTTCGACGTCGGAAAGGTGCAAATCCATCAGTTGACAATCCCAGCACAATATCACAAGGGTTGAAGTGAGAAAAAGGCATCTCTGTGTCATTGATGACAACATTTGTAGCCCACAGCTGGCAGTACCACAAGCCATCAAAGATGTCATTGACTGAGCCAGGAGTGTGTATGTGATCGTGCACACGGTATCTCATTTTTGTTGCCAATGCAGGATTGTGAAACATCGAGACGAGGCGTGGAATGACGGGAACATAAGTGAACTGTTTCTGTGGCCGCTTGTTGGACTGGTAGCATGGTGCACTGCAATGCGGACAGACTTCAAGATCTTCATTTGGCCCAACAAAACAGCAACATGAGTTCACGCAGCAATCGTGATATTGAGGCTCTAGTCCTGATAAAAATGCAACTCACGATTTTGCCTTCTTAAGGCTTGGGACATTGGCGGAGGGGAAAGCAAACTGGAGCATGTTAAAATTGGCCTCAGTCAAGTGAGACTTGATTTTGTATGCGAATGCACGCAATATATCTTTGTCGTCAATGCTGAGATCTTCACCTGCTAGTCTATAAGCTTCACTACATCAAATCTCACAGCAAAAAACACACTGATCTCCAGGAGCTCCTGTTTGACTCCTTCACCCAATAACTCATCCTCAACATCACTCTCAAGGCCAACCTCTCGGTCAAAGTCCTCATTGGAGTCATGGTCAGAGTCCTCTTCTCCACTGCTCTCAAGATCATTTTTCTCTTCATCAGACAACAGTTCCCGCTCAGCTGACTCTACAAGATGGCTGCAAGATTGGCGAGCCATTGAGAGTGCATCATGTACAGTGCATCAGGGCTGGAATTAATGTATCGTTCGGTGGGATCGGTGAGGTGGCATGAAGAGGTGATGGACTTGGTGGAGGACTGAATGATATGTTGTAATTATCCTGCACGTCTGCGAATGCATTGGTTATAGTTTGGTTTCATCATGAGAGAGACATACCCAATGTCATTTCATCTTTGAGTTGAATATTCTCTGAGGGCTGCGCTACCTGCTTTGCCTTCTTATGTTTGCCAGTGGCGAGAAGTTTCGACTGATAGGGTGATGTTGCTTTCAAACGCGGAGGGGCAATGAGTAGGCGGTGATTCCGCCATGTTCTTTTACTGACCCATTTGTTACAACAGCGGCATAGTTTACGCACTGCAGGGTGGTGAAATTTAACCATGGAATTTGGACGTGTTCTGGCAGATCAGCGAAGCTTTAAGGACAAAATGACTTTGATTCACATCTGTGGCTGCATACAAGGATTCGCAGCGCTAGCCACCATACCCACATTCAGTCCTCTCATCAGACCCATACAATAACCATGCCTGGCAGTAATGAGAACCGACCACCTACGGGGCCAACTGTTGCAGCTAAAAAAAAGCGGAGCTGCACCGAGCAATCCAACAGCAGCTTCCGGCCAGGTCGGAACAGTTCGACCACCTGTGGCAGCCAAAACAATGACTCCAGCTTTGAAAACCTCGAATAAAAATCAGACAAAGCAAGTCCTGCAAGAGAAGAACACGAAACTTGAGGATGAGAATTCTCGTCTCAGAGGTGTGGAAAAATTTTCTTACCGGTGCCATTGGTATTTCAAATAACAAACATATTTCGAGCAGCAAAGATCTTGCAACTTGAGGAGGCTGGACAGGCAGCAAAGCTCATGACCACAGAAGCAGAAGCTGCTAAAAAAGTTGCAGAAGAGAAGATTAGAAATGGCCGTCATGGTGTTGATCCGACGCACGAGCTCATCCAGAAGCCCACAACTGCCGAAATGAGAGACTTGGGCAGCAGAGGCCGTCTGCTCAAGGCGATGAAGCTTGAGGATAACAAAGCAGAATATCTGGCCATTCAGGTCAGTTGTTTGGAAAACAAAAAGACTTGGCAAAAAATGTAGTTTTTTTAACTGTAATAAATCACCTGTGGGGTGGGTTGTTATTACCAATCCCCGGTGATGTTCAACATGTAATGCGGTGACTCTGACTAGATTGACGGGTGATGGTACCGGCGAAATTCACCAGTTCTGGGTCGCATAGTGGACTCTCCTTGACAAGGGCTACAACATTGGTTTTCATGAAAAAAGTTCCCACAGTCTATTATCATACTTAATTCTGGCCATGCATTACTTACTATTATTGTGTTTCCTTGGTGAACAATTCTCCAAGCAGAAATTAAGTCAGAATGATTTGCTTTGACAGCTTGGTGAACTTAGCATTGAATTAAGTCTGTTTAAGTGAGATAAGATGGCTAAGACTTTTTCCCATTTTCCTGATGTAGTGGTGAAGAATCATTAAATTATCTTAACAATATTCCTAGCACTCACTTTCAGACAAGAGGTAGGTTGATGCAATTACTGGAATGGCCATCTCATTAAGCATGGTGTAATAGGTCAAACTAATCTGGGTAAGCGAAGTACCTTATCAGCAAAACAACATGATAATAAATTTGATTCAGGGCAGAAGCGACGCTGGTCTTTCATGACTTTTTTATATCTCAGTGTATGTATTTTATGTTATAAATTGGCATGTTGTGCTGAGTGGAAGTACTATAGGTGCGCTATGCTGCACTGCCATACATTGTGTAGGTTTGCACAACTACCAAGTTGATGCTATGCTAATAGGCCTTCTCTGACAACCAGGATATTCATGCTCAGTATGTTTCTTGACATACACCACATTCATTTCTTCTGACCAGTGGTGCATAGTAACTCTTCCGACAATCTCAGTGTCAGATGCAGTGAGCATTCTGCACTGATGCCTGTCATTCTTGTCTAATCAACTGCACTTTTACGCAGGGGTAAGTGATACACTCAATTAATTTGTTCAGCATAATGACTCGGACTACAACAGCTGTGAGTTTGTTTGGAGTATTTTAGCGTTTGGGTCTCATCACTGACTGGGTTTTAGGCAATAATCTCTTCCTAGCACTAAACTGGCTTAATGTGGTCATAACTGCCTTACTGAGAAGTGAGCTACTTAGAAACCTCAGCAACCTTGCATTGGCTGACTGATCACGCAAGTCATCATGGTTGCTCGGCTACATGCCATATATCAGCAATCCAGAAGGATACTTATCTTTCTTGTTGCAATCTTCCTGGGTATCACGATCGCTTGCGTGGGGATCACTGCAATAGGGACAAGCCATACCATAGGGGGTAAGCTTGAATCATGGATTAAGGACATCAGTACATCAGGCTTATTGAATGAATACCAGAGGAGTTCATTCTCTCTGGCAACTATCAATGCAATTATAACTATGAGGGAGATGCCCGACTTCTTAATTCCATGACTTGGATGCTCTGCACTCTATGGGAGGTCCTCTCACTGTGTCTTGCAGTCTGGATTGCTGTCAAACACTTTTGTGAACTGCCACAACCGCTCAGGACAAGGACCATCTGTGACTGCTTGACGGTGGTAATAAAAACTCATGTGGCTTACTTTGCAAGGTGAGCTGTTTGAACATAGATGCTGTAGTTTGCTGAATCACACCTGCTAGCTTCGCTGTTGGTTCTTGCTTCACCATTGGCTTTTTGTCCCCAACACTCATGGTATGCCGATTGACCTGTCATGACATCTTCGTGTGACCGTTGTTAATGCATTTCTATAGGACTCGAATTCCGTGGGGACTGTGGCTTATCACGGTATTCTCGATGTTTTGTCAGTCATGCAGATGTTCGTGCTAGGACCGCGCCTCATCCTTAGCATTCGAGAATACAACGCTAAGCTTGTGGCTGACTTCAATGCAGGAACCCGCATGACTTCGCTTGTTTTCCATCCGGACGCATATGCATCAACTGGTAGTATTGTCACGGTGTGACACAAAGACCTCTCTGAGTCAACTCCGAGTCAACTAGTCATTTGCCAGGCACTCTTCAGGGACTCGGAGCAGAAGAATCCTGTTTTGTCGTTTGTAGTGATTGGGTGTTTCGTAGTAGATACTATGGAATAAGCCAATATCATATTGTACTACTACCAATGGAACTGGCTGCCGCACTTGCATGATGGCAAGTTACATCAAACAGCCATTATACAGTTTTGAGATGTTAGTTTTCAAATATATACATTGAGGAATATTATTGTTGAATCGCGAAAGTTTTAGTCTTGATGAGTCATTTTTCCAACAAGTTCTAACTCAATTCTGCTCAGTGTGATTTAGGGTTCAGGGAATTTGGGGTGGGCTAATTTGCCCGGCTAATTTACCTTGCTAATTTACCGTGAATGACAGGGTGAATTTCAGACCCTCGAAAACCAGGTGTCAATTTGGGCAGAAAGTCTCAGGATTCGGGTTTTCGCCCCTTCGCGCTTTCGCCCCGCAAACAATGATAAATAACTAATATTAATTTTGTATGTGTTAGGGCGTGTTATATAATCAAGCTTGCCACACGACGTCATGTGTCAATGTCTCTTATCTTGAATATATTCCTCTCCGAGTCTGGCATCTCGCATCTCGCTATGCGACTTCCACCCCACTGTCATGCATGGTATGTGACTCATACCATGACATATACATAGCAGGAGTAATAAGGGAGGTATAATACACCAGGATGTATCCTATCACCAAGTTACCCCATCATTTTTCCCTTAGTTATTAGCTAGTATTTTCACTTTCAAAACTTCACTTCCATTTCTCCATGTATTTCTATTTTGTTCCATGAGATTCTATCTGTTTCCATTTTTCTAGGCATATTTATCCATCAAACTTCCTCTCCAGCCACAAAGCATGTTTGTAAGCTTGTCATGTGACTGGTTAATAATCTGATTTGTAAGGATTCAACTTGACTCATCATGTTTTTGTCATGATTCGTCATGCTTTGTAAGACTTGCAAGTGTATTTATAAGCTACTTAGTAAGAAGGCTGATTCAGCTCACTCAAAAGATTGGTTTGTAAGCATGTTCTTACCAATCCTTGGGATGACTCATGTTTTTTATTCATCTTTCTTTGTAATATTACATTGTATTAATAAGCTAGTTAGTAAACAAGCTGACTCAACACACCAAAAGGATTGATTTGTAAGAATGTTCTTACCAATCCATGTGCTGAATCATGCTTAGTAAGATGGCCTCCAAAAAGGTATAAAAGGAGCCCATTTTGCCACTGTCAATCTAAGCTTCCCACTTTAAACCCTGTTCTCAAATCAAGTGAGATTACCTAAGAAATAAAGTGCAGGCAAATCTAGTGCCTTGAAGTAAGACTAAGAAACATCTATCTGAGTTATATACTACCTTACAGGGGTTGACTATATAACAAACTAACCCACTAAACTTAAACTAAACTTCACACATACAAATAACCTCTCTCTTTCATAGGAAGGGAGAATCAAACTAAGAGAACTACTTCACATTGAGGCAAACTTTCATAGGGTGAAATAAACCTATTTAATTGACAAAAGACCTCAAAGCAAACCTACAGAGAGAAAGCAAGAAGGGGACATTTTTAAGTAAACCCTCCCAAGAACTCACACGTTATCTACCACGAAAACTAGAAAAGTCGTAGACTGTGTACTTAAGGACTGGCAAGAAGTCTTATCCTATATAGTTGTGCTGTCACTATATAAGCGACGTACATAAGACCCTTAAGTAAGAGGATACCGCCTACTGGAATAAATACAGAATAGCCATGAGGGTATTGATCCCTTTGTTTTGTTGCACCAAACATCCCCAAGGTATAAAGGAGCGCTGCCGCATGCTCAACAGACTTATCCCCTTCTTCCTCTCACTTTTTCTACCACCAGCTATCTTCAGTGCAACGCCTCCCGGTTCCTGCCCGCATGTAAATTTATTAATGTGCGTGGGCTACTCCGTCTAAGTGTTCCATAATGCTCACTGTATCTGCTGACACTAGGTACTTTGTTATCGCTCACTCATTCCTATTTCGTTCAGTTCCACCAGCCATTGCTCCACCAACAATTTCCTTGGTGCGTTATCAATTTTGTCAATATGGGTAAGTCGTATCTGTAAAGCCTCGCATCCTGCCCGCTAAACTGTGTTTCTTCAGATTCACCTTCATACTATCCTACCAGCAATGTCCGATGTCACACCCTCGATGTTTCCTATCAAGCCCGAGTGGTCTGCCATTTGCTCGACCCACCGTCAGCCTGTCGAGTGGAGTGTGGTGAAGGCCAATCTCAAGGGCAATCAAGGACGATGGTATGCCAAAGTAAGTCAGTCCAGCATCATTGTCTTACCCTCATGCTAATTCATTGGATACAGTGCAAAATTCGTAACGAAGATGGCATGCCCTGCTCCTACTTTCGGTGGGGCTCACCGAGGACGTCACCTACACAGTTGCCACAGATTTCACCGGTTCCATTGCCCAGTTTGAGCAGCCAGGCAAGGCATTGTGCTGTTCCTGGTTGCAAGTTCCCTCGAATTGCTGCAGATTGCGAGAACATCTGTTGTCACACGCACTGCATTACCTTTGGAGGCTGCAAATTGAAAAACCACTTTGTACTTGCACTTAGCCCTCCAGATGCTTGGTCATTGACACAATCACTATCACCAACACCAGTTCTTTCAGCTGCCCCTTCACCATTACCTTCTGCTTCACCGTCTCCTCTGCCATCTCCATTGCTCTCACCTGCCAGTGCCTTACCAGATACAGTATTGCCGCCCAGCCATATTCGTTCATCTTCGCGCCAGGCTTCAAGGCAGCCTGCTAGACAGTCCCGTGGCCGACATGCCAGTAAGGGCAAGGGCCGTGCTATTGAGCCCAGTACCGAGGTGGATATCTTGGCTGATCCACACCATCAATCTCAACTCCCACCAATTTTCATGGAGCGCTATGCAGAGCAGGAGCGCACACTTCAACAAACGCAAGCCAAAGCAGCCTCTGATCGTGACTTTCAAATGCAGGTTGCTAATACTGTGAATGCCTATGGGTGGTGTAAGGTGAACTTTTTTGCGCTGCTTGTAGCTGTGGACTGTTATTGACGTCTTGAATATTAGGATGGCGAGGATGCCCAGTTATGTGAATTTCAGAACGGGTTTGTATACCCCAAATTCCCAGTGACCACGGACATATTAGCAGCACTTGGCCTTCCTTTTGGCATCGACGGCAAACACCTGGTTCAGTACTTCAATCCCTCGTGCTGTCGATGGGTCCAAATTTTCCAAGGGCACGTGCTTACCCTTGATGCACGTTCTGTCTACCTGTGCAATGTGGGAGTTACAGTCACGCCAGACTTTGATTCTGTCTTCACACATTCCTCTGACGCTGCAGCTCCTCCCCACCTGCGAAAGAATCTTCCAAGGGAGCGAGCATCAGTGCATCTAGCCATCAACCAGGATATCATTGCCGATGCCTCCTTGCCTTCGTCTCCAGCGCCATTGCCATTGCCATTGCCTCCAGCACCATCACCTTCACCTCCAGTACCATCACCTTCTCCCCCACCCACTGTGCTCAGAACCCGTCATCGCAAGGTAGTCTGCACATCTGATCTGCTAGACCTTAGTATAGACTTGGATGAGAGCGACGAACATGATGGTGACCGTACCATCACTCCATCTTCATCTGGCCTGTCACCGGAGCATCCAATCGATGTTGATGCATTCATCGCTACTCGCCGATGGCCAAGCGATTTCTATACCTGTGAGGTTTCAGCTTGTTTTGATGCCTGCAGGAAGGCACGCGAGGCCGGCAAGTCATTCAAGTCTACGTTCCTGGCCTTCTATGGGCCAAAGGTGAAGTTTAACCCATCGACATTCACAGAACACTACCAGCGGTGGTTTGATGCACCGGTCTCCATGTGGGCCCGGTTTGTGTCCTGTGGCATGATGCAGGAGGGACTATATTCTATGTTTATGAAGGAAAGTCCTGCACGTCATGCACAGGTAAAGGCTGTGAAGAAGCGTCTAAAGGCAAACTGATGGTTCAATTATCATATCTCTACTAGCATCGCATCACCTACACATCTCAGCCTCATTTTGTTGTGTATATCGTCTAACATACTACATGTAATTATTCTACTGCCAATGGCCAGTTGTCTGTGTTTCGTCCCTCTGTCTCCAACTTTGCTCTTGTCATCCGGTTCTTTTGCAAAATCATCTCATCAAGAAAAATGCATAGTGGTCAGCAGTCATTTCTCGACAGATTGAATGATATCCTCCAAACCAAACATTGGTCTGCTCTGCTACTGATGAGTTGAAAACCCACTGCCCATTTTCGTCCTTTAAGTCGTCAAAAGCTGAGGGATTGCAGTGCGTCTGACACCACATATCTTCTTTGGAATGTTTGCATTTGGAGTGGAATACATCGACAGATAATCCTATGTTGATGAAGTAAGGATCGTTGCGCACCATGTAGGAGAGGGTGCAATTGTTGTCGTAGAATATGTGATCTGGCCTAATGCTTTCATCACGATACACACACTTGATCATTTCCTATAACACTGAAGTTAGCAATAACAGTGGTGTTGAACTTAAAACATATGATAACACTCGCAACTCCTTCTGCTCCATAGAAAGTCTCTCGTGCTATGATCATGCTGCAGGGTGCAACGAAAAGCTGTTCGTTGTGTGTACGCTTGCAGCCAAATTGTGCCTTAACCTTGCGGTTCGTCCTTTGCGGTGTGGCAGCAGCATTCATGACAACTTCATCTCTCTCGTTGACATCGAAATCTTCTTCTAGCGGGCTATCATCGTCGATCTCGTCCACAGCTATATCTCTGGTATTGGAGCTACTTGGGTTGGAAACATGAGCACGCTCAAGATGTTCTCTGAGTTGGAAGCGTGCCTGTCCACGTTCGGTGTATGCTGCCTCAACAGCATAATGAGCCGGATCGCTGCACGTCTTCTTTGCGGTGTAGAGACTCGATCCTGGGTAGCCTCACAATGGCACATATTGCAACATAGGTCGAGTCTACAGTATCATGCATGTAACACGACACTTGCGCGATAAACGCGACGTTCGCACGACTTAGGCGACACTTCCGCGACATAGGCGACACTTGCGTGACTTGCGCGCGCTTTAGGCGAATTTTCCCGCGCCTAAGCACTATAGGGCGCCTGACTTCCCACTGTGTTTTCCCATGTCCAACCAAGTTCCCAGGTATGCATTTCTCCATTTATCATTTATTTCAACATCGTACCATGTTTATTTTCACTTGGTACACATTTTTCATGACACATTTTTTACTTTACACAACACACATTACCACGGACCACCATCATCATAGACAGTCACCATCTCCGAGTTTTTATTATGTTTTGAATAAATCATCGCAAGCCCTAGTAGCAGTTAGCTCTAGTGGCCATATCCGCATCAGTTGTCTTATCAGCATCTCAGTACACATCTTAACATCTCACTATCGCTCGCATACCGCTTTCACCCAGTTCCGCTTTTCGACGCGCGACTTTCCCGCGCTTCGCGCGCCTATAGCGCCTTTGTTCCCGCGCTTTCGCCTTATCACGCGCTTTGCGCATCCCCCCTAGAGTTGACCAGTGGATATTTGCTTTCTCCGCTTCCCCTAAGGGACGAACATATCGCACTCATATTTTCCTCCCTTCAACAATTATATCAGCTGCACCCTCAGCTGAGTTGAAGATCCTTCAGCGGGGATAGTGGGATTGTCACACCCAATGATGGTGCATACACCATCAAGAGAGCTATGAGTGAGACAAAAACGGTCACGGTTGTTGGCAAGCGGATTATGGCAGTTATGGACACTGCAGCATGGGTGCCCGACAGTGACACCATCTATGACAATAACAGACAGCTTGCTATCCACCTTCCCATCATCGTCCTCGTCATAGAAAGAAGTGCATTTAGAGCAGTAGTGACACAGCTCTTCCTGGCCATAATACTGAATTCTACGGTTCCTCACTTGAATGGCTGCAGTGAAGCGGTCTCGGTGCAAACCTGAATGTTGGACAGCAAGAGTCTCCCCACGACATAGAAGATCTTCAAGGAGTGAGAGTTGAACAATGCCACTCCAGACATGGTCACCAGAAAGAGAGAAACTGTAAGGAAAGTCATCTGGAGGGACAGCTTGATGAGAAAGTGCCAGGTTATACAGACGAGCGCAATTTGACATTGATGACCTAAAATCACACAATATCAGCACCAGTTGGTAGCAGTGACATTGCGACACCTACCAAGACACAACATTCATAGTCCTCCACATGCGGATAACTGCTGTTTCGACAAACTGATGTCCACCCACATGAATGATGTCTGGAACACCTTTGTAGTAGGTCCTCTGGCATGAATTCTTTGGTGCTTTGTAGTCGACATAGTAGTTGTGATGAAATGTGACATTACATTCTGTGCGTAGCATCCAATTAGTGTGAATGGCAGTCAATGAAACTGTAGCACGCACCTTCACATTTGAGGTCAACTGTGTACGTGGCAATGGGGCCATTGTTAAGGGTGTACAGAACAGCAGGGCGCTGCATAGCCTTCATTAATTTTTTCTCGTTCACGCAGTTAAGCGTGCTGCAAACTTGTTGTGGAGGGTAAAGAGCACGATGTGCTGGATCAAATAGTACATATAGCTGATGATCCAGAGGCAGTTACTAGTATATGACAGATAGGCTTACTGATTCCATAGATGCGATTTTCGGAAAAGATCTTGAACAAATCACCTAAACCAAAGGTGCCCTCATACCAGACAATGTTCTTGAGTACTGTCCAGTATGCTGGTACATCACTAGCAGGAATACAACAACTTGCTGATAAGAACTCAAGGAGGCTGGTTGAAAGATGGTTGGGTGGCTCATTGACATTGTAATTGCCAGGCTGAACAAGGGTGATGTCGTTTTTGAGCGAGGGTAGCAAGAACGACAAACCGAAAAATAGAATAGAGAGAGATTTGGGCCTGGGCTGAGACAGCTTGTTGCAAATTCGAAAGAAGGTCAATGATGGAGGCAGATGACTCGTTCTCCATGATAGATAGGATTCGATGACTACCAGCAGCGAGGTAGTACTACAACTACAGATCCAAGTCACACTTAACTTTGCATACCGATATTATTAAAATTATTTATTATCATTTGCGGGGTGGAAGTGATTGGTTGCATAGCGAGATGCGAGATGCCAGACTCGGAGAGGAATATATTCAAGATAAGAGACATTGACGCATGACTGTCGTGTGGCAAGCTTGATTATATAACACGCCCAACACATACAAAATTAATATTAGTTATTTATCATTGTTTGCGGGGCGAAAAAGCGAATCCTGAGACGTCCTCAATTTGGGTGAATTTGGGTGAATTTGGGTCCAATGGTTCAGTTGGCCAGTTCAGCTAGACCAGTGTAAAAAGCTTAATTTCTGAACACCTTAGGCTCTGTTTGGACATCGAATTCAAAAAGAAATTCGCAATGAGAATTCAACTTACATGTCAGGTGACCTACTCACATGACCTTTGGCAAGGAATGCCAGCACGCCTCTTATCTCTGATATTAGCCACTCATATCCTATATCCTTGAGAGATGCTCACGTCTGACTCGGACTCGTCTATCGTGTCTCTTCACTCTCGAGTTTCTGTAGACTCTGGAGTAGTTGAGACCACATCAAGTTCACAAGCTAAGGGGAAAGGCAAGATTTCCAATCGCAAAGAGCCAGCTCGTTGGACGTCCGAAGAGGAGGCAGCGCTCCTCGAGTTTTTGCATCAAAACAAAGTGGGCACAGATGGAATGACGTACCCCAAATCGACATATACGAAAGCTGCCAATGCACTTGCAGAGAAGTTCAAGGATCAGAAGGGTGGCGAGAAAACTGATGCCGCTTGCAAAACAAAATTTGGTACACTCAAGAGTGCTTATCTTGCCGCGGTAGAGCTCAGATATGGAGGATCATCGTCGGGGTTTACGTGGACAGATGATAAGGGGGCTTGTGTTGACGAGAGTTCAGCTAGCGCTTGGGCAGGGTATATCAAGGTGAGTACCGTCCTCTATATGTGCAGGCCAATCTGATTTTTTTTCAAGTCTCACCCTCACGCCAGACAATTCCAGAACAAGGGATTTGCGTACTTCGCAATCTTTGATCTGCTGGCATCCGGCAATGCCACGAAGGGAATCCATGTCCATCGGGTCCAGAGAAAGAAGACAGGCTCTGCGTCATCTGCAGCACCTTTTACCAGCACCCGCACTTCTAACAAACTCAACCTCCATGAACTATCCGCTGCTACCAACGAAATCTCTGACAACATGCTCCATAACTTGCCTTTGTCTCCTACTAGCATGGGTCCTCCCACCACGCCTGCGCCCCGCCTCCCTTCCACAAGCCCACCTTCGGCCTTGACAAGTGCCAGCCGGGGCAAGCGCAAGGCCAGTGCACTAGAATCTGATGTTGACGTTCCATCCGGTAAGCGCTCTCGCCCGCCGTCTGCAACTGCCAAAGCGCAGCAGGATGGCAGCGCGGCAATTATGTCGCTCGCCAGTTCAGTACATGAAATGAGTAAAAATTTTGCTCTACCCCCACCCCCACCCCCACCCCCACCCCCACCTCCGGCTCCTGCACCCCCTGTCGCTGCGCCTCCCCCTGACTTCGCACGTGCTATTGAAGTCCTCGGCGCCGCCACCAACATATCAGACAAGGACAAGTTGGACATGATGCCGTTGTTCTTGAAGGACAAAGACGAGGCCATCGCATACCTATACATGAATGATAAGCTGAAGTCCGCTTGGGTGCAGAAGAGGCTGAGTGAAATTCGTGCTATGCACATTGACTGATTCGTATTACCGTTGTACTCTTACCAATGCTACATAGAAAGTAACAATAGGATTTCAGTTGCATCCTACCCTGCTTGATTGCCTCGCGCAGCGCACACAGCAACATAATTGTCCCACATGGCCTTAGCAATATCATCCCTGCGACGATCAGCCCGCCGCCTCTCCTGAGCATTCGCTGGTCCATCCCCCAGCTCATTCAGTTCAGCCAGCTCAGCCGCACCTTCCTCAAGCTCAAGTCCCAGAATATCTTCATATTCTTCTTCAAAAATGGTAGGGTCGAACCTGCGAATGAAATTGTGCAGCGCACAGAGCGCTACAGGGATGCGCGCTTGCACATCCATCTTGTACTCGGGTGGGAGCTGGAGAATACGCCATTGTCGCTTCATTACTCCAAAAATGCGTTCAATGATGTTGCGGAGTGACGCATGTCGATGATTAAATAGCTCTTGTGGTGTCTGCGGCCTGGAATGTCAAATGTCAAAAGCAGAAAATTTTGATACTTTTTGTTCTCACTGGAGATTGGCCTGACGCCATTCATTCAAGTGATAGCGGACACCACGGTATGGCACCAACAATGCATCACATGTACCAAACCCAGCATCTGCGAGTAGGTATTTTTCCGGAGGCAAGCGCAAGTCATGTGCGCGCGCATCATTCCAGAGTGTCGCATCAGCGACAGAACCGTCCCAGCCGCAAAGTGAATAGATAAAAAAAAAATCGTGATCGCACACGAATAGACAGTTTTGGGATAAGTATCCCTTGCGGTTGCGCATGGTGGAGTGTTCGCCTTGTGAGGCGAAGATCCGGATATGTGTGCCGTCTACGGCGCCAATGCATTGATCAAAAAAGCGGAAACGGGGGTCATTTAAAATTTTTTGGGAAATGGGAGTCTCGATATTCGGTAGGCGAACTTGCGAGGAGTAGAATGGGTCGTCTGAGAAAAATAGCAACAAGTGCTTGAAGTACCTACACAAAATACTATGTGAGACAAATATCAATTGCGACGTTCTGAGTATCTACCTGGCAATAGTGTCGGGGGAACGCTGGAATCGCTCACCAAGGTGGCGAGTCAAAAGTCCCGTCACACAAGCATATAAAAATATGCCCAATTGTTCCTCCACGGAGACGCCATTACGAGACCGGTAGATACCATGTTGTTGGAGAATTTGAATCAGTGCCTCAAAGACTTCTAATGAGACACCAAGGTTATTGCGGATTCGATCAGGGTGCCCTGTAGTGAGTTCATAAACCCATGCTTCACCAGTCAAGGCTGATGTATGGTACGGGATACGGGGAGTCGAAGTCAAAAACAATAGATTATACACGTATACAACTTGCGTGACGATGCAGGTCATAACGAAGGTAAGCCGGCGTCGACGGGTCTCCTCCCTGTGCCATTTCTGCGCTGAGTTTTCATAATCGTACATATTGATTGGGGGCGGGGGGCAACGTTCAACACTAGTACTGTTGTCCTCAAACAATCACTGTTATCATTCATCATATGTGCGCCACGTAGTGCCGAAGGTCATGCCGAAGGTCATGTGAGTAGGTCACCTGACACGTAAGTTAAATTCTCATTGTGAATTTCTTTTTGAATTCGATGTCCAAACAGAGCCTTAATTCATCATAGTCAAGATATATAAGTTGATTTGGTTGCCAACTCGGAAGATCACCGAGAATCCGAAATATTGTGAAGTTCGAGTCGCTGAAATATTGTAAATATTGTCCTCCCCATCGCGAAGCTACATGCAACATCTCAAGGATCAACTAGCTGAACTACGACTCTGTCTTGCAGCATTGCCAACAGACATTCCTATTCCGAAGGAGTCAAAGTATAAATTCTCAAACTTCACCTTAGACGCCGAATGAACTGCAGACATTGGCGAGGCTGCTGCCGTCAATCGAGAACTAGAAGTCAGGTTGGGCAGTCGAGTCAATGGCCTTAAACTCGTTGAACAAGGCCCAGAGATGGAGGCCATAGTCCATGTTTTTGAAACATGGACGAAGAAATTTCCGGGTGATGTTATCCTGGAGAAATGGGTGAACGACACTCTCGAAGCTGCGCGAGGCCTCATTCTTGCAGCTGGAAAAGCTGCGAGTCAAATCTTATTTTTTTCTTCAATATAACGGACTTACTGATGGCATACTATGAAGTTGCCAGTCCTTGTCTCGGACTCGAGTTCTACGGAAAAAAAAAACCAGTCAAAGTCAATCATACTCAGATACCCGAGAAACGAAAGCCCAAGGTTCAGAAGCTCGATACCCATATCTTGTCAACCTTCGATGACGACCGGTATATCAGTGCTGGTGAAGACGAGGACAGTCGAAAAGGTGGTGCCAAGATGCACCCACTGCTTCGCAAGGTTTCGAAGCCTTGTCATTTATCAAGTGATCCCACTGGGGAAAAACTTGTTCGGTGCATTGCATTTGCCAGCCATGGCTGTAACATCACATGGTCATGGCCAAGAGCTCGACAACGAATCATGAAGCATGCTCCACCTACCATGACCACTTCGAGCTTGACCGACGAACATCAAGGCAGATGTTCAGACTCGGATGATGAAGATGGGGATTGGCTTGATAATGGTGATATTGCGGACCATGTGGGTTTAACTGGCGTGAAAAGGACTGAGTTCGACGTGGGTAAAGATATTAACATATCATCCACGTACCTCCTCGATATTTTGTCGGACCACGCTCTACAGCCCACGGCTGCTTGCGGAGGTCTGTCGACACCAAAGGTGATGGCTGCCACAACTTCATCCTCGACACCGATGGGTGACGACGAGTGGGAGGAATGGTGATTGGCGGCTTTGTTGTAGATTACGGTCAATTAGACCAAATTTACCTGCAAATTAGCGCAAATCAGCGTCAAAGAGCTATGGGTCAATTTGAGTGAATTTGCTGTCATTTACACCGGTCAATTAGGTCTTCGCAGAGGGTCGTGCTAATTAGCCGGTCAACCAGAGCGGGATCCCTAATTCCCCGAGCCCTAGTGTGATTGTACCTGTTACTGTGCGTCGGACGACAGACTCGGACTTCAAAGTTTCAAGCTCAAGCTTCAAGTTGTGCAGATGTGTCCCGGATTCTGAAATACACTTTGTCTGCTCATACTACCATCGTCAATATTTACTGGCGAGCAGGACCCTGACACTAGCATTGAGGTTTCCAAGAAAGCTAGCCAGTCCAGTCAATACTCTCAACCCCGTGCTTTTCAAGATTCCCGGTGTATCAAGTATAAGTAGGTGTATAATGTGGTACTTGGGTCTGTATAAAAGGGCTTTGCGTTCTTGATCAACTTCAATGACCTGATCACAAAGATTTTTGGGAGGTCAGTGAAAGCGGTACGCTACTGACATCAAAATGCGACTTGTTTCTGATTTTCTAACCTCACTTAGAACCACAAACAAACAGCACGCGCTATGATGACAAGGGGATGCTTGGGCCGTGATTCTTCGTGGACGAGGTTGGAACCATAAACTTGAAACTACTGCACAGCCTTTGTGCCCACCCGTAGTCTCCTGTAGTATTCCTGCGGAAATCTTGCAGTGTGTTCCTTGCTTCTTCATGTCTCTGATACCCTCATAGCGTTCTAGTGTATATATCAAGCCGTGACAGAAAAAGATCGATGAAGAACAAGAAGTCAGTTTTCCTCCGATGTCGTGCGGTCATGCAGGCATCTGTCTTTTCTTCGGTCTCCCTATTCTGTTTTTAGCCGTGGGTAGTCTCGCATATGGCGGGATGTTTCAGCAGCTTGTGCTAATTGATACAACAGTGATGCATCAACTGTATGATGGAGTTAGCGGAGTGCCTTTTGCATGGCAGCCATCATCAGAATCGCATGACATTACCTTATTTATTTGCACTCGTGACCACAGCACGGAGAGGCGACAAATGCTGAGGACTTGTGAGGAGGTGCACATTTGAGGGACTTGTACATCGGTGCGTCTGCGTCGAGGCGTTGCAGGGGCAGTGGGGAGACGTGAGTTATCTGTTCGGTATGTTTGAACCTATCTCAGTTTTCAAGTCTCATTTTGGGTTAAACCGACAGCGTGTGGCCTTGTTACGAGACCCCACATAAGCTGTTGCGGTCACCAGATTCCGGCAAGCGAGGCAAAAAGTTTGATAGTCGTTGAGACTTATTAAGACGGCAAGCCTTTCTTATCGCGCCTAAGGTTAGACAGATAAACGTCATTATTTACTAATGGAACTTATGAGCTGATACAAGAATGACAAGAACATTTCGAGTGTCATTGTTACCAACTACTCGCTTTTCGAGCTTATTATGTGGTATCCAAACATCCCGCGTGACACCACAGCCGAACACACTTTATGTTGTCGAACGCTTCTAATTTTTTACCTGCTTTCATGTTGGAGCGGTGTATTCGCGACTGTGTGCCTGCGTGCCGCGAGCAAGGCAAGAAGTGGTGAAAAGCACTACGCTACGACAAAGCCCGAAGGATACTCAATGCTCGCTAAACTACGGTGCCACTCGGCTCCTACCCCCAGGGTCCCCTACTCCAATGTGTCAATCTTCTGTCAATCAAGGCAGGGACAAATTACATCCTCATCATGCCTATTCCAGTGATAAAAAGCGCTGGAGGGTCCCATATCTACCACGCATGCCCCCTTAGGGCAGGTTCACCGCTCGCTCGCTCGCATCTATCTTCCAAACATGACTGTAGTCTCAAGTGATCCCAGTTGGTGGCCGCTAATCGAATCAAATAATTTTTACAGCTATTTTGTAGGTTCGTGGAGATTCAGTGGAATGATGTCGGTGACGTTCTAACCTTAAATGTGATTTTACAGTCGCTTCCTGTGCTGCAGTGATATACGATTGGGGTGAGCAAGATAGTATTATTAGAAAAACACGCTGATCTTCTCATGATATTTTCAGCACTCGCATTTGGACAAGAGGTAGGTTGATGCCACTGTCGGAGTGACCATCTCATCAATAATGCTTTTATACTAGTTTGAACTGGTTTGGGTGAGCAGAGTCCCATATTAGAAAGCAGTATCCAACTCCGTGGCAGGGGAAACGTTGGTCCCCCACGACTCTTCTATATCTCGGTGTACGTACATTATGTTACGAGCGCAGTTTGACCAGTCGTGCTTACTTCAAAACATTCTAGGTGCGCTACCTTGGAATGTCATACACCATGTATGTTTTGTTATGATACTAACAAGTTGGCGCTGTGCTTATAAGACATCTCTCACAATCAGAATCTTCATGCTGCGTATGTCTCATATACACTTTGTTTGTTGCTTCTGACTGGCTGGATACAGAAAGTCTTCCGACAGTCTCGGTGACAGATGCGGTGAGTACTCTGCACAAAAGCCTATCATTCTTGCTCAAACAACCGCGCTCTTGAGTAGGGGTGAGTGAGATTGCTAACCTGTTCATCCAATATAATGACAGCGATAGCTGTAAGTTTGTTTCAAGCGTTTATCCTCCGAGACTCATCACTAGCTGGGATTTTTCAGGCAACATCATGTACTCTGCACTAACTTGGATAACTGTGGTCGTGAATGCAATGCTGGGAGGTGAGCTTCTGAGCTACAATACTTCAAATGATATTGACTCGACCAAAACATCATGCAAGTCATCATTATAACTCGGTTACATGCAATGTATCAGCAATCCAGAAAGATGCTTGCCTTTCTCGTCTCAATCTTCCTGGCTGTCACGATTGCATGCGGAGTGATCGCCGTGATGGAAGGCAGATATACTGTAGCAGGTAAGCTTGAATTATGGTCGAAAGACTTAAGTGCGCTAGGCTCATCAGACATACAGAGCAACTCGTCCTTTTCGGCACTTATCAGTGCACTTATGACTATGGGGGAGACGCCGGACTTCTGGACTCCTTGGCGTGGATACTCTACACTGTATGGGAGGCCCTCGCACTGTGTCTTGCAGTCTGGATTTCTGTTAAACACTTCCGTGCACTGCGCCGCCCGTTGACTAAACGGACAATGGGGGACTGTTTCTCGGTGCTGATAAAAGCTCACGTGGTTTACTTTGCTAGGTGAGCTCATCGTTTCAAACGGGGTTGTCTTTTAAGCTGAAGTTCTGGATGTGCAAGCTTTGTGGCTGTTTCTTGCTTCCAGCTCGGTTATCTCTCTCCAGGGATCCTGGTATGCCGATCTTTCACTTATTGGCATCTGCCATTGTTCACCGTATCTATAGGATTCATCTTCAGTAGGAGCTGATGTCTACACTGGACTACTTGAATTTGTGTCAATCGCGCAGATGTTTGTGCTGGGACCACGTCTCATTCTTAGCATTCGAGAATATGATGCTAAGCTCGTAACCGACTCCGATGCAGGAATCGATATGCCTCCAATCGTTTTCCAGGAGGGCGGCGATGTATCAATTTGTGGCGATGTGTAGCATTGGAAAGGCCTCAAGCAATCAAACATTTGTCGGGTACTCTTCCGGGGAGGGCTGAAACCGTCGTTCGAAATTTAGCTGTGATACGTATTCCAATGTATATTTGACAATAGAAGTAAGTGTATAAATAAAAGGGCCTTGATTGTCACGCCTGTTGTGTCAGCTTTCGAATTGGATGCGAGGGCAAGATTACAACCACTCAAGTCCGGTTTATGATTACGTATCCATAACGGTATATCCAACGTCCACCCAGGCTCTCATGCGATCTCCATACCGAATAGTAAGAACGATAAGCCTATGTGCCATCATAAGATTCGATGACTGCAAGTGTTCAACGACAGTACTCACCCATATCCAAGAATCGCAATCATGGTAACTATGTTATTTGTCGCTACCAACCCAAGTGTCTCAATCGATGGAAGTACGGCTGCAGTCACTGGTGCAAGAATGATTGCACGGAAAGCGCTGCGAGATTGCTAGGTATGAAGCTCAACCAGTAGGGCTGAATGCTGCTCACGTAACTGCAGCAATTACCTCTGCGCTGCGTGATTGTAGCACATCGACGTTGTACGAACCGATCGGTGTCAGAACGAAATCCACCTGTATAACATGCGAGGTTTGAGCGAGGAAAAAATCATACACAAGTTTACAACTTACTCCAATGCCATTCAAAAAGAAACAAAGTAAATTCAATATCAAGCCATAGGGTCCATCGATGTACGTGGTGATCAATCCCGAAAGACAAACAGATAGAGGGACCAACAGTCCGCCGACCAAGACTGCACGTAGCCGATCTTCAGGGACCCAAATACCTTTCCGGCGGGCCTTCCATTTTTTAATCATAGTGTCGGACAACCGGCCAGCAATTGGCGAAGCAACTTGTGTGCGAAACATGTCGAATAATAAGAATACGACTCAAAAAGCAGGATGTATGCATGCATACTGAAGTTTCCGAGTCCACTGGGGAGGAAGCATGCACCGATCAGTGCCTCGTTAGATATGTGGTATCGAGCACCCTGGAATCGCAAGTCAACGGACCAGATAGTTTGAAATGGGATGGTAGACTCACGATCGTGTAGGCAATTGGGATCAATAAAACTGGGGCTTTGGTTAGACTGGGAGATGACGTCCACGTTCTCAACATACCATATTCTGTAACCATCGCAGACGCATTTGCTAGTGTCTGAGAACAAGACCTTGGGCAATGCACAGTCAGAAGAAAAGTAAAGACAAACGACAGCCATGATGTTCGGACTACGCAGCAGCCAGATACTGCTGAAAGGATTGATCCATACGAAGTTGAACGGTGCCGTCGGCTCGCTAATGCCTCCAGAACGCGAATGACTTGTCTCTGGCAAAAACAGATAGATAAAAACCATCTCAATGAAGCCCCATAGTCCAAGCGACCACTGTAGGCTGCGCCATGACCAGTAATGTGCTGCAGTACCTCCCGTAATAGGTGACAATGCGACACCAAGAAGACAAGCCTTGGCAAGAATTGGTTGGTTGTCGAAAGCTTATCGTATGGGCACATACGTACCCCAAAGAAAATACCCATGGCTGTACCTCGTTGCTCAACCTTGTAGATATCGCCAATAGCAGCCGCACCTACAGACACCCCGCCAGCGCATCCGAACGCCTGAACAAACCTCCAGAATAGCAACCACCTGAGAGACGTTGATGCTGCAACACCGAAGCTTCCCATACATAGGATAGGCATACCCCATAAGTACATTGGGCGACGCCCGTCTTCGGGGGAAATTGAGATTGTTCGACTGAAGAAAGCATATTGAAAGCCTACAAAATGAAGAGTATGCTGACCACACTAAACCCCCGATCGCATTCGCAAAGACCGACAAACTCACAGCCAAGCTGAGGACAGCCCGGCTCGGTGTCACCAGCTAGCGCATGGTGCAGAATTTGGAAACATACCTCACAGCGGTACCCGTTGAGTCAAGGTCATGAGCTATCTGAGGAATGGAAGGAACGAAGGTACCAGTCACGAACACTGTAGAGACAAGATCAACTCAGTCGAAAAGCGTATTTTTTGACTTATACGCACTAGGAAGCAGCCCTGCAAAGGACACCGCAAAGACAACCATGTTTTTCTGAGCCTTGCTGAATCGGCTGTACACAGTGTCCAAATCGTCAGGGATATGTACTCTATCTCCCTCGAGCAAGGGGCTTTCCTCCGAAGAGCACATATTCGTAGACGCGAGAGAAGACCTTCATCAGCAAAACCGCACAGGAAATATTGACTGGCCTAACAGGGCCATACGAGGTGGCTGTACCGCTATAGGCCTGCAAGGCTTGCAGCGGAAATGCACACTCCAGTCCGCCTGCTGCTGTTATTTTGATGTATCAGATACGACGATAATTTATCGTGCTGTGCTACTGCACAGTAGTGATGTCGTGCCAATGCAGCGGGGGTTCGAACGGTCACGCACAGAGAAAGTTGTCTTTCGTGTCCATAGTATGCATGCCAACTTGGGGGTGACAGAGGGTGAGAGTAGTACTAGTACAAGGTTGTGCCATTGATTCTAAGAATAGCCGCGCGCGGCAAAGCCCGGTTCACTCTAATACATGAATATTATTACAACAATTTGTTCCTCGGGAGTCGGGTCCGACGTCCAGGATCTGTCGCAGACTCTTATTTGGCCGTGTCTCAGGTCACCAGTCAGGTGTGAGCGCATCGTTTTGCCGTGTACGTCGTAAGCTAGTACTGAGTCTGTAAGGTTAGTCATATTTTCTTCGCCTCGGGCCCCTCTGTTTCTTATCTGATTTCTCTGGTGCCATGTTAACAGAAGGGACCTTCAAGTTGTTAAGAGAGTCATCGCTGGAGCCGTCACACCTCAGGCATCAGGCTGCAAACGCTTGTTGAGACCTGTGCCATTACTAGATCGATGACCACATAATTTCCTACGGAACACCTCGAAAGTGGCGTTTCAAGTTGTAAACAAGTCGCCGACATCCCGAAAGTGACTAGTGACTGTCCGAACTTTCTTGATGTTCTAACAAAAGTTTCTCGTGCATGATAAGTACTGATTTGCAGATCAGAATCTATTTTGATTCAGTCGAGGGCTTCTGCTTCTTACACTCAGGCTACCGCGATACTTATTTCAACCAATCAAGGGTATTGAGACAGGAACAAACATCCCATTACGCCGAATATTTTGGCGGTACAAGCGCTGAGGGGTGGTACATCTAGCACGAACACTATTATAGACCCTCAACATCCCCCGTTTACTCACACCCATCTATCGAATATGACCCTGGTCTCAAATGATCCTAGTTGGTGGCCGTTAATCAAGTTGAATATTTTTGGAAGCTATTGGATAAGTTCGTCGCATCAAGGTGTCTCGATCTAAAGTTGACTTACGATTTCACAGTTGCCGCTGGCGTCGTGGTGGCATACGATTGGGGTGAGCAGGACAGTGTTCGAAAACCGCTGTTATGTTCATGATATTTCCAGTACTAACATTCGGACAAGAGGTAGGTCGGTGTTATTGTCGGAGTAGCCAACTTGCTAAGGATGGTGTCATAGATTGAACTGATCTGGGTAAGCGACGGAGTCCCATACCAGAAGAAAAACAGGAAAATATAATGAATTTGCGATAGAGGCAACGCTGGTCTCATGACTGTGCTGTACCTGGTTGTTCGTACCTCATATTATACTATAGCGTGGTTGGCAAGTTGTGCTGACTCCAAAATGTTCTAGATACGCTATATTGGAATACCATATTCTGTGTATGTTCTTGAGGTCAACAAGTTGGTGCGGTACTAATAGCCCATCTCTGAGTGCCAATGCTTTGTGTATGTCTCATATGCACTGTGTTCGATTCTTCTGACCGGCGGGACATAGCAAATATGCCATTGGTTTCGCTGACAGATGCAGTGAGTATTCCGCAACCATCTCATTCCCAATCAATGATTACACTCATATGTAGGGGTGAGTGAGATTCTGAACATTGAATGTGGCTCAAAATGATGACTCGATAGGTGTAAGTCAGAGCGTTCGATCCTAGTGCGAGGATGATCACTAATTGGGTGTTTCAGGCAACATTATGAACTATGCAATAAATGGGACAAATGTGGTCGTAATTGCGTTGCTGGGTGGTGAGCTGTGATTCCTCAGTGATATCGACTCGACTGAAACAAGATGCAAGTTATCATGATTGCTCGGTTACATGCCATGTATCAGAGATCTAGAATCATGCTTGTATTCATTGTTATTATCTTCCTGGCTGTTAACATCACCTGCGGAGTCATTACGACAATAGGACTCAAGTATGTTGAAGAAGGTAAGCTTTACTCATTGACTTGGAGAACGCAGCTCATTGGACAAACACCAGAGGAGTTGATACTCTCCGGCACGTATATGTGCACTTTTAAATATGAGGGGGATGCCCAGCTTCTGGCCTCAATGGTTTGGATGCTCAACACTGTTTGGGAAGTCCTTGCACTGTATCTTTCAGCCTGGATTGCTGTGAAACACTTCCGTGACTTGCGACGACTCGGCCCATTGACAGGATCGACCATCGGGGACTGTTTTAGAGTGCTGATAAAATCTCACGTGCTTTATTTTGCAAGGTGAGCTTGTAATGTGAATGTGGCTATCTTTCTCTGCTCAAGTTCTGCACGTGCTAGCTTTGTTTGTGTCTCTTGCCTCACGCTTGGTTATCTCTCTCCAGAACTCTTGGTGCGCCGACTTGTCGCTGACATCTACTTGTAACCACTGCTCATCATTTCTGTAGAATTCGAATACTATTGGAGTTCGGATACTCAATGGTGCTATTCCGATTTTGTTATGCGTGCAGATGTTCGTGCTGGGACCACGCCTTATCCTTAGCGTTCGAGAATCTCACGTTAAATTCGTGACCAACTCCAACAAAGAAACTAGTATGAATTCGATTGTCTTCCAGGAGCGTGTATATGTACCAACTAGCAGTACTGTTTAGGGAAATGCTTGCCAAGTGTTCTACATGGAGGAGATGTTCGGTCTAGGATCCATCGTAGTATCGTAGTATTTAGTCAAGTTATGATGTTTCATAAGTATATTTGATACGAGTTTATGTAGACAAACCTACTTCTTGTTGTATTATCCGGAACGTCTAGCAACAAACCCAGTCCTCGATACCCAGACAGCTGATTCTACGCGTTTTTTTACGCGTTTGTGGAGTTCCGCTGTCTAAGCACAGATGATGAAGAAGTGACCGTGAATCGTGAAGCCCAGGTGGCTGGACCCTTTTGTGTGTCCAGCTCCACAAATAAATAGAAACGGTAGTAAGACACGCTATATCTGACTCCTCTCGGCACTATCGATCTTCTGTAAAGATCTTCGTCAACTTGGGGGTGACAGAGGGTGACAGTAGTACTACAAGGTTGTGACATCGATTCTAAGAATAGCCGCGCGCGGCAAAGCCCGGTTCATTCAGATCTTCGTCATTCTGGGCTAAATGTGGCGGTCTGCGCCTATCATCGTACGTTGCGAGAAGCTTTGATCAAGTAGCCGGGACTTCATTCTGAATAGTTAACCAGTCTACCTATGCGCCCCTCGAGCATCCGTGATAGTAGTAAATGCCAGGCTGGTCACGAGCCCACTCAGGACTACCAAAGGATGAGGAAGCCCATGTGGTGAGTATGGATTCTCCTTATTTTGGGTATTCTCATCAACTTTAAGTGGTCAGACACGGCACCCTGGTCGTGGAATATATTTGTTCCTTATCTTGCTTATCTTACCACAGACAACATCGTTGACCCTTAACAATCCCAACTCGCAAACCGGCAATCGATTGTGTGTGTCGTAATGAATCACATAGAGGGTGATAATGAACTTCCCGGATACACACCTCAAGCCGGTAGCAGCGTAGCTCCACTCAACGCCTTAGCGCCTGGTTCCGAACACACTATATCGCTTGAAGACACCAAGGGACACAAATGGCTTCTCCTTTCGGTGAAAAGTCGTGCTCCTTCCCCGGAGTCTTGGCCAGTATTTTGTTCTGGCGATCTCATCTCAGGGAGCGTGACTCTGGACATTTTGAAGTCGGAGTCATCCAAGTCTATTGTAATAACAGCAGGTCACCCTCTATTTGCGTAACTTCTCGATGCTTACGGGCGACACAGGTGACAGCCGCAACTACTTCAGTTGGACAGGAAGGACAGGGTTTTCTTGTTATCGAGAAGGAGTTGTGGACTCCACTGATGACACTTCCTGATGGATCCGTGGTGTCCAAACTCGAGAAAGGCCATTACACATGGCCTTTCAAAATAGCACTTCCAAACGAGACGGAAGTTCTGGACCGTAAAGAGAAGAAGAGATTCCCCCTTCCGCCTTCATTCACAGAGCGAGCCAGTCCCGCTTACATCAACTACAGGATTACTGTCATCATTAAGCGGGGCGCACTGAGAGTGAATCATACGTGTGTTCCCTGCCCTCTCAGATGCTTTTCGGAACCACTCAACAATCCGTAGTTTAACCACGGATTTTGCATATATCCCGATTACGAAACCGGAATTCCCATCTCCTATGTTACAGAAAGCATGTAAAGAAAACATTCCATTTGTTGGTCCTGAAGGTGAGTTGTCGAGCGATGTAGTCTGCCATTCTTGTGTTTAATACTGGCAGACGATCCGGAGGGCTGGTACATCCTTCCAGCAGTCACTGTTACAGGCACACTTTTTGGTGCCAAGAGAGGGAATGTCGATTTTAACGTACGTCGATCTCCTGTTTTGCGATTCGCAAGGCTCTAAAACGATAAATCATCTGTAGCTAGCACTAGCCAAACCAGTAGGTCTATTCCTGAGTCCTGACTTCGTGCATCAGGCCTCTCACTGTGCCAATAGCTCAGTTATGCTCGTGGTTCTGCGATGCCACTATGGCTAACTTTCACAGGCACAGACGAGCAAGCTCTCGATTTACTCGCCAATCACCAAGCCATCCGTATTTTCTTAAAGCGATCGTTGGCTACAGGCTCGGACGCAACAAGTGATCATGCTGGGAAGCATACAGACAACTTCTTCGTTCGCACAATGGCGCGTGCTGTCTTCTGGCCAACAAGGGACGCCAGTACCACGGGGAAGCGAGTTCTCCAAGGTGAAGTGAACTTGAAGAAGGCATTCAAACAGAGTGTCGTATTCCCCCGATTTTCTGTGAGGGTCAGTGACTTTCTTTCCTGTCTTTCTGGAGAAACTCATTCACCAGTGTGTTGTTTGCAACTTGTGATCGGGTCACAGTACCATCTAGAAGTTCATCCTTTTGAAGCAGTTGGTTTCGTATATACATCACATGTCCCCGGCCCACTGCTGATACAACCAGTTAATGTGACATCTTTCCACGCGACTGGCATTGTAATGCGCTCCTTTGCACCACCCGAGTATGCAGAGGAAATCGAGAATTTGGACAACTCCGTTGGTTTACTGGAGAATGGAAACCAGCGCTTCTACCATCACGGAGGGTACGGAGTGTCCTGAGGCGTAAAGAGGAAGTGGGAGTTGTTATTGAGTCATGTATGTATCTCCTGGTATTTGAATGAGTATTGTACAAAGTGAATGCATATCACTCTCGAAGGCCCATGAGCAAGGTCTCGAATGTCTCATCGCTCTTCTTGCCACAGGTTCCCCTTGCGCCGACGCCTCCAAGTAGATCAACATTCTTCGACAGGATTGTCCAGTTAAGTGATTCTGGACGCCTACCTGGCGAATTCAAGTGCAAGGCTCGCTGCAGCGGAAATGCATACTCCTGTAGTCCACCTACTACTGTTATTCTGATTTATCACATACGACAATCGACAGTTTATCGTGCTGCGCTACTGCACATCATTCAGCGGCGGTTCGAACGGTCACGCACAGAGAAAGCTGTCTTTCGTGTCATTAATGTCTATATACCGACTTCAAGTTGGGCCATCGGTCCTAAGAATAGCCGCGCGCGGCAAAACCCGGTTCACTGCGGCCACGGCTGCTCTAGGCAGATTCCAAGGTCAATTCTAATACATAGGTCAACTTGAACTTGATCATGGGTTCCGACTCCTCTCGGCACCATCTATTATCTTCTGTAGAGATCTTCGTCATTCTAGGCTAAATGATTCGCGATTGTGGCGGTCTGGGCCTATCATTGTATGTTGCGAGAAGGTTCAAGCAGCCAGGACTTCGTTCTGAATAATTAGTACTCTTAACACAGTTTTTTTCAGGTCTTCAGCACACTTTGCAAACTCTGTGGTTTAACAAGATAATTCAAGAACCTAGATGCATTTGCACAAACCGATAGGATGCATCTGAGATGGGCTGAGGCTTGTCTGACCAGGCCCGAAACTGCTTTCAGGACTTAGACTGGTAACCAGTCTGCCCACGCGGGCTTTTCGCCACTCGAGCATCCGTGGTAGTATACTGTAGGCTGGTTTCAGGACTACCAAAGGGCGAGGAAGTCCATGTGGTGAGTATGGATTCTCCTTATTTTAGGTATTCTTATCAACCTTGGTCAGGCACGGCACGCTGGTCGTGGAATATGTTTGTCCCTTATCTTACTTACCACAGACAACGTCGTCGTAAGCATTAACAATCGCAACTCGCAAACCGGCAATCGATTGTTTGTGTCGTAATGGATCACATAGAAGGTGATGATGAACTTCCCGGGTACACACCTCAAGCCGGTAGCAGCGTAGCTCCGCTGAACGCCTTGACGCCAGGTTCCGAACACACGATATCGCTTGAAGACAGCAATGGACACAAATGGCTTCTCCTTTCGTTGAAAAGTCGTGCTCCTTCCCCAGAGTTTTGGCCAGTATTTTGTTCTGGCGATCTCATCTCAGGGAGCTTGACTCTGGACGTTTTGAAGTCGGAGTCATCCAAGTCTATTGTAATAACAGCAGGTCACCCTCTATTTGCGCAACTTCTCGATGCTTATGGGCGACACAGGTGACAGCCACAGCTGCTTCAACTGGACAGGTCGGGCAAGGTTTTCTTGTTATCGAGAAGGAGTTGTGGACTCCAGCGATGGCACTTCCTGATGGATCCGTGGTGCCCAAACTCGAGAAAGGCCATTACACATGGCCTTTCAAAATAGCACTTCCAAACGAGACGGAAGTTCTGGACCGTAAAGAGAAGAAGAGATTCCCCCTTCCGCCTTCATTCACAGAGCGAGCCAGTCCCGCTTACATCAACTACAGGATTACTGTCATCATTAAGCGGGGCGCACTGAGAGTGAATCAAACGTGGGTTTCCTGCCCTCTCAGATGCTCTTCGGAACCACTCAATAATCCGTAGTTTAACCACGAATTTTGCATATGTCCCAATTACGAAACCGGAACTCCCATCTCCTATGTTACAGAAAGCGTGTAAAGAAAACATTCCATTCGTTGGTCCTGAAGGTGAGTTGTCGAACGATGTGGTCTTCGATGCTTGTATTCAATACTGGCAGGCGATCCTGAGGGCTGGTACATCCTTCCAGCAGTCACTGTTACAGGCACACTTTTTGGTGCCAAGAGAGGGAATGTCGATTTTAACGTACGTCTATCTCCTGTTTTGCGATTCGCAAGGCTCCAAAATGATAAAACATCTATAGCTAGCACTAGCCAAACCAGTAGGTCTATTCCTGACTTCGAGCATCAGGCCCCTCACTGTACCCGTAGCTCAGTTATGCTTGTGGTTCTGCGATGCCACTATGGCTAACTTTCACAGGCACAGACGAGCAAGCTCTCGATTTACTCGCCAATCACCAAGCCATCCGTATTTTCTTAAAGCGATCGTTGGCTACACGCTCGGACGCGACAAGTGATCATGCTGGGAAGCATTCAGCCGACTTCTTCATTCGCACAATGGCACGTGCTGTCTTCTGGCCAATAAGGGACGCCAGTGCCACGGGGAAGCGAGTTCTCCAAGGTGAAGTGAAGTTAAAGAATACATTCAAACAGAGTGTCGTATTCCCCCGATTTTCTGTGAGGGTCAGTGACTTTCTTTTCTGTCTTTCTGGAGAAACCTATTCACCAGTGTGTTGTTTGCAACTTGTGATCGGGTCACAGTACTATCTAGAAGTTCATCCTTTCGAAGCAGTTGGCTTCGTACATACACCGCATGTCTCCGGTCCACTGCTGACACAACCAGTTAATGTGACATCTTTCCACGCGACTGGCATTGTAATGCGCTCCTTTGCGCCACCCGAGTATGCAGAGGAACCGGAGAATTTGGACAGCTCTATCAGTTTGCTAGAGAATGCCTTCTGCCATCACGGAGGGTACGGAGTGTCCTGAGACATAAAGGGGAGGTGAGAGTTGTTATTGAATCCTGTATTGGGTATGTATGTATGTATCTCCTGGTATTTGAATGAGTATTGTACAAGGTGAATGTATATCACTGTCCAAGGCCCATGAGGAGCAAGGTCTCGAATGTCTCATCGCTCTTCTTGCCACAGGTTCCCCTTGCGCCGACGCCTCCAAGTAGATCAATATTCTCCGACGGAATTGTCCAGTTGAGTGATTCTAGACGTCTACGTGCCACAAAGATGAATGCCAGATCGCCATCACCCCCCATATCAGATCCGAATCGCTGCCACTCGGAGAGCGAATTGTTCGCATCAATCTTTCGTACAACAACAGGCTCAAACGAGAACCACAGGCCGAATGCCGACCAGAATGGAGTCTCTTTAGAAAGACTCCGGATTTTGTATGATATGATGACTCGTGGTTGTAATTCGAAGATGGAGATAGAGGGCGGAGAGGTCAGATGAAGAAGGGTGCGTAGAAGGGGCGCTAGAAGCTCCGGAAAATATACCTACATTTTTGTCAGTGATCGGCCTTAGAGCATGGAGAGCACCATAGTATTTACAACATCGCTGCAGATGATATGCGTGATACAACCGTGCTCATGTCCACTTGAATCATCGACGAGCTTAAGTTCTCGTACGATGTTGATGGCATGATCATAACTCCCCCACGAAAGAGGTCGTACTAAAGTAACCTGTGTGTTTGTTGAATCTTCCTTTGGTGCGACCGAGAAGATTCTTCTCCAGAAGCGGGCAGACTTCGGGCAGATCAGTCGCGATGACTAGATCTCGCCCGGACAAAGCAGCCGCTTGAGCTATTTTCGCTGCAACGATGCCCGTGCCAGAACCGAGCTCGAGAAAGATTCGTTTGTGCCCAGATAGATGTTTATCGATCAAGGGCGGATCAAACTCCCAAGTAGAAGGATGGTCGATGTAGCTGGTCACAAGATATGCTGATTCCCTACATGGCGTCACGCTCAGAGCGAGGAGAACAGAAACATCAAAGCGATATCTAGTCACCAAACGCGACCTGCGATCCCGTAAGTCTCGATCCCTTCTCGCTGCGCCTCAGCACCAAAGGCAAGTTGTTGCTTATCCCAAAATCGCATGTAGAGTAAGTATCACGTGGAAGTAAAGGACTTATCGTGAGTTCTTCTGGGAAATTGACATGGTTGTGCATCCCAGCCATAATCGCAGGTGTAGAACAGCATCTTTATTTGTCCGTGTTAGCTTCAGAAGCTCTAGCCTTCCATTTTGGGTCAAGTCGCGCCCTATTTTGGAATTCATATGCAATCGGCATTCAATTAGCCGGTGCTGGGGCCGGTAATTCCGAGCTCTTTTGTAAGGTTGAACACGAGGTCGATATATCTCAGTTGCGCATTTCCAATATGTCAACACAGTCCCAACCAGCGAAGCAGGCGCAGCAACTAACGCCTTTTGCATCTGCGTTGGCTGGTGCCCTTGGAGCTTGCTTTAGTAATGCGTGAGTAGTACTACTCGAGTACCCACGTGCCAGCTGTCCTGACTTATCAACAGTGTGGTGTATCCTCTCGATGTGTGCGGCGGCGATTTCGTTTCATGAGATGCATTTCTAATCTTATCGTAGTGCTAAGACAAGGATACAGGTGACCTCATCGGCCCGCACGAGGAAAGCGCAAGGACGACCTGAGCATGCTATCATTGCTGCTCGAAATATTCAAACAAGAGGGAATTAACGGGTGGTACAGAGGCTTTGCTGCAACGATGCTCAACACTTTCTCTATGCGTGTGTCTTCAATTACCTCTTTTACGTTCCCATATCGAGCTGAATACCTCAAGAATATGCCTACTTCTTCTTCTACTCATTCATGCGCTCATCATACATCAAGCGCATGACTTTGAATTTGCCTCCTGGTTCAAAACCTCCTGCACTATCCACAGCTGCCGAACTCTCCCTCGGGGCAAGCCGCAGGCGCGCTATCCCAGATTTTCACGATTCCCGTATCGGTTATCGCAACCAGACAACAAGTCGGGCGCTCTGCCCGAGCGTCCTCGCAGTCTTTCAGAGATGAGGCACCAATGGACGAGTCTTTATTAGCTGTCGCTCGTGAGATTATTCGCGAGGATGGCGTCACAGGGCTGTGGCTAGGTATTAAACCCGGCATGGTCCTGACTGTGAACCCTGCCATCACGTACGGTGTTTATGAACGCCTCAAGAGCTTGATGTTGCTCGCAAGTTCTGCAAACGGTAAATTGACACCAGGAACGTCGTTTTTGCTTGGGGCGTTTAGCAAGACGCTCGCCACTATCGTGAGCTTGATACGTGGTTGGGTGGCTGAGTGACGTTTCCTGACAACATCGCTTTCCTAGGTAACATATCCGTATATTATGGCCAGGTTAGAATTCAGGCCCGTTCTACTGATAAGGATGCATCAGAGAGTGAGGGTCTGCCTGGTGGTCAAATTGGAAATACGAAACCCAAAGCAAAGCAAGCCGGTGCCGTCAGCCTCCTCCTCAGGGTCCTGAGGAAAGAAGGATTTGTCGGGTGGTATCAGGTCGATATTACCAATCTAATACTCGCTATTCCACGCTGACCAAATTGAACAGGGGATGTCCGCGCAGATAATCAAAGCCGTGATTTCTCAGGCGTTGTTGTTTGTATCCAAGGAACAGTTCGAGCATTGGGCCCTGGCCCTTATGGTCTTATTTGCAAAGTTCACCTCGCGGTCATGACGACGCACGTTTTGTTCCTCAAAGGGATCAGGATCAGTTAGTCGTTTGCTTTCTGGGAGGTGTATACCTTTTGTATTGTGTATCATCCAGGAACGTTGACGAATAGACGGATCATGTACCCATCCAGATGAGGCGTGTCTGGCTGCAGGGCCCCGGCTTATTTACTTTTTATGTAGTTGTCAGGTGTTGTGGTAACGAGTCATGGTGATGTATGATCGAGTCAAAACACACCGGAACGCGATCGTGGAACGGGAAACACAGCCCCAAAAGTGATGTATTGATATCTCTGTTTCTGGAAACGAAAATTCGTGCAAAGGAGTGTGTATGATCATAAGAAGTAAATAATGAATGAATGATGCAATACAACTACATGATCGTGTGGGGTATGGTTGGTCGAAGAGAACACGTGAAAATAACTAAGTATTGGTACAACAGTCAATCCGAACGTCCAATGATCTTCCGGCATATTAGACAGACGAAGTGAACGAATATAAATGCCAATGAATGAAGACCCCTCGTAAAAATTCAACAAATTCATGTGATTGCTCTCGTACAGATCTGAATCGTTTCAGGTCATCCCAGATCGTCAGATCATTTGTGAGAGCGTGATGCGAATCTCGCATGTTGGCATCAGGGTTGCATCACGCACTGCAGTCAAGCATTTCCCAGTCATCGCTGTAGTTCACTAAGGAGACGTTAGATAATGTAGCATCAGGCGCCTAGACTACTCACTGTCCTGGTTGACACAAGCATCTCGAGGTCACGAGTGGCGGCCAAAATAGACACAGCCATGCGAGGACCCATGCGAAGAATCTTCGCGCCTTCAGGGGAGCACCGCATACGGGTTCTGATTGCGATGCGGTACAAGTCCGGTTCGGGCTTCGAACGAGGGAAAGAAGCGCGGGGCGGAAGGAGTTTCGGGGTCGGTGATAAAGGGGAAGAGGTCCGCAGCCCTACTATTTGTTTGTGTGGCGAGCGAGGCTTTGGTAATTGAAGATTGTTAGTGTTGTTTAGCGGGCTGCTTGGTGGGGTGGAGCAATGGTGAACTCGGGACGGTTGCGGCTGAGGGCAGCTTTACGCCGTTCACGCTGCTCCTTGTAGTGGTACAGGGTACGATTGTAGGGAACGACAGGGGGTTGGGTCTTTGCGTAAATCGAAGATGAAAAGGGGCCAGACTGTAACGAGGTATCCTCGTCACCGTCATAGTCCGACAAGGAGAGAAAAGAAGCAGTGCGACGAAGAGACATGCGTGAAGACTGGGATGGATAAGGTTGAGAGAAGGACGAAGTGCGAGTGTTGGCTGTGAAGGAAGGCGTGATGACTTTAAGAGTAGACATAAGTAGGGAAATGAAGGATGTGGGACCTGGTGGCACAGGACAAAGGGATTCATATAAGATCTGTGGATTGTGGTCCAAACAAAAGCAGTGCCGAGCAAGAATATAGCGATGACTAGGTTCAGATATGATCGGAATGATGACGGAGCCAGATCAAGATCAATTTCTACATATGGACTTAACTGAAAATTAAATAATACCGCAAATAAAGGTCTTCCCCTCCATTTCGAGAATTTGTTGGCTCCATTAGCCTAAAGTCAAGATTCTTGTATGAGACAATAATGAACGGACCCTGCTGCTCCTGCCAATTCAGCATTCTCCAAGTATCCATTGCGCAATGCTAGGGCGCTCGAACGAGTCGAAATCTAGAACACCACCTTTGACATATTTCATCCGAGTCATGGCCAAAATCCAGAACAAAGGTCTTATAAGTCCCAAGATGGTGATGTTGCGTCCAGACTATCGCAAGGCCTCGTCAAGACAAGGATGTGGCGGATGCGGCTATCTTCGTCAGATTGGTCGAGAGGCTGGTCATGAGTGGCGCAGGCCCATTGTTAAGGCATCGATGACCCGAAGAGATATCGTCCGTCTGGCCACCAGCAGTCGACCATTCGCTCGACTCAGTCAAGTTGAACGTTAACTTAACTTTGAAAGTGACGTTGATACGCGAGAAAGAAAACTAGAAATTACAGAATTCGTTATAATGAATTCGAATTAATTTTTTAGAAGCCCTTCTATTAGTCTAACAGCCGAATCCGACTCTGATCGCCGGAAGTTAACGCTAGCTCTTGAACTCGCTGGCACCTAGGCCTCATCGAGCAAACGTTTCGTACAGCTTTCGTACAGAGAAGCTGTATTTCTAACTTGTGGGGTATGCATATCTTGCCGAGAGAACATGAGAAGTTACTCTTGCACCAGGTACTCCCCAGTCTTGATTAATGATTCATGGAATGGAGTGTATATCCTTATCAATTTCTCTTCTTCAGGCCGGTTTTCTAGCCCAAAAGCGCCTCGCTAGAGGCCTACAGCTCAATATTAATGAAGCCATTGCTTGATCGCTTCTCAACTCCAGGAACGTATACGTGATGGACAGCATTCTGTGGCTGAGTTAATGCAGCTTGGGAAAACCTTATTGGGGAGAACCCATGTCTTACCGAGCGTTCCAGCCCGGCTACACGAGATACAGGTAGAAGGAACATTCCCAGACGGGTGAGTTGTATCCCCGTGCGTTATCACCTCAACTGATGTCCACTTCAAGTGTATTCCTAGTAACTGTGCATGATCCCATCTGCACGCATCACGGCAACCTAGATGAAGCGCTCTATGGATCATTCCTCCCTATACCTTTACAGGATAAATTCCCAGCTGCGGAGACTACAATTGTCTCCCGCGAAAGTCTTCCAGGAGCTGTCATCGCCAAAAAAGAGAGAGTTACTATTAATAGAGGACGCGAACGCATTAAGTTGAAGGTGACCAACCACGGCGATCGTCCTATCCAGGTTCGTGGCTTCCCCTGATCTATCATGCAATCTCTCATTGCTCGAAAGTTTGGGTCTCATTACCATTTCACCGAAACCAATGCGCGTTTAGAATTCGATCGCATTAAAGCTAACGGGATGCGTCTTGATATCCCCGCTGGCACTGCTGTTCGCTTCGAGCCTGCGACTCCAAGACCGTCACACTATGTTGTATCGGGGGCAAGAAAGCCATAACTGGTGGCAACTTGATTGTTACTCGCATGAAGGATGATCTGAAGAGGGGCGCCTATATTGACCAGGGGTTACTACTAATACTTTCAGACATTGTCCAGATCCTGCTGCGTTTGAGCTACACGAGGACACCACTATTGGCCGCGAGGAGTATATCTCTATGTATGGACCCACGGTCGGTGACCGTGTTAGGCTTGGTGATACTAGTTTATGGGTTGAAATCGAGAGCGATGCGGTTGGTTATATTAGTATGATCATGTTTTTTGTGCGGACTCATATCTAGCACAGGCCTGTTATGGCGATGAAGTCAAATTCGGCGGAGGTCGGTGATGATTTCTGGCGCCTCCCCTAATTTTCATCACTAGTTGCAGGCAAGTCTATCCGAGAGGGCATGGGCCAGAATACCAGTCGCCATTACCTCGAGCCCCCCTGCCTAGACCTCGTCATCACCAATGCAGTTATCATTGACTGGACCGGGATATACAAGGTAATTAATACTCTCCACCAACTCTCACCTGCTGCACACTCTTGCAGGCAGACATCGGAGTAAAGGAAGGCAGGATCGTCGGCATAGGCAAAGCCGGAAACCCCGACGTCATGACCAATGTTACCGCTAACATGCACGTCAGCTCCTCAACGGAGGTCATTGCCGGCGAGAAGCTTATCGTGACTGCGGGCACTATCGATGCACATGTACATTATATTTGTCCTCAACAAGTCACCGAAGCGCTCGCCGCGGGTACGACGACGATGATCGGGGGGGGACGGGTCCGAGCGCTGGAACGAATGCTACGACGTGCACACCGAGCCCATTCCACTTGAAGACGATGCTTGCGGCAACAGATGGGCTCCCGATGAACTTCTTGTTTACGGGAAGGGGAATGACACGGGAAGGCATGCATTGGAGGATATTGTTCGCGCAGGTGCAGGCGGCTTGAAATTGCACGAGGACTGGGGTTCTACTCCAGCTGTGATCTCAAACGCCTTGGATGTTGGTGATGAGTTTGATGTTCAGGTCAACATCCATACGGATACTCTCAATGAGAGTGGATTTGTGGAGAGTAAGAGGTGTTCCATTCATCGGTCTTTCGGATGCTGATGGAACGCAGGTACGATCAAGGCGTTTGGCGGTCGCACTATACATACGTATCACACGGAAGGAGCTGGTATGCTTTGTTTTTAACTCCCTATTATGTAGTCTCATCGTGAAATTAGGTGGGTGGTCATGCCCCAGATATCATCGTCGTTTGCGGCTTGGAAAATGTTCTTCCCTCGTCTACCAACCCTACACGACCTTACGCCAGGAACACTCTAGACGAACACCTTGACGTGAGTCATTTACGCATGATGATTATCTCTGCCTTTTTAAATACATAATAGATGCTGATGGTTTGTCACCACCTTGACAAATCGATTTCCTGAGGATGGTGCATTCGCAGAGTCTCGCATCCGAGCAGAGACGGTAGCAGCAGAAGACGTTCTGCACGATACCGGTGCGATATCCATGATCAGCTCTGATTCTCAGGCTATGGGACGCGTCGGAGAAGTTACCACCAGGACATGGCGTACTGCGAGCAAGCTCAAGGACTTCAGAGGTCCACTAACTGAGCTAAACGATACAAGCGAGAATGATAATGGACGTGTCAAGAGATATATAGCAAAGTACACGATCAACCCGTTCGTTTTTTTATCATCTGGAGTGGTCGTACACTAATGGTTCTTTAGCGCAATTACGCACGGTATCAGTCACCCTCGTCGGCTCAGTAGAGGTAGGAAAGCTTGCCGATCTTGTTCTTTGGAAGCCCGAAAACTTTGGCGCCAAACCTGAAATGGTATTAAAATCAGGAGTGATTGCTTGGGCTCAGGTAGAATTCACAGAGGAGCCTTTTAGATAATAGTGCTGATGTCTTTGCTAGATGGGGGACGCAAACGCTTCAATTCCGACTGTACAACCGACCTATGGTAGACCAATGTGGGGTTCCTTCCCCCCTGCAGCCGCGCTCAACTCGGTCGCATTCGTTTTCCCGAATCTCGATCCAGACTGGTACTATCGCTTCTTACGGACTTGCCAAGAAAGCAGAGGCTGTTATTAATTGTAGGAATGTGACCAAGAGAGATATGAAGTGGAACGATGCGCTGCCGAAGATGTCTGTTGATCCAGAAAACTATGAGGTGAGGGCGGATGGCGTGTTAGCTGATATCGAGCCTGCGAGCAGATTACCACTTGGGAAGGAGTACAACTTTTTCTGATGGCGGAAAAGAAAAGAATGAAGAACGAAGATCATGATCATGTATATTATTGTTGTACGAATGCAAAATTGAGTTTGTGGACAAATGAACTGAGCGGTTTCACATGAATGTATGTCATCACCTCATCACCTACGAATTCAGAATCATCACGGCAGCCTCAGTCACGTATTAAGAACAGACGCTACGTACCCGACGAGGCTAAGATCGGCGGACCTCCCGCCCAATACATAACACTGACGAGAGAGAAGGGGCCTTTGCCAAAAGTAGCCTAATTGCCCCGCTGGCATGAGATTAACATAGTACCAAGGTTGATGAGGGCTTCGCCGATATTCTGAAGGTTTTCCAGATGCGAAGCGTCGGGGATAGGTACGGGGATGGGTGCGCCAGTAGAAAGTGGTATATCCTTGTTATAGGTCGACACCGTCGAGTTTGAAGGGTACGTAACAGTAGCAGTGGCGTTGGTTGTAGAAGGGGTGCTAGTGGGTGTCTCAGAAGCAGTGCTGGTTGCGGTTGTAGAAGGGTGCTAGTTGCAGTTTCAGAAGGGATGCTAATTTGGGCTGTAGGCGTGGTGGAGGGCGTATCGGCGGGGTGGTACTGGTGTGTAGGCGTAGGTGTGGACCAATCAGGGGTTGATGTGGGCGTCCATGCGGAGCTCGTGGATGGTGCAGGCTCGCTAGCGCCATCATCGAACCACCACGATCCGTAAAGGACGCCTGCAGCTTCAGAAGCGAAGTGACTGAAAAGACCAATAGAGAAGTCAAGCCCGCCGTATGGGCACCCCATACACTAGAGAAAAGCGCGTCAATAAGAGAGATAATAACGCGTGGTCGGGCTCACTTCGTCCATGATGGTGGCCTGGGCAGTTTTGCCCCCGAATGAGATGGTAATGGACTTGAAACACTGCGGACCCGGGAAACCTCCGCCATATTGGGCGACGTTCAGGGCGACAATCTTGTCATCAAATGAGTATTAGAAACGCTATGGCAAGTAATTATTATAGCTGGGACATACGAAATCGCCAGGAGAGCTGTACTGCCCACAAGCACCCCTTGGATACAAATCAGCTGCATAGTTCAACGAGTGATTCTGCAGTTCAAGTTCACTCACAAGCCAACGTCATAAAAGGTGAAGCGTGCGTTGTTGAAAGCACGTTTGTGGATGCCCACGTCGCCTCGCGCCCGCTGGGCTAGTTCTTGATGGTGTCCGCGTTTGTCACGGCCATGGGTATCGCCAATGGTGAAAGGAAGGATCGCAGAAACTAGCAGGAAGATCGACAACACTAGCATTGGGAATTATAGACTGAAAGTCAGATGAGGTTCGGGTGGCTGAAATTGTCGTTTTTGGGGGTATAGCTAAGGACCGTATGAACAAAGGAGTGACTGGCGGTACAGGGTATGAAGTCGTAGAAGTGATATAGCGACAAGCAAAAAAAAAACAGGGAGGGTTCGAAGCAAGTCAAAAGGAAAAGTCAACCAAGCGAATAATCAAAGAAGCCAATATGACTTTGGTCATCGCGTACGTACCTTACATAGCGCCTTTTACTAGTACAAAGCATGCCAAGTACATACTAAACCCGACTTACTTAAACACGAACACAGGCCCATCATCATGGCCTGGAGTAGAAACCAGTGAGGTTCACAGGGAATTGATAGGGGCTTGCCTACCAAGACGGAATCCCCGCGCGGAAGCAATGCGCGTGAGCTCCACTGTGCGCTTGCACTTACTAGTACAGTACTTCGTGTCTGACAGATCTGATATTCCGTGGTCTGTGCTTAGACTACACTAAGTAGCTGTAGAAAACGACAACATTAATGCAATGAGACACATGGTATGTACGAGCAGACATTCGAGCGCTGGTGAGACACCAATTGAACGCGGTAGTCGTAAAGACTGTACACTTTGTAAAGCAGGTAAGGTCATTCACTACAGATCTCCCTTGCCCACCCCCACCTCCCATACTCCAAATATCATGGACATGTTTATATCTGAGCTCAGGTCTCTGCAGCTCCATGAAGGGACTGCAGACGACGTTGGACATCGTCCCACGCGTACGGAGGGCCACCGTCCATCGACATGAGTTTGCGATAGATCGTGTCGACACAAGGGAGCATAGAGAAGATGATATGAGTGACAGCTTCAACATCCATTACTTGAGCGGACTGCACATTCAATGCTTGTAGGGACGTATGTCGAAACGACTCCGTTGTAGGGTCGATATCGATATTCACAGCGTCTATCACTAAACTGAGCTCGTGCAAGTGGGGGCATTGACGGAGCGCTGCGAATAATCCGCGGAATGTAATGGTACCTTGAGCCTGATAAGGATCTTTCAAGTCCAGAGAGCGGAGATGTGGCCAACTTGACATGCTTTCCAAAAGAAGGTCGTTGTCAAGGTGGATGCAGCAATGAGGAAAAGTGAGTCGGAGGACTCGGAGTTGTGTAAAACAATAAAGTGTGTGATAGAGCTGCGAGGGGGAGGGGGATCCTGGACATCTGAAGCGGAGCCGTCCATCTTAATTTGTTCAAGGGTTTGACATGCGTTACACCGGGATAGCACACGAACGAGCAGTTCAGCCTCTGCCCAAGGCAAGCTATTGAGGCTTATCTCGAACTGTTTCAGCGAGGGGAAGTCTGAGTGTTGCATGAGTGTCATGATGTATGCAGTCGTGTTGACGGTGAAAGAAAGAGCTGTGAGATTGAGGAAAGGTCCAAAATTGACATTATTTTCGAAGTCCAAAGAGGAAGGGTCTACCGTCCTCCTATCAATTGTAATTTTGGTAAGGGTAGGGAGGTTGGAGAGATGTTTCCATGCAGCCAAGTCGAGTGGTGTACAAGATAGAGTTATAAGCCGCTTGCACAAACGGACGCAGCCGGACAGCAGAGACACCTCATTTACTATTTTCTCATCAGGGGTGTCAAAGGATAAGTGCTCCAAAGCAGCACAATGGGTCACGATAACTTTCAAATCCGGATAAGTGACCCATAGGACACAACGTCGCAGTGTGGGGGAAAGGAAGATATCCGAGTGACTAGCCGGACATTGATTCGTTAATGACAACAGTCTCGGAAATATGCACGTCACTGTGCACTTGAGGACTGAGAGAAGGTGATAGCAGCTATCATTTATTACATACATGCAACGCACACGGGCTGCGTGACGCATGAACTGACGACCTTCATTCTCCGATAATGGTTTGATGCCTCGAAAGCTTGGGGGATCAAACAAGGAGTACTGTGTTTAGGTGCTCGGTGAGCTGATGAACGAAAGGAAACGAACAGAGCACACTGACATCCAGGCCGCTACGATATATTATTGGATATAGCCTCGTTACACAGCCAAGCAATGGCGTCAACCCATACATGACAGCCCAAAGTTCGTTCATTGCAGGCTCGTAGAATGTTTTGCATGTCGTTCGCAAGTGCTGCAAGAGATTTCCGCGCGAATGCCTTCTGGCGATAAGACACCGGGCCCCGGACTACATTCACATGCACGAATATCTCCTGAAGGATTTCACAAATGTGCAGAGCCCGGTGCATCAGTCGGATGTCGATGGAGTTTGTAGTGGAGAGTCCTGAGGATTTGAGCTGCACCATGGACAAAATTTTGCAAGCGGAGTCAGCAAAAAGTCGGAGACCACGACATGACTCCGACTCTCCGACTCTCCGTGCGTCAGAGGTCACGGCACCCCAATCATCTGAGTCATCATTTCTACAGTACCTTCAAATGAGTCGTGACCTCTCGAATCCAGCGCTAACGACAAGAACTTTGATGCAAGGGTTCTCCTCGTCAGTGGTGGAACCCATTGTCTTGGGCGATGGAGTTCCGTCAAAGTTAAGGGTGTAAGAGGATATCATGATGTTAAAATGAGATAAATTACTGGGCCCTGCTCGTGTGAGCTTACAGTAGGAATCTTGTAGATGTAGTGCTGGTTTAAGATGTAGATAGGATGGAGGTAGTAGTGTTTGTTTCAGCGATGTAGTGGTGGTAGTATGCATAAGTAGGCGAGGACCAATCAGCCCGAGGAACCGGCGTGGGCGTCCATTTGGTGTAGGCTCGCTGACGCCGTCACTGAATGTTGAACCACCACGATCCATACAGGACGCCATCATCTTCAGGAGCGAAGTAATTGAAAAGACTCGTAGAGAAGTCAAGCCCGCCATATGGGCACCCCATACACTGGAGAAGAACGCGTCAATAAAAGAGAAAATAGAGTGTCGTCGGACTCACTTTGTCCATGATGGTGGCTTGGGCAGTTTTGCCCCCATACAAAATGGTAATGGACTTGAAGCACTGTGGACCCGGGTAACCTGCACCATATTGAGCAACGTTCAGGGCGACAATCTTGTCATCAACTTATGAGTATCGGAAACGCTATATCAAAAAATGATCATGGTTGGGACATACGAAATCGTCGGGAGAGCTGTCTTGCCCACAAGCACCCCTTGGATCCAAGTCAGCTACATAGCTCGACGAGTGATTCTTTGGTTCAAGTTCACTCACAAGCCAACGTCATAAAAGGTGAAGCGCGAGTTGTTGAAAGTGCGTTTGTGGATGCCCACGTCGCCTTGCGCCCGTTGGGCTAGTTCTTGATGGCGCCCGCGTTGGTTATGGCCATGGGTGGCGCCAACGGTCAAAGGAAGGATTGTAGAAACGAGGAGGAAGATCAAGAACACTAGCATTGAGGGAGAGTATGGTGGTTTCGAAATTTGGGTGGCTGAAATTGTTTTTTTGGGGGGTATAGTTAAGGAGCGTATGGACAAAGGAGTGACTGGCGGTACAGGTGGAGCAGGGACAGCAACCTAAGCTCAGAGCAAGGCAGATAATGGATGTTAGCCTCTACGAACATGGTGAAATCTAGTCTACGTGCTGACTAAGCTGAGGAAAGGGCCGACACTTCAAGTTGGTCTTCGTGCGTAGCTCTTACCCTTGAGACCCCTGGTCCATGAAGTCGTAGAACAACAACGAGAAGGAGGGAACGAAAAGTTCGAAGTAAGTCAATTTGAAGGATTGAGAGTGAACTAAGCTTCGAATAACCAAAGACGTTGAAATGACCTTAGTCATCAGGTACGTGCTTTCCATAGTGCTTCTTACAAGACTGAACACGACTGAAAGCTTGGACGCGAATATCATGATAGCCTGGGGTAGAAAATGGTGGGGTTCACCTGGTGTGAGGAATGGATAGGGCTATTGTCCAAGCGTGTGAGTTGAAATGGTAGAATGATATACAAATAGAAAATTCGTGTGAAGTAATGATACAAACATTCGTACTTGATGCAATGCATAGTACTAATCAAGCTTCAGCGGGTGAATTCCCCAGTCCCAAGCTTCGCATCTTCTTCGCCCGAAAGCAGAACCTCATCCGGTATCTCCGGGTAGTCACCGTCGTCATTACCAAAGTCATCCAAGTCTCGCAAGCGAGGGCTGCCCGGGGAGGGCTCGGGGGAAGTGGCAGCTGTCACCTCATTGCAAAGACTTTTTTCGTCTTCATCAATTTTGCAGGCGGGCGAGCTTAACGGCTTGTGCACGTTGGAAGTGGTCCTCAACTTCCTGGCAGCACGGCGCATGCGTCGATAATCCTTGACCAACAGCCGTTTACATAATGTATCGCGTTGGCATTCCTGGCAGTGCGTACACTCCAATGCTACTGCTCGCGGCTGGCGGCGTTCGCAGATACTGTGCGACAAAGAAAACAAGTGTACATGAGAACTGCGTGGTACGTGCGTACGCAAAAATGCCCTCACGTTCTGACCCGCGGCTCTGGTCCTCGTTTAAATTTTGATCGATTGTCAGGTATATCTTGAATAGATGGAAAGAAGTACCGATAAGTTGCATTGGTAGTTAGGGAGGAGCTGGGCCGTGGGTTTCGGAGGGGGTTGAGAGGAGAAAAAATATTTGAAGCATGTTTATTGTAATGAGCTTGTCGTAAAAGACGATAGAATTCACCACCAGTGATTGGTAGATCAGACGGGTATTCCTCCAATACGCCACAAGTAAGCGGATCTCCCGGGAGGTAGGTACCATGCCATGTACCAATGGAATCAAGATGGAAATGGTGTCTTTCGGTACTATTACCTGTATCACTTGATGAAGACGGCTGTAATTGTGCAGGAGGCAACGACTTGGATCTTCGCCGTGTCATCGACACTACTCTGCTTTGTTCGGCACCTGTGGGTCGCTCGTATTTGGAGGGTTTATTGGCACACAGTGCTAGACTGCCTGACGTCGGTGACCGAGAGCGGACTCCAGTTATATCGGGCACGGATCCCCTGCGTCTTGTAAGTCCAGGTGGCACAGGAGTATCAAATATTGAATCACGGTTGTCCATGAGGCCGTAAACCGTCCGCACAGGTTCGTCGGATGGGGATTCGGCCTTCCACAGATCCCGACGAGGACTCCGGTCGTATGGCATGGAAGGAGCAGATGATCTGATGGGTTGTGTCACCTTGTCTACATTCCGCTCGCGAGACGACGCCCTACGCTCTGATGAGGTGAGGTCAGACTGGCTCCTTGACGGTGATGGCCACCCTAATGCCAATTCGGCCGCTGAGGCACAAACCGATTCCTGTACATCGGAGCTATACCTTGCACCACGTGTGAGTGGGGGGCGTTCTCTGCGACTACTTCCAACAGTACTATCAGCATCACCACTCTGAACAGCAGGCAGCCGTGAATATATGGCTTCATCCTCAATTTCGTTTTTTGGGATGCTAGGGTTTGCATCACACGATCGCAGTTCAGGGGCAGTGGCAAGGGAGTGTAATGATGTTTCTGACCATCTTGGATCTTTGTATGGCCTGTTATCAATCTCTGAAGATGACAAGGGATCTGCATTCACAGTATGTTCCAGCGAAATAGCAATAAGGCTGTGGGAGGTGCTAAACTTACCAAGCGGTGCTCGTTTAGTGGCTTCGCCATCACTGTAGACGTGGCGACGTTTAAAATAACCAAGAGAACTTGGAGTATGATCTGCCTCGTCGGTGAAAGCAAAAGATCGTTTAGGTGACGGAGGTGGCGAAGACGGATTATCATTTTCTGGTTCGTTGCGAGTAACTTTTTGAGGTGGAGAATGCGGTAGAGAAGTCATTTAGAATAGGATGCAGAAAAAGGCTGATCAGCTGGAACGATGTGTCAGTGATGCGAGGTGGTTGTAAATGTTAATGAGCAGTGACTAGTGTCTCTCAGTCCAGCGCTTAGCGGAGGTATAAAACTCGGAACTTGATACCGCTTTCCGCTTACAATCGAGCGCCCGTATGCATGAAGTGCCATTGAGGTCCTCCTGGCAGGTAGAACATTTGTATACTACGGCAGGCTTCGCAGTTATTCACTGCTCCCTCAGATACTCTAGAGTCTAGTCTGCAAGTGTAACCATCACAATCGTCGCTCCGTTAATATCATGTCAGGGCAATTTCACCACTACCAGGGCAACGGAGTATCTGTCCCCTCTGCATCAGGACCTGTGAGTTAAGTTTTTTACATGGCATCATTGCGACTAAATCGACACTTGCAGGGCCAACATTTGCTCGGTGACATGTTTCAGTGTATGTGGCATTGTGGAAATGGATTGCATTGCAACGCCTTGATTCGTGGCCACAATCTCTCCGCTCACCTGCGTGAGGCTCATGGAATTGAGGGGTCAGACATGACTCGCGTTTGGTGCCTATGGAACTCTTGTAATAGGGAGTTCAACAAGGAGAGCCTTTCGAGGCACGTTGAGGAAGTTCACATGGGGATTGTACACGCGTGCGGGTGCGGAGCTGTATTCTCGCGCAAAGATACTCTCGCCAAACACAAAAGAACATGTTCTGGTCAGCATTAGATAGAGTCTTTTGACATAGGATCCCGTGCTATCTATCTTCTATGCGTTGACTTCAATTAGAGCTTCTGTTATCTATGTTGTGTATGATCCGATGTACTTATATTATTACTGGTTTCCTCTATGATATTTATCCTGGTGGTAATAGTCAATTTTGCAAGCTACACATGATGTCCGCCCTCAAATTTCAAATTCGGTAGACGGCTTCTCTTATTGTACGCTCTACTGTGTAATTTCGAACGCCCCCATGCATGTATCTAATCCAAGTAGTACTATAACACAATTGTCATTCTAAGTAGCAATGGCATGAAAACTTGAACGGCACGGCGTCAATTCTTTCAAGTGACGCCCATGCCCATGTCTCTGTGTACAGATCACAAAAAGGAAGCGGAAGAGGATCATTAGAGCACTAGATACATAGAAGGGATTGCATTATAACTTGCGTAGATCAAACATGTTGCACGATTTGCATGCAAATGATCGCTGATATCGATCAGCTCTAGTAGACTACGCAGTCAAGCTCAAGCTTCAAGCAGTGGTTGTCATTGGCAATCGCCGCCACTCCGATGACCAAAAAGGAAATCGATATTACAACGGAGCCTCGCAGTCGGCTTCCTGCAACTTGTACACGGTTTTCAGGCACTGTTAGCCCTTGCTACTATGTGTCATACACACCTATTTACTATGGCAAAAAGAAACTCACCCCGGTTCACAATCAAGAGCAAGACCACGCAACATCATAATGGCAGCCGCGCTTATTGACGAGAGCCCCGACAATAAACCATTAGAGCTTCCAGAATAACCCACACCCTCCATTGGTGACGGAAAGAGTCAGGCAACTATACGAGGCTAACTGGTCAGAAGAAAAGACCTCGTCAAGATCGGAAGCCGCAGCAAGACTCGGATATCTTCAAACTGTTGTCAACAGTACATCCGTCGCCAGCGGTAGCAGCTTCCCCCACTTACCAAGTGCTTCGCATGTACCCTCCAATTCTCATCCATTATCCCAGAGTCGAATTGCGCATTCTTTGAGGTCATTCCCGATTCTTTGGTTGTGATAGAGAAAGTCAAATTCAGAGTTTCCTCGCACCATGTTTTCGAACGTCGTCTGAACGGTATAATAAAGGCTGTCACGTTCCCAGCGCCCACAAGCGCATTGTTATATCGATTTTCTTTCAAGAGTGGTAAATTTTTTGCGATTGATATCCATCACTTTCTGTCACGTCTAGTACATAGTAGTAACGTTAACTTGGTTAGCCGAAATAAGTGGTATCATGACCTTGCTTGCGAAGGACCTTAGGGTAGTAGAACAATCGGTAACTGATTCGAGTTTCAGTTTGGACATATACTCCAAGCTGTGCGAGTCCAACTTGAAGTCGGCTACAATATATAATACGCCATATGTGCTACATGATCTTGACTTAACGCTGGCGCTGATGCATGATGACCTGAGTTGCTGCATATACCACGCCGGGTGCCGCAAAGTCAAATTTATGCACCTGGAGGCAGTGACGGGCGGACCAGCCGTGTGATGCCGCGCGGGCAATATATAGGTCCGAATGCCATCATATCAAGTGGTCACCTGAAGCAGTGAATGATAAGATGTCAGGGGTAACTATTTCAAGTTAGCAAATTGAAAGTTGACACGAGGACAAGCATGATATAGTATTCTTAGCGATACACAGAATTGGTTAGTCGGCTACATAAAGTGATCAATGGGAACGAAAGGCTAGTTATAGTTGTCAGATGAGTTAAACATAATGCCAAGGATATAAAATGAAGGGGTCATATCGTGAAGCTAGCGTAGAATGGCCATGAGAGATCCGTGTGATGAGTTGAACAAAGTGAACAGTGATATGGAACGAAGGAGAGGCGGGGAACCAGAGTCACAACAGCTCAATTTTCAACGCCGAGGAAAGACTGCAGCTCATCGACAGGTTGCATCCTGGCCCTAGGGGGCGAGTTTGATGTCCCGTCAGGAATTGGCGACAAGAAAGTAAGGACGGCTTCGCCGCGGGAGGATCTACAGTCGGGATCGAAAGTGAGATAAATACCCCCATCGTTCACGTCAATCCCTAGTGCTTGCGAAGCCTCATCGAGCTCATCAACAGGAGCATCGGTGGAGTGCGGAGGCGCGGAAGTGGAAGCAACGGCCTCGCATGGAGCGAAACGCACCGAACGCGAAATCTTTTGTGCGCCAGGGTTGGCAGCCGAGTTGAGGTTGGGCATTGATCCTATTGCTTTGCTTGCGTCCGAGAATTTCTGGAAGCGGGTGGGCCTCGATATTTTCGGCTCTTTCTCTTCCAAATTCTGAGCATCTGCTGACTGTTCCCTGTGCAATACGTGGATCGATCAATTACTTGAATATTTAGTCGAGGTTGTGCATACCTGGTGAATAATCCCCGTCGTTTCTGAGGTGTAGCGTTGTCGTTTGCACGTGAGGTGCTTAGAGCAAGAACCTCTGCTTCAGACATTGGCGGGGGGAACGAACGCCGGTAATCATTAGGTGCCGGCTTGCGCTGAAAGCGAACTTGCCGCTGGAAGAAAAGAGTGAGTTAACATCGTCCATCTGATAGCACATGTCACACACCGCTTCGGTGGCATCATGCCAGGAACTAATAAGTGCAAGCTCTGCGGATGATGGAAACTTTTCGAGCACAAGTGTTGGGTGGGGGGGTTCCATATTAACCCGGCCACCAGTGGACGGAGGTGCCAAGGGCGTCGACCTTGCGCCAGTAGGTGTGCTCAATCCTCTTGGCAACGAAGGAAGTTCCTTGTCTACGTTGAGAGGCATGACTGCAAAAACACAGATGAGGGTGGTGTATAAATTAGCGAGAGCAAAACTGAGATAGTATAAATAACCAAGCAATTCCAAAGCGTTTGAAGCGGTGTGGACTTGAGGCCGGAAAGTGTCCTTTGTGGTGTTGTGGACGGAATACAGGAGACAAAGAAGAACACTGTGGACTGTGGATGGAGCATATGTACAATGCCTTGGACGGCAGGCTCAACTTGACCAAGGTATGAGCCTGCCAGTGGCAAGGTGGACTGGAGAGTGTGCCGTGGCTGACGGTCCTTTGCGTACTACAGACGCATAAACTTGAAATTTCGGAACGAAAAATCTATAAGCTTCACCAACACCTATTTTTGAAGTTCACCTACGTATAGTGGAGTCGAGTCGAGTCGCGTGCATGAAGTTAACGAACGCGCCACTGTCACGTGCAGGAAAAGCAACGGCGACTTGATTCATGATTCATGATGACTAGTGCTGACATGCATGACAGCGGCTCTGGGAGCCGGAAGCAATAATGGTTCTCTGACAAATTCGAAGGCGAGCAAAATTCTGCGAACGTTCCGCCCCAACACGCTTGTGGAACTCACGACCAGCAGACAGTAGCTTGGCCCAGCGATCTCTGTATGGTCTTTGCCACAATCGGAGGGCGATTGCTGACATGGACAGCCGTGCACTGCCTTCAATGCAGGTCATCCGACTCACGGAAGTACGTATAATCATTAATGTATGCTAGTGTAAGTCATTACAAAGACTAAGAGATCATTTAATTTATGTATTGCTTATTATGTACTCCACAGATCCTAGTTCCCCGGCTGTTCTATCTTCAACTCTTTCTTGCGAACCATCATCATGTCCCAACAGCAGGTGGACGAAGAGACGCCGTTGCTGCTCCCTGTGCAACAGAAGAAGGCTAGAACACCATTACCTTGGCGTCAATTCTCTATCATACTGTTTCTTCAGCTCGCAGAACCGCTTACTTCACAAGTTATTGCTCCCTTTGCACCCCAGGTATAGTTTTTTCACACAACCGAATCACTTGACAGCTTCTCATACTCGTCGCGACTCCCTTGCAGTTGATAAGAGACATTGGCATCACAGATGGCGATGAAACTCGTGTAGGATACTATGTCGGATTAATGGTGAGTCCGACTTAATCGATGGTTATATTCTTATCCTCGAATACTTGCAGCACTCCCTATTCTTTGCCACACAAGCCCTTACCGTTCTCCATTGGAGTCGGATATCGGACCACATCGGACGGAAACCTGTCATTTTGACAGGCTTATTCGGTTTGTCCATTTCAATGTACTGTTTTGGCCTATCCAGAACCTTTTGGGGGCTCGTACTAAGGTTTGATCATTTTATTGTCCCGTGAGTTCTGATTCCTGACTCCTCAAACTCAGCCGTGCTCTAAATGGCGCTTTGAACGGCAATATCGGCGTAATCAAAAGCATGATGGTGGAGATAACCGACTCGACTAATTTAGCCCAGGCATATGCATATATGCCGATAGCTTGGTCAAGCGGTGGGGCTATTGGGTACGTACCTGTGTGATATTTCACACCGCTTTTGGAAATCAAACGCCCTTTGTAGACCCCTGATAGGTGGGTCATTATCCCGGCCAGCAGATCGATTTCCAAACATCTTTGGGCATTGGCAATTTATGAAGACCTATCCCTATTTCCTTGCATGCGCCGTGCCTGCTACCTTCTCTATACTAGCTTGGGTTGTCACGTTTCTTTTCTTGCAGGAGGTGTGTTATTTTGAGCTAGCATGCATTCTGGGCAAGCGACAAAGGTTGATGACGTGATTGACAGACTGTACCTACCAGGGTGACTCCCTGGCGCTTGCTAAAGGGGCAAAGTCGTGAACATTCCACCCCTGTCAAGGGCCCCGCGACTCCCACAGGATCAAGTGATTCCCTCAGCACAGAAGATACCCCTCAGCGGGCAAAGGCTGATGGCTCCAAGCCGCTACCCCTTCGTTCGCTCTTGATACCCAGAGTGATCATAGCTGCTGGAAATTATTCCGCTTTGTCATTCCTTGACATCGCATTTCGTGCCGTGCAACCTGTGTTTTTCGCCACACCACTAGAGCTTGGTGGGCTGGGATTAGATCCCCCGCGCATCGGTAATATTCTAGCTATCTATGGTGTGATCAACGGCTTGTTCCAAATCTTTTTCTTCGCCGATCTCCATGATCGTTTCGGCTCAAAGACGATCTATTCTATTTCAATGGCTGCTGGAATTCCGATGATCGTCACTCTTCCCATCATCAATGCTGTGGCCAGAGTGCAGGGGTTAAGCCTCATGGTATGGGTGATCGTTGGCCTACAACTTGCTCTCTCAATGATATTAAATTTGGCGTATGGTCAGTTTCTGTATCATATCACGATTCTTTGCGTTGACCATCATCCCCTCAGCCTGCGTATTTATTTATATCGCTGCGGCCTCTCCGAACCAGGCATCTCTTGGTGCAACGAATGGGATCGCTCAGTTGGGTGTTTCGATCGCGCGGACGATCGGCCCTGCATCCGCCACGTCCATGTTCTCGTTCTCCATTAAAAACCCCCACCACGCGTGGATAGTCTACTATTATCTGATTGCTCTTGTCTGTATGGGCATTTGCATGTCGCTCTTACTTCCTCGACACTTGTGGAAGAATCACCATTAACGAATCTCACGCCCCGCTTATGGTTTCCCTGAGGTCGCTGCTAGGGGTCAGGGGGGAATCACTTACATGAATTAGACAGACATTGTCTCACTAGTCTTGACCTATCATTTCTTTGAGACAAAGTCCACGCTTTTGTTATTTTAATCGCATTTTCGTCTATCAACCGGTTATTGTCAATTCGGCGGTCCACACCCTTCGGCAAACGTGATAGTTTGTCACAAGATGTCACGGATCCCTGTGGAAAGTGTGACATCCTGTCTACCAAAGGACACTGCCACGCGCCACATAGTGGCACATACTTAAGCCAACGGTACAGCCGTTCGGACCCCCATCATTTGCTGAGCGCACGCCTTTCCTTCATCCTGATTTCTGCTAGCTTGCGTTATCCTTAGGACGGGGCCTGACTGTCATCATGTCGTTCGCTGCTCTGATGGCGCTTAGCGCCTCGCAAACTAAGGAATCTCAAAGCGCCGTCCAAATCGCACTACTGCAGCGCCAGCGCAACGAGGAGCTCCAACGGAAAAAGCGGGAGGAATTCGATAAAAGGGAGCGAGAAGAAGCAGCGAAGCTCCGACAGAAGAGATTTGAGGACGAGAAGAAGCAACGAGAGTTGCAGCTCAAGAGAGAAACAGAAGTGAGACGCTTGGAGGAGGAGCAGGCAAGGCGAGAGGAGGAGCAACGCAATGCGTTGCTTTATGGTCCCAAGAAGGCCAAGTCGGGCTCTAAGTGGCCGTCGTCCAGCGGAATCTCGAAGGAACAGATCCTCAAGCGCAGATTACAGTCAGATGAGGAGAGTGGCTCCGGCTCCGGGTCTCCAGCAATGGCTCTCACTCGCGAAGAGAAACGGCAGCGCAGGATCGAATCTGAAATGCGCAGGGGTTATGCCTTCAGGCGGGCCGCCACATCCTCCGGCTACAACAAAGCTGGCAAGCGACTTCCAGGAGGGGCTATCGACGCCACGTCAGCACCAACCTCAGACAGTTGTAACAGCTCACAGTCCGTCAAGGCTCGCCTTTCTGCACTCCCGAATACTTTGACCAAGCTTAATATCCACAAGCGAGACACACGGACCATAGACGAGATTTTGCAGGACAGAGCCAAGGCGAAAACTGCCACATTGGACGGCGACGATGCCAAAGAGTTTAATGACTGGTTTGGCAAGGGGAAGAAGGATACGGCAAAGACCAGTACTCAGGTGTCTACGGCTGCACCATCTAGAGCGTCCTCCGGCTCCAGCTCCCCAGGCCCCTCAGCGTCCAGTGAGTGTTTTGGTGGCTGAATCCTTTCTCATTATTTCATCTTTGAATTTATAGGATCGGTCAACTCTGGCACGTCCAAGACTTCAACTGCTCCGAAGTCTGCTGTCTTGTCGTTTTCGAAGACCTCACATTCCAGAGGCACAGATAGCCCTCAATCATTAAAGACCGAGGTGAAACCCAAGTCGACTTCAAACTTCACTCCTTCAGTGAAGTCGCAGGCTTGTAAGCCTTCATCAGTAGCACGCTCTGCCGGGCCCACTAAAAAACGACCCCGGTCCCCGTCCTCCTCGTTATCCCCCCCTCCTCCAAAGAGGCGCCCTGCCTCGGCTGACGTGGACTCTTACAGCAATGAAATTTGGAAACTATTTGGCAAGGACCGCTCTAAATATGTCGAGCAGGATGTATATAGTGACGATGAGGACATGGAAGTTGATGCCGGCGTTCTTGAGAGGGAGGAGCTCAGAAGGTCAGTGATTTCGCCTCCATCCAGGATCACACTATTGACAAAGAGACTTTCAGTGCGCGTCTTGCCAGAAAGGAGGATGAAGCAGCCCTTGAGCAGGAGAAGCGTCACGAGGAAGAAAAACGCCGCAAGAAGAAGGAACGGGAAATGAAGGAGAGGCGGGGATAAGGCAAGGAGTTTTTCTGACATCGGCATGCTATATTTCATGGACATTTCATACCCTCATGGATAATGGAACCTATCCCGTTGTCTTTCTTGGTGCTTTAGATAGGATATACTCATACCACACACACCACCATCACTCATGTTCTATCAGCCAGCGCAATTTTGTTTATATGTTACACTATGTATTCGCAGTCACTCGAGTCGTACTCATGCTTTTTTGTGCAATGCAGTATTCCCTTGCTCACCACCAACCAATGCGTGGCGGAGAATGGACGATGCACGTATCAATATTACAATGATAGGTTATTGTACATCAGCGATGTCAACAGTGACAAGGGCAAGTAAATATCAACAAGTTAAGACGCCGAGCCCATGATACGAAGGAGTGGAGGATAGAAATAAATAAATAATTAGATACGTCAATCCACGGGTGTTTTGAATTGCGGGCGTCTTGATGCATTATCAATTGTCGTCCGCTCGGAATCGCTTCCTGTCTGAGCCGCCACCAAACTGACCACCTTGCTGGCCATGCATGAACGCTGGGTTGAAGTGACCTTGCATGCCGAAGCCGCCGCGTGATCCCATCATTCCCACACCTATAGCGTACATCAAGTGCAAGTAAGAACAACAATCCACATGCATGAGACCGTTAGAAGCCCATACCCATTCCTCCCATGCTACCACGCCCGCCTACCATCATACCACCTCCTCTGGGTCCCTGGGGAACCATGCTGCCGCGCCCGCCGAAGCCTGCCCATACCCATGCCCATGCCCATGTTCCCCATTCCCATCATGTTCATGCCGCCCATGCCCATGCCCATGTTACCCATCATTGCGGGCATGCCACCGCGCATCATGTTGTTCGCCATACCACCACCCCCCGCGACCTTGTGCACCCATCATGGCTCCCCCCATTTGGTTGGAAGCATTACCGCGAAAGTTCCCTGTCGAGCCGCGGCCCATGCTTGTTCCCGATGTGGATATGGGGGTTCCTTGCTGGGTGTTTCGGGTGTCTCGAGGTGGTGGTTCTGAAGCCATATGGATTAGACAAAGCTGCAATCAAAAGCACCAGGCGATCACCAGACCTTTTGGGAGCGTGCGGAATGGATTGCCTTGCGACGAACTTGTTAGAGTTGCTGTAGCACGTCTATTTTGAAAGTCACTGAGTACAAGGTCAGCCTTGCATTCACATCGAAGCATCAAGCCTCACATACTTATTATCGAACCATGTTTTGATCGCGTTGGCGTTTTCGAAACTACTGAACTCCACGTAGGCGATACTGATGTGACTGAGTAACACCTCAATTTGGCCAGGAAAGTTGCTCACCCTTTACTCTTGCCATTCACCTTGTGCTCAGAAAACGTAATGTCACGGTGATCGATTGACACGCCGAGATTAAGAGCGACTTGACGCAGGTCCTCATCCGTTGTCCACTGTAGGAGAGAGAAACACAAAGACAGGCTTAGAAAGATATACACAGGATTCTAAACGACAGGACAAACGGACCCATTGCAAATCGCCAATATACAGTGCATCATAGCCCATCATCGACGGATCTGTCCCGCCTCCCATATGACTACCGTTTTGCACAACGGCATTGTAGTTACCGTTCATGCCATGCGAGACACCTTCGGCCCTAACCTGCCCTTGCTGGATTGGCTGGATGTGAGGAGCTGCTGGAGGCGAGTGTTGGGCGGGTGACGGTTTCGCTTCATCTTCCTCCTCTTCGTCGCTTCGAGGCCGTTTCTCACCTGTTGAGGGTTCGACTACAGTCATCATAGCCTCCACCGGTTCTTCCTTTGCATCGAATTCCTGTCCGTCAATACCCTTTAAGCGCGCATATAGTCAGTCCAACTAGCTGCTCAACCAAGTAGACGCATATTATGTGCCCACCTGGTTGGCTCTGCCGACAGCATAAGCTTCGTATTCGCCGTAGATATCATAATCTTCCTCAGGCATTTTTTCGCTGACTCAAGCAGAAGAATAGAAAGTCTTTTGCACTAGAAAAAAGTAAAATAACAGGATTTGAGTACCAACGGACATGAGAGTAACACGAATGATAACGAGGTAAAACTTCCACACGGCGCATCATGAAGCCGCCCGCCCGCGCTACCCACGTCAGCTATACAAATAAGTGGAGGAGCTCTTACATGATAGGTAAGGATACAGTGACAATGATTACGCGCCCAACAGCTAAGCGAAATACAGGACGTAGAGCGAGGCACAATAAGAACAGAGAAAAAACCAGTGGAACGCAAGGAGAGCGTACAAGTTGCGCGACAGCGACGTGGAAGAGCAAAAGCAGGAGAATGTTCGGGGAACTTCACCAAATTCGTCATGTTCTATAGCAGTAACATTTGTTTGGTTCTGTTTGGTATCCGTGGCGCAGTCGGCGCCTAACCTTCTTGTCGTGCCGCTGACTTGAAGATTGATGACGGTCATTTCACAGAACATGTGGATTTAAGGTAGCTAGTCTAGAACAATTTACGGTTACTGGCTCGGCAGGAATCAATCGCCATATCAGCCAGCCCATTTGTCCTGCAGTGTCCTATGCACTACTTCCTCTTGCTGAGCCAACCACAACCCAAATGCTGGCGTTTTCAGCCACCTTTCATAAAATTCTCTCCGCTTAGTCACGGACTTAAACGGCAGAGGGGAGCCATTCGCCTTCAGCGAAGAGAAAAAGTCAGCAGTGCTGAAGGGTTTTAGGCGTCGACAATCGGAAACAGTGGTACGTTCCGTCGGAGAGGGTATCAGAGTATTGAGGTATCTGTTCAAAGGAACTAACATAGCGTTGGTGCGCGAACTCAAGTGTCTTCTTAGATCCAAAGATGCTTGTATCCCTGAGAATGATGAGTAAGTTACAGCACTGATCATAATTTGGGATACGGACTGTGTTGGACGCTTGCATGACAAGCTTTCTCGATAGCCGCTAATAATTGGCGGTCTTTGGAAATGTATCGGCGATGAGTTCTTGTACACCATCCAGGTGGCGGCCCTGCCATAATGGTCGCATCCCCCTGGCGACGCGGACTGTAGTAAATTTGAGTGATGAGAGTTGAGAACCCAAGCAACCTCAGACACACCTTGATTTCAGCCCTACACTCAAGACGTGAGGCCAATGGGCGCATGACTTCTGGAAGAATGGATTGGTCACACCCAAGATAAGGCCAGATTTAGGTGGGAGTTTATTGACCAGAAGGGCGTGATCCTTGTCATGAATGGTGAAGTAAGGACGAAAATCGTTCGCAAGAGGTATCTGAGGATGGAATGTGTCAGCCTTCGATTCAACAAATGGAAAGCAGACAGCGCACAGGACGTAACAGATCCCTGAGCCACCAAACTGCTTGACTCGTGGCTGCGGGAGAAGATCCGAATACCAAGATCGGCTCACAAAGTATTAGGCACTCCCATATTGACCATAAATGGGACAAGGAGGCCTCAAATATGGATATTGGAGGCGGGTCAAGTGGAGCTATAGAAGACAGTAGCTGATACGGTTCAGTCAAAGATCCACAGCAATGGAGAACTCGGTTACATGCAAAGTGGGGTCAAATTTCTCATGAAAAGATGCAGTCTCTGTCAATTGCTGAATGTCTGCATTCATGGGCAACTCGACATGCAGAACTGAGCCTAGAAATCCTAGCTCAGTAGTCAAACCCGGCGATGGGCTGCACCTTTCTTTGGCAGATAATATTTAATCGATTAAAACCCGAAATAAGCCCAAGCGACACACGTACCAGTTGGCAATATTATGACATGCCGTTTCCAACATAGGTACACCATGGGTTAGGAACAAGGGCCCAAGTTTCATAATTAGGATGGTAAATAGTGCAGGGTACTGTAGGTGCGAGAGAAGAACGAGAGAAGTCTGCTCAATGTCAGCAAAGTGGTTCGACATGTGAATATTGATTCACCTGCTGGTATCCTCGCTTCGAGGTGTTGTCTCTTCTCTGGGAAAAATGCGAATATCCATAAAGGTATCCATCGATGCTATCTGGTCTGTTGATACCGTGGTCTAGAACGATGTGTTTGTGCGATACGCCGAGATCTTGGATGCGAAAAGAATGTACTTCTGATCCTTGTTCGAATTGCAGGGAATCCGGGAAGCATGAGAAAGCACTTGAAAATGTATTTCAACACCCAATCAGACTGATGGGGAAGATAAATTCTTACATGTTATCCTTCTCTGCGGGGGCCAGATACAAGGGTGGATGTACCCCGCAAATGACAGGACCGACATCCAGATCAAAATTGACTGTGGTGCAAGGTATGACGTGGGAGATGGTTCAAGTATGTTACGTGGCACTGACCTATAGCGAAAGCCAAGACCCATTGGGACATTCGCAACGCCTTATCTCGCTCGAACTCAAAGCCAGCGAGCTCTGAACTTAGATGTAACGCTGCATCAGATTTTGCCAGATGAGGAAGAGTCCTAGAGCGTGTCACGGTCTTTTGCCCAACCAGGCGAAGTCCAAAATGTGTATCCTGAACGTTGGACAGTGAGGGCGACTTGAGTGGACTCGAAGGGTCTTGAAACGATTCGATACCATCATGATGGATCGGAACATGTAATTCGGTTGGGGAAGGCTGCCGAGATGGCAGCCTTGAGGCGATAGTTTCAGTTGATCCTGTGCAGGACCCTGATCGAGAAGGATAAAGCAAACCGATATCTTGTTCTTCCATCTCTCTTGTTGCCTCCATCGCGGTCCAAAGCGTCGAAGATGCTGGACGACGCACGCGTCGATGTCAAAATCGTTGTAGCTAACAACGTGTTCAGTCCAAACACGATTTACACGTGGTTCGAGTTCAAAGTAGGATTTTGGGAAAATACCTCCTTTTTCCTTGACTCATCTGCTCATTGTTTCTCTTCCAACCGCCTTGAGGCCGCCGAACTGTGACCTTCGTCTTCTTGAACACGAGCTTGGGAGAAATTCCAATTTTATTGTTCACGAGGACTAAATCCGAGTCGGTCGGACATTGTACAATTCTTGCAGCCAGGCGAATCATAGCGTATGATAGTCATCTCGCCATCGCCGACTCGCACCATCTGTCCATAATTCTGTTTCAAACAGCACATTGTATCTTTATAAACCCTGTCACATCTTCGTTTCTCGGACTACATCCTTTAGCAACCATATGATAGACATATCTTCCCAAACGGCTTCGGCGTCTACTGTGCCGTTGGGCCAACGTAGACCCATGCCTGTCTACGCAAATGCTTTCGACGTAACACAAATCCCAGTCAAAGCATACGAGCAATACGATGGTGAGTACATATCTGCTTGACCGGGGGTCATCATCGTCCTAAATAAATTTATGCAGTTGGTGCGTGCGCCTTCGTGCCAGTAGCAACTACTCTGTTCGAATAAATCTTCTTCAGTAATGACACCTGATGTGGAAAATGTTCGATGGAGACATCGAATAGTTGAAAGACTCCAAAACCACGAAGCACCCAGGGTCTTTCGTCTGTGTTTGTTTGACGGAAAGAGCATCCTATACTCTGCCGCGCCGCTGGATCTCCCCGATGGCACTTCGGGAAACGTATGCTCTCGGTCGTGGTCCAGTGTTCTCAGGCTGATATCGGTTACAGTACACACTTGTCGTTCCCGGCAAGGGTCGAGTTACAATTAAGGTAGCTCGCGTCGCGGGCGAGACAGTGACATTCGAGTACGCATTTCCAGTTCCAGTTCAAGCATATCTCATGACATGTATGCTACAGCGACCTCAAGAAATTTCTCACCGGAAAAATCAGCGATCAGACGCCAAAGGTCTCCGTTGCACTAAATCTCCTGCAATTCATTATTCGCCAGGCCCCGAATCTGTGAGCCATACATTACGCGGTTAATAGTATCACTGAATCTCCTTCAGTAAGTACCCGAATAATGGAAGAGCGTACTTCACCAGTGGCGGCTCAAAAGATCTTCGCGGAGGTCTTCAGCTGTTTCGTGGATTTTTTCAGTACGTCATGTTACAGATCCTATTGATCATTCCTCACGTTAGTGCGTAGGAGTGTCAGACCGGCAATCGGCCGAGTTCTCGTGAATGTCGATATCAGTGCAGCCGCAATGTACGTCATGCATATCGCTTCTATTACATCTCATCGTGTTCCCCATTAGGTATAAACCGGGGCCGTTTGTGGACATTGCTCTAGAGGTTTTGAACATTCGAGGGAATGCACGAGCCCTCAGCTACAAAAAGCATAGCAAAGAATGGAATATCCTCAGTCAATTTTTCCGGAATGTCCTTGTCGACATAAAGTTACCAAAGAAAACTGTGACGAAGAAAATTGTTGGTCTCGTTGAAGCAGCTGGACGTTTTCCGTTCACTCAAGAGCAAGAAGACGGCACATCCCTTCCCACAACAGTGGCGGTACGCTCTGCATCAGTTGCTTTCATCGTCTCATCCTGCATATGATTGACATTTACGCAGGATTACTACTACAAAACATACAACATACGACTATCATTTCCTGACATCATTGGCATTGAATTGAGCCGTGGGTCTGGAAAAAACACCGTCATCCCGGCTGAACTCTGCACTGTGGCCGCAGGCCAGCGGTACACCCGTAAATTACCGCAGAACATGACGGCCATGATGGTTGATTTTTCTAAATTCAGGCCAGAGAAACGGCTGGAAATGATTGTTGGCCAGAAAGGCGACCGAGTGCAACCTCCCGTAAGTCCTTAGCCGAAGTTGAGATTTATTAACCATTTTCGCCCAGACACTTGAGTATGCTACCTCACCTTATATTCAAGATGCAGGAATGGAAATCTCGGAGAAACCGATCACATTACAAGGTCAACTTCTCAAACCACCTACCATTTTCTACGGCAAAAAACAGCCGGCGGCAAGTAGCTTTTTTCGCATATTGCTCAATTTAGTGAGATTTTGCCACAGGATGTAAACAACGGAGCCTGGAACATAACGAGGCAACATCTACATTCCCCCGAGATCATCAGAGCGTGGGCAGTTGTAGATTACAGTCTAAGGCTCGATCAAAACGTTATCAAAGCGTTTATGGACACACTTGAACAGTGTTGCACTGCACGAGGTATGCTGATCGCGCTGTTGAAATTCTGGTATTCACCATCATATTCCAGGAATGAGTACGATTTTTTTAGGTTTGTGAGAGTGCTGTTCACGATTTATTGTAGGTGTGAGAGCTAAGCCGTCATACAAACGAGGTAGTGGGGTTGGCTCGGTGGATCGGGTAAGTCCGCTTTTTTTTTGAAGTTTTGGTTTGTACTGAATGTAATTTCGAAGGATATTAAGGAGGCATGCTCGCTGGCATTGGTTTCAGCCGGAGCCCCTCCTGGTTATAACAAGCCACCTGAGATCGTGCTAGTCATCCTGCCTCAATCTGCCGCTGACATCCGCCAAGATGTCAAGAGAGCGGGGGATGTCACCCTTGGCGTAGGTGTCGTCATTGATCACAACTTTCTGGGCTGACTTGACCTCACGACTAGGTATCTACTCAGTGTGTGGTGGGTTCAGCTTGATATCCTGACAGTTAGTTATTTCTCAACACGTATTTCACAGCGGGAAGACAACATTGCGAAGTTTTCAGGGAGACAACTTGACCAATATTGCAATAACATCGCAATCAAGTGCGTGATATTTTAAAACATAATTTTTGTGAAGCTCATCTGCCTACAGAATCAACGCTCGATTAACAGGAGTGAACTCCATTCCATCATCGCCTGCATATGACTGGTTCACCAAAGAAGATTTCATATTTTTCGGTCTGTGATGCCATCAACGATCCGACATTTGCACTGACACTGACGTTCATTTCCAGGGGCCGATGTTGGTCATCCTGGACCCGGTATCCAGAACAAGCCCTCGGTTGCCAGTGTCGTCTTTTCGTATGACCGGCACGGCGTCAAGTACAGTGCAACATCGAGGGTGCAACAGCCGCGACAAGAGAGAATAGGCGAGCTCGGTCCTATGGTTTATGTACGCATTGCCTTCTGGCTGTCGGGACAATCAATTTATCATTTGCAGGACGCCATTACACGATATGGCAAGGTCAATGGGAAAGCCCCCAAAAAACTCATGTTCTTCAGAGACGGTCTCTCTGAAGGTGAATATGCAGGTGTCGGTGAACTAGAGTTCCAAGACATCAAAGGTTCGTCGAAGACAATAAGATTTTGCAGAATATTGATGAATTTATTTATCTAGAGGCTGTGAGAAGGGTTTGGGCTGAAGTCAAATTAAAGGACCCTCCGCCTCTAATCACCTACCTTATCGTGGGGAAGAGGTAATCTTCCACTTCAGACGGGCAAGCAATGACTGCTGACTTTCCTCGCAGACATCACGTTCGCTTCTTCCCGACAAACCCGTACGTACCTCTTCCTGCGCTTTTGTTCCTTATTGAGTAGTTCTCATAGTCAAGATGGAGATCGAAAGAGCGGCAACGTGCAAGCTGGGTTTGTCGCCAGCGAAGGTATTGCCAACCCGATTGCCAAGGACTTTTACCTCCTGTCCCACGGTGGGATCCTTGGAAGTTGGTGTACAGTATGTGCAGCGATATTCAGATTAACTGATTATTTCTGGTGATTTCCAGCAAGCCGACCTGCCCACTACATAGTGTTGAAGGATGAAATCTTCAACTTTGATATTAGGCCGTAAGTTTCAGCCGAAGATCGTACAAGTACAAGTACCAACTAAATCCATGCACTCTTAAGTATACAAGAGGTGGCATATACTCTCTGCCACGCGTATGTGAGCGCAACTCGATCTGTCTCCATACCTGCCCCTGTGTATTGTACGTGCTTCTGCATCTTTTATCAAGTAATTTTCTGACTATTCTCTCGAAGATGCGGATGTACGACTATTTTTGTCAACGCTTTGGAGCTGTAACTAATACCATCTCTCACATTTTACAGAAGGTCTGCGCTCGCGCCGAGTATCACTTTGATGCGAGTTTACGGTACATGGACAGCGATGGTGCAACTGTAGCGAGTTCGAGTACTTGTGAGAAGCAGTCATTTAACCTTAGCCAGTGGCGATCGGGCTACACACAAACTCACTCATCCATGCTGGCCAGGATGTTTTTCGCATGAGATTGTACCTTTAAATTTTTAGTGTTTTGTCAGTACTAGCGTCGTGTCCATTACCCCCATTGTATGTACCTACACGTGTTCTTTCCGGGTGTTCTATTCAGGTGATCAGCACGGTATCGCCACATGGTCCAAGGGTCTGGTGACATCCAGAAAGCACCTAGCTCAGGCTAGACGGTGGACGCCATGTGGCGCGAAGACGTCGATGATAGTCAGGATCCTCTGATAACGGGAGAAGCGCCGCGTAGATGAAGATAGTTGCGAAGTCAGAAGGAAGTTCACAACATAAACATTTGATCTGGGCATATTGTTCACTCACCGCGTTCGAGTATGGGAGAGCTAAATAGCTTCGCGTGTCACCAGGTGATTATAGAAGGAAGCCACAGAAGAATTATACCAACGTGCACACAAGTGACCCGATATTGTAGCGACCTGTCTCGACAACCGGCTCAACTCCCTAGCGCTTGCTGATTGGAAGTGCCACTAGAGTGAGAGACCTCCACGAAGTGGCACATTGGACTCTGGTCACAGGGTTCCGGTACTCCTTTGATATGCTAACATCGACGATATATGCAATACATCCCGCAGCTGATTTAATATCACGTTGATCAGTGATCAGTGATCAGTTCAAGCACTCGAGAGTCGAGACGAGGAACGGTGAATGAAAATAGGTTAGCTTATCTGCAACGATCGCTACAGTTACTGACAAATCTCTTGGATTCGAGAAGGTGTGGAAATTGAAGCTTCTGAAGACTGTGAACAAGGAAGAAATCGCACATGCCACTGGTGGCCTTCACTAGGCTTGCTAGGACGGACAAGTTGGGTCGTCGGCAATTGCCAAGAATGCATGATGTGACTAAAAACCACGTGCACATTACGCGACGCGTTTGATTCAGACTGAAACCTTACTTACTCGGCCAACCACATATTCAAACGTTAAGGATGACAGGCGCTAACTACATGGGAGGGAAAAGGTTAGTGGACACCAAAATTTATCATGGTTACTCAGATTTCGTATATATAGGAATGCTGCTCGAGCGCGGACCAAAGACAGTACAGGTCGGGTTCAGAAGCGACATTTCGGTCAACAGAGATTGGCAGCTGCATTATGCAACACAAAGGAAGAAAGGGGAAAGCCTGAAAGGATGTCCCTGAAGTCTGTTTTACATCAAATCAATCTGGCTCATGCACAACGAGACGCGAAAATCAAAGGCAGTCGCCCCTCCATAGCGCATAGTATAAGCACATCGCGCGACCCATCATTCGCCCACGGCACCTCATTCGGCGCCCCAAACCGCCGCAAACAACCTTCGAAGATACTTCGAACGCTTGATCTTTCTGATCGTATGTGATATATCCCCTGATATATCTCGACCTGTCTTATATACTATGCGCTGATCGTGTCAGCGGTGGCCTATCGTGATGCAATTGACCGCATATTATCAATCCCTCTGTCAGAAATGATTGGCCTTCCCTTGCAAGGAAAGCCATCCCACACCGAAGATGGCGACCCTGGCATTGATCCCGACGAAGATCCTCCCCTGCCTATCGATGCTGACAGCGAGTCGGACGTTCAGGTAAAATCAGAGAGAACGGTGAGCATCCGAGTAGGACGCTGACCATATCCTAGTTTCAAGGAACGTCTAGTGACATTTTCTTTCACACCAGTCGATCTTCAGGAAGCGCTAGCCATTTGTTCCCAATGGATAACGATGATGATAGAGAAAACCTTCGTGGATCCATACTCACCCACGATCTTTTAGACCCGCAGGGATATCCCACACCTCCGTCAAACAGCTTTCCGTTTTCTTTTGGTTCTAATTCTCAAGGAAAAGAGGAGTACATTCTCGACATGGACACGTCACCACCCTCATCGCAGGGTTCCTTTTCACAGTTGCGTGGTGGATGGAGTTCCAACCACGAACATTTCTTACCACGATCGCCATCCTCCTCCACTTCTCCGATTGGTTCCCCTGCACCCATTGTTACGCACGATTCTCCTGGGTCCTTCGGATGGGATAGCTCCATCAAGTGCAGCAGTCCTATATCACAGTCTCTCTGCCACACGAGTGATGTTAAGCAATTTTCAGCCTCATCCTTCGAAACACAATACGGTCCTATAACTCCTCAGAAGGCTCAGAAGATGTTCCACGCTGCCAAAGCTTCGGAAGCGGCTGTGAAATCCTTCACTGAGATATCTAACGCGGGACATCTTACACCTTTCAAGCCCCCATATTTTACCACTCGAACCGAACCTGTGGAATCACACTCTTTCAATTCGTCACACGGATTTTCTTCTTTCGGCTCAGATATACATGACACTGGATTGCCTTTGGACATTCTCAACGACCCGGACCCATGGGCGACCATCGGAAAGATTCTAAACCTTGAGATCGTGGAGACGCACGACAATGATGATATCACTTTTACTCGCGGTCGGGAGGGTGTCGGCTATGTCAGGTGTCGTTTGGACGAAACAGCACATATATGGAATCCACCACATAATTCGACGATAAGTCTGCAACCGGTCAAATCAGAATGCGAAGATCAATCCAAGGCGACGATGAACGACGAGGTGGAAGAGCACTTGGGGGAAACCACCGACCGTTGTCGCCATCATTCTCAACATTCTGAAGGTTCACAGTCGGAAGAAAGACCTTCGCCTGATCATTCCAATCTAGTCAAAGACATGAAAATCACAGCTCAGAACGAGCCACTTTGTATGTTGACGGTGGCAGAGTCGGAGATACAAACAGAGTCACCTTGCATCCCTACTGCACTCGCGCATCGAGTCTCTCCCCGGGATGTACAATGCAGTAGAATAGATGACGATGATATGTATCGGGGGCCCTGTTTGTTTGGGGACTCAGACGAAGAAGATGAATAGTTTTCGACGGAACATTTTGTACCAGTCTTATAATTGTGCCACATACTTACTAAGAGAACCACAATCACGAGTCACCTGACTTGACGCGTCTTATATATATATATAAGATGATACTTCAACATCATTCCCGTGCTAAACCTGAAGTTTCCGTCACTAGCCCGGGCCCTCTAGCTAGTCCATATACTAGTATACCGTCGAGTCATGCAAGATTTTCATCATCCAATGATACTACCTGCGACGGCGTCGGGAATGCGTGGTCAATATAATGCCGAAGCCCACCGAGCAACATATGGTGTGCTTCGTGTTCATTATCTGTAGTGCGCAAAGCTCAAACCTCATTCACTAATACAGACCATATCTCGTCGATTCTAGACAATGAACCCGCATCTGCAAATACACAGATACCACCTGCGCTTGTCTTCTACGCGGCACGGAACATCCTGCACCCCACTTTGATTCTGGGACAGATCCCAGATTTACTTGATTGCCTAGCCATGGTTGACACTTTCCGGAGATATGCAGTCGAGGCGTCTTCTGTTGCGTTGTCGTGGCAGAAGTACTATGCGAAGGAACTTAGTTCTGATCCAGACATGATACTACTCACAGAAAGAGAGCTAAAGAAAATCCAAGATTATGCTACGAACGACGAACGTGACAGGCTGCATTATATCTTGGTCACTAAGAATCTGTGTCTATTGGTGCGTTTCTCAGGTTTCAAGCTCGACCTCGTTTTAGCTTCATTTCAGATAGCATGTTTACTACCTTATGACGGCACCGGAGTCGTGTATGCTTGCAAAACATCTGAACGACTATTTTCCGGGATGCTTCCCGGGTCACGATATACCGTCTAAGCTATTGTTTCAACACGGACTTTCCGACAGTGAGAAACAGATTATGGAAGACGCGTATCAAGGATGTAAGGAGTGGATACTGGACGTCACCCAATGGGAAGAGGAACGCGAACAAGAACAGGAGCAGTTGCTTGCGACGTGAGTCTTTCCATGGTCTCCATGACAGAGGCTAACAGTCTTTAGCTTAACTGTAGAACAAGCTGACGCCGCATTCCAGGAGGCCTTTCGAGAGAAATTTCCTCCGCCATGTTCTCAGGAAGAACTAGTTTCAGATTTGGATGACTACTTGAACACCGTGGAGAGAATGATTCGCAGGTTGGAAGATTATTTTCCTTCCGCCAAGGTTCTGGAGAGATTAAAGCGAGCGACCTGAATGACATTATGCTCCGTCTCATAGACCGTTGTGAGTTTTGGATCATGCTGATATATGCACCCCTCAATACGGAGAGCAAGTCACAGATTTCCTTATCCGGAAAACAGACAGGCGACAGGCTGCTCCTGGTGCACCCCATATCGGTATTGAGCGCGCAGCCATAGTAGATACACAGCACAGTACTAGTCCCAGGCTGCTGACAGTAAAATGTATCTATGTAAACAACGTTTATATGGAAAGCCGCGCTTTGTTACCACCCGTGACATGGGCCAAAAATGGTAGTCACAAGTTGAAGACTCCGTACACCTCTAAAGATTAATGCGATCGACAACCTGTGGGTTCCATATGAGTATAGCGCGGCTGTCCGGCTTTTTGTCCTGCAGTTACAGTACTCACTGCGGAAGTGAGAAACTGATCAGACCATATTCCGAGGGAGAAAGCGCAAGTGAGCAGACACAAAACGTACCTAGCTGTTAATCCGATGCAAATCCGACGTATCGTAGATTTTGAAGCAAAGCCTTCGTTTCGGTTTGGTCCACAGCTACAAACGTAAACAGATCCTTTTCGGACTTCGCCACCATGTCTTTTCCGACGTCCATTTATTCTCTTCAAATGCTTGCTATTCCAACGTTGACTGACCCGGGAAATCCACTCTTTCGACAGTCTGCATACGATTGGATTTCAGTGAGGTACCTTTTTCGAAAAATTTCTCTAAGTCCATCGTTAACTCGCACTATGTTGGACGACGCACATAAGATCAAGCTTGAACTACCTTCGAAACTACAGGCATTCAGTTTTACCTTTGAAACCAAGCGACCAGGGCCTATGGTAAGTTTAGATTTAAATACAACCAACTAACTAAGTACCTCTGTAGACAGTCGAAATCACGCTCAGATGGCCCACCAAGCGGCCCAGATTACTACAAGTTCCTGAACATGTCGACCTCAGCGCGACCGAACCCAAAACTCCTGACCGACTTCAAGTCATGCGCTGGCAAGAGGCCCAGAAATATAAAGTAAGTACTATGCATCCTTGTAGCTAGGTAATTATACTAACTAATACATGCTTGGAAGAAGTCTGCAGCTGGAACCATGGCAAGGATCGACGCAGAAGAGACCTTCGATAGTAGCGACACGGAGAAAGAGACTCTGGCAGAGTTCACCCGCTGGTACAAGGCCAAGGGGGCTGTAAGTTTGTTCCTCTGGCCATCAGGAAATTCACACATTCCTTATTTTGCCCTTAAACAGACTTATTCACACTTAACCACCTTGTTGAAAGTGGATCTACTTGTCCGAAATTTCAACTTGAATGTATTAAGAAAAAAAATGTTGAGATGTATTAATGGACATGTTTTATTATGTTTCACATTAAAAAAATACAAGATGTGCCAGGTGAATGATGTGAGAGAGAGAAAACAAGGTTTTGAAATAAGTGAGATAAGCTGATTAAGGACTGTTAAGGAATGTGTGAATTTACTGATGCTGTCCGCGATATTGGCACTCAATATTATCTATCAGTTGAACGACCTAGCTCAAACTTCTCTCATCAATGATACCATAGCATGAGGTCATGGGTATACAGAGCAGGGGAACAGACTCGGGTTTGAGTCGTGGCCTGCATCAGTAAATCACTCGGTTCTGTACAGAACTGTACAGAACTGTACAGTGTGACAGGCCGACAGCTTGGTCCCTTCTATACAGCTCACTACAGTACTACTTCACTCTGTAGATCTCTGTACAGATAACTCACAGACACCCAGAGAAGGGCTCTTGTACCAATAAAATATAATTGTGCCGCTGCTGCTAGCTGCTCGACTGTTCACACATGTACACACAAGCAAAAATTGACAAAATCAATAATAGCATTCAATCAGATGCATACTACACTAAATGACGCTCGAGATAGAATCAATGCGGGGCAATAATGTCAAGAATAGAAAGACGTCAATCAAGGATGATTTTCAAATGAGAATGTCTCGAAGCGTCATTCACATTGCCGTCGACTTTGTAGGACTCCGCCCTGTGAGAACTTCATCAGCATGCAATACTTCGAAAGCAAAAACTCCTTGCCATCCAGCTGCAGCCCAGGAACGAAGTTGCCGTGCTAATTTCGGTCCATGGTAAGGGTCACGCATGATCGATTCCAGGTTAGTGAGCATAGCAGTATACAAAGAAGAGTATTCCTTTGCGGTGAACTTCGGAAATGATTTTCCACTGCCGTTCTTAGCAAAGCCATCTAGGACACAATTAACCTATCAAACATGTGGTCAGTGTGTTGTTAGTAGGACATGGAAGGACGAAAAAATACCCGCGGTGCAAACCAGTGCCAAGCACTCTAGCGGTAAAGACTTCTGGAAGACCTCAGGTCTCCTGCGAGCAACACGGTAAGACCCTGTATAGAAGAAAGAGATAGAAGCCTCGCGGAGCACAGGATGAGAGGCGTTTTCGGTTTTCCCATTTTCATCTACACCGTTGCATAAGAAAATAGCGTCTTTGAGCAACTCCGTGGCAGCTTCTTCAACCCAGGCAGCACGTTGTTGGGGTGGGACATGAGATGGAGGTATGAGGTCGTACATGGAGGGCACAATACTGGCAACGGTCTTCTTGAGGTCCGAGCGCCACGTTGATAAATCCTCATACAGCTAACATAACAGCACGTTAGATATCGGATGCGTGCCAATGAATGCACACACCAGTTTTGCCATATCATGCTTGCGATCAGGCCAAATACCTGGTAGACACGTCAGTAAAATATCTCGACAGCAAAAAAGACCTACCCTCTTCGACTTGTTGACCACCCTCGAGCCATTCGACGAGCGAAGCCATGAGTATCTCGTTGATGGAACCTGTCAAATCTTTCGCTAGTTTGGGGAATGGGTTCTCTATCGCGTGTTGGGCGCGGCACTCGCTCTTTGTAACCTCAAGGAAGTTTTTCCATCGTGGACCATACCAGCCTAGTTGAGTGGCTCTAGGCCCATCACCTGATTCCTTCACTTTTGCTGATGTAGTCTTGACGTTTGTGTCCTTTGACTTGGAAGACTTTGTCTCGGCGTGACGTAGGAGGTCAAGAACTTGTGGATCAGGAAGTCGAGGGCGTCCATTTTTCTGGTGGTGGCGCTGTAAGACATCATCTGGCTTAGGTTCAGCCGGCTGCCAAACAAACAGAAAATTAGTAGGCTTTCAGGAAACTAAATAAAACTATACCTTGGTCGTGGTATCATCAGTACTGGAGATATCATCTGCCAAAGATCTTTTCTGCGTTAATGTCACCTTCATCACGTGAATATTGAAAATCGAAGTCGGTTGGAAGAGCACGAGCGACATGGGGTTGAGACGGTAAATCTTCTTTTGAGAAACCTGTCGCTCGTTTAGTATTTCATGATGGTGATCATGATTTTGCTTACCAGGATGTTCAGTCACACGCCCCTGCGCTGCTCCCCAGCCAACTTCATTGTCCGTGTGATCTTCGTCGTCGTCGTCGTCGTCGTCGTCGTCGTCGTCGTCGTCGTCGTCGTCGTCGTCGTCGTCGTCGTCGTCGTCGTCGTCGTCGTCGTCGTCGTCGTCGTCGTCGTCGTCGTCGTCGTCGTCGTCGTCGTCGTCGTCGTCGTCGTCGTCGTCGTCGTCGTCGTCGTTGTCGTCGTCGTCGTCGTCGTCGTCGTCGTCGTCGTCGTCGTTGTCCGTCGTCGTCGTCGTCGTCGTCGTCGTCGTCGTTGTCGTCGTTGTCGTCGTTGTCGTTGTCGTCGTCGTTGTCGTCGTTGTCGTTGTCGTTGTCGTTGTCGTCGTCGTCAGTATTTCCATCGCCACCCTCACTAGATGTCTCCGTGCTTTCAGCTCCTGAATCTTGCGGTCCGTTGTTGACTGGCCGAAGGGTAGGATCCAGGTTCTGGAATAAGTCTGAGTTAGCATCAGGCTGACGTGCAGCTAGAACCTGCTGAAAGAGCCTGCTTTCTCCCTGGCTGCAGCCACAAAAGGGTTGTTGAGTGCCTGCAGGTCAGGCTCTGTACCAGGGGGAACGATTAACTGAGAAAAACCAAAGCGTGCACCCGCTTCACGATGTACGAAACTGGGTTGGAGGTTTGGGGGCTCGACAGTCGAGGCAACGGGAGTAGTTTTCTTCGTCAATGTAGCTTTTTTTCCCCGTGGTTTCGAAGGCGCAGAATCCATGGACTCGACAGTTGAGGCAACGGGAGCAGGTTTTCTTCGCCACTGTAGCTTTTTCCCCCTGTGGTCTCGAAGGCGCAGAATCCATCGGCTTGCCAGAGGCACTATATGGTGGAGGGGGCTTCTGATGTATTCAGAGTGATCAGTCTGTTACTACAAGTAAAAAACGAAAAAAACCTTCATCCGGCCTCTCTTGCGAGGCGGGTTCTGGAGCAAGCGGATTGGTAGGGATACTAGAGTCGAGGGAGGTGGAGCCTTTGGGCTGGCTGGTACGTGCTGGGGCACCCAAGAGTGCTCCAATGATCTCGAGTTGACTAACTCTACCTCCTGTTCCAGCACCAGGACGTCCAGAACGTTGAGTAGGCTGCTGCGACGACGATGGGTGCTTCAGCCTCAGCCCGCGATTTCTTGGTTGACACATCTTGCCCATCAGAATCCGCGGCTTTGCGCTTTGTCTTCCTCTTCTTAGGGCTAGTGCGAGCTGGGTCCTGACGTGAGATGGCATCTGAGGCTGACACCAGGGAGAAACTGGCACGAAGGAAACAAAAAACTTACCTTGATGGCTTTTAATAAGGAATGTATCGCAATTACTATGACTCGAGCTCGGCGTGGGTAACAGCGTGGAATTTTAGTGAAGTCAGAATCAACGTGTTCAGAGATATTAGTCGAGTGTTGGCCTGCAGGCATGATACAAATGATGTGGTTGAGTAATGATGTAGTCGTATGGTATCATGTTGTGCGGAGGTTAGCGCGATTATATATATCATCAGTGACTCAAACAAATCCAATTGAAATGACATAATGAATCAGATGCGTTTTCAAGTTCCTATCTCCGAGTCTTGGACCTCTTCGGCTTGGGCATAGCTTCCATCGTCCATCGATAATCTATGACTCGCTTGTTCTTGTTGCCCGGCAGAGTCCCAGCAACCGACTGTGACATCTTTTCCTCAACACTTGGGCCCTCCTTCTCATCTTTCTCATCCTGTTCCTTGAGTGCCCTGAGCAACCACCTTGAAACCAGGAGTTCGGGTGAGGGCTCATCCATCGGAAGGTCCGCAAGATGTTTATTCAACACCGTAAGCACGTCGTCGAAATGCACGTTTTTTCAGGTTTTTCATGAGCTCATACCAATCCAACACAACAGGAATGAGGCTTTTGAAGTATGGATGGATTTGTTCAGTAAGCTCCTTGACGTAGTGCTCATCGTGCCAAAAAAATGATGTTTTACTATCGCAGCATGTCTTGAACTTCGAGGCAGACCACTCGTGCGGTATCCAATTGTGGCTCTTGTCGAGAATACGCTTCATGCCAAGGGGACCCCTGAACTCGATGAGAATCCATATGAAGACATAGAACATGGACTCGAGGTCGTCTTGGTAGCAGTGCTTGATTAGGGGGGGTGGGTATGGTCTCGAACTTGAGGCCCCCTTAAGCTCGAGCACATCAGTTGGAGTCTTGAGGTGGAGCTGCAGGAGAAGTGCTCGGGACATGAAGGGTAATGTGCCCTAAATACAACGTTCAACGTTGATTTCTCAACTAACTCAAAAGAAATACTGATGGTGCCCCCAACAGTGTAACTCTGATTCTTCAAGATCTTCACGGCAAACTCCCAATCTATCAGCATTCCGTGGGTTGCCGTTACCATCGTCCTCGATCATGGCATTGAAGAGACTACAATCGCGGTGAAGAACATTGCGTTGTTCAACTGCTTCCTTCTGAACTAAAGATAGGTCAGTAAATGCTCGCGCATCACAATGTATGATACTTACTTTGCACGATATCCCGTACCGAGGCCAGCAACTCGTACTTTGTGCGGAATTTGTGTAAAGGTCGTCCCCGGGGTTTCAAGACCACTGCGAATGTGAGTACGGAATGTACCCTGCAGACTTCGCACGGACCTGTAGCGATATTCCACTGTTTGATCCACCTTGCCAGGGGTGACCTCAACGAGCCAATATTCAACCAGCTGGGGGACACCACGGACGCCTTTCATCTTCTCCATCATCTTGATTTCATTCAAGGCTTCTTTATTTCCTCCAATGGCCCAGTAGTCCTTGATTATAAACTCCTCATCATTCTTCCTCACATGATAGCAAACAGTACCGCGGCCCACAAGACCCTGCCTCGAAAAAATAATATCCAAAATGTCATAAAAATGGTCGTTGACCCGTATCTTCCCGATTGGCTCTGGCAGAGGTTCGAGAAGAGGATCCTGAGGGATCTCTATTGGGAGTTCCACTGGGAAGCTACCGTCATCTTCATCGGCGTTATCCTCGGTAGGTTCTGTCTCCAAGTCAATCTGAGGAGTGGTACTAGCAAGTGAAGATGTACTCTCGAACTGGGGGGGGATGTGCTCTCGATCTGGCCCGGGGAGTGAGTTGGTGCGACGTCCTGGGATGAACCTTCGTTCTGCAGGAGGCAAGTAGAATGTGTTTTGAGAGTCTGCGGAAGTGTATGCGCGAATATGCTGATTGTGGTGTCGTATCCGATGCACTCAAGATTACCAAATACAACGCATGACAAGATATACAAGTATCTGTCTGGTTCTTGATCGATGTTAGTGCAAGGGCTTACGACACCTCCGGAATGGTCGTACAGGTGGACACGAAGATCGCGATACCCATTGCACAAGGATATCAGCAGCGCAAACCGTCTCCAGGGTTGGTGCTTTAGAAGAAGGTATGCTTTGGTATCGAGAGTCTTCACAAGGGTGCTCGAAGGTTTGTATGCGCTGGATGTCAACTCGCATACCGCTTTGATCGTATCCCACCTAGCTTCAACATCGTCTAGTAGGGTAAGATCTGGTTTGCGCGGGATTTCTTCACCAGGTACTGGGCGTGATGAATTTGCCGCACTCCAGGTGCGTGATAAGTTGCGTGTATGAGCAAGATCAGGCTGCAATGCAAGGAGGGCCGTAGAAACAACATTGAAGAATGATGAGAAGATGCTGTTCTGTCGTTAATGGACCCTCCGAGGCTACAGCTGAGGAAGACAGGCAGTCCAAGTCCCTGTCCTCCCCGTCGTCTGACTTCGATCCTTCATCCGTCAAAAGGTCTGCATCAGCGAATGGCAGCATGCTCTCGGTAGCTTCACTTGTAGATGCCAGCGGTGCATCCAGCCCCCCAGAGGCTAGTAACTCGGTTTTGTTCGTTTCATCGATCAACACCCATTCTCCCGACTTCTCTTTTGTGCCACTCTCAGTTCCTCCTCGCTCACTTTTTTTCGTAGTTCGTCCCTGTCCATGCATTGTTGGAAGGGGCCAATTCCATCGACGCTTTTGAGTGTTATATAGCGGCACCATGGGAGCTCCATCTGGAGCCAGAGAAAAAGCTTCCAGATCATCGAGCTGACTGTCGGGGGGTATCTTGCTTAACGGAACCACAAGATCCTCCACTTTGGGGACTTCAACGGTGCATGACTGGAATATAAGAGATAAGGTATGGCTGAGCTCGTCTTTGTTGGTAAACGCAGGCTCATGGAGTATCAAGCGGTTGAGTTCAGAAGTTGTGAGTTCATCCATCACTTTTATATTATGGATGGGGGGAGCTGTCAAGAAGGATGACAGTTTTTTCCCTAGGTCGATTGTTCTGGCGTGTCTCGCAGTTGGCATAACGAGGCATAGAACTCCGAAAAAACCATGCTAGCATACATATGGAAAGTAAAGAAATGATAGCACACAAAATGGTCTTATCTCGAATCAAATACTATGCTGATAGGGCGAAGAATGTGTGTTTTTCCCAATACTCATTCAACCAAAACTCCGCGGCATGCTCCATGCTATTATAAACAGTGAGGCGTTTATCTGCAGTGGCTCCAAAGCGAGGAACAAGATTTATAGGCGCCCTTAGTTGAGAGAGCGGAATCACGTCCCCCATCCGAACACCATTTGAGCGTTTTGAGCGTTTGAGTACATGAAGTTGCGTAGTTGCATCACGATCATGCGAGATATCGAAGCGTTGCACGTAGCTGAGAAATTGGTCTTTCCATGACCATGATGTGCCGCTCTTACCAATAGGCCGCATGATCAGTCTGATCTGGGCGACAGTGTGACCTATACAGGGTACAGTTGAGGCTGAGACAAGTATTGTGACACAAGACAGAATTCACACCTGAAAGTCCACTACTAGGCCATGAAAAGCCCGCACTAGTTTGAACGATAGCTGTGTCATAACGACCTAAATTCCAGGGGTGGCAGGGTGGGGCACAATTTAGTGTTTGAGCTGGTCTGATAGTGTGAGCATCGTGAAATTCTGTTTCTTGTAAGCGAACTTTGAACCAGACTTGAACCCTGTCAAAAGGAAGGATATCCGTATGTGCCCCTCTTCTTGGACCGCCTATTGCATGGATGTGTTGGTCTCCACAAGTCGCCTCACGCTGAATGAAATCAGCGATAGCTGGTCGCAGATCTGGAAGGGAAAATTTGATGGCGACGTCGTCGATAGAGATCTTCCTAATGGACGCATCGTATGCAATATGAAATGCAGTGCGGCCGACGACAAATGAACGTAATGGAAGAGGTACGGAACCCAGGGGTCTGTACTGCAATGCCCTAGCAATGGCAAAATAGCTGATGACAGGACGACGTGGGAGTTCCTGCACCGCGGAAAGTTCGATTGGAGTGTCAGCATCGGCATCGGCATCGTCAGCGTCAGCATCGATGTTGATGTTCTCCAGCTGCTCAGTAGTCTGTTTTGCATCCAAAAGGCTAGTGGCGAGCTCAAAGCGCTGACACTTTTCGGCACGGTCCAAGTGTCAACATATCTGAGGATTGTAGTTGTGATTGTTGCTTGCCCTTGCAGGGTCTTTGATTTCAGTCACATGCGCATGTTCTGTGACATCCGCAGACCACTGTCTGATGACCCCAGAGTTGCGAATGCTTGGAACAATGTTCTGCATTAACTCCAACTTGGGTATATGCCAATTGGCAATAGGTCTATTACCCTTCCCTCAGCGAACTCCCGCAGCGATAATTGAATCCTTGTTTGAATGAAACTCGTCCAATGCGCCTGATATCATCGTCGTCGATGCGTGGTGACTGCACACGATAACGGAACTGCATGAGTGCGCGTACGGCAGTGAGAACACCAGGAGCTGCGTCCACACATACTGCAATGATGTATCGTTGAACATCACGATGACAACGACCGGTAACCTGTTTCAGTTTCGAAATGCCTCCGTGGAAGTGCTGATAACCAGTGATCGGCTGCAAAACAGAAAACCGGAAATCAATCTCGGACTCTCCGACTGCACAAATGAGCCATTGCGCGTCATGGTCCCAGAATTCTTTATGAATGTGGTGAAGGTCTTCCGGTGTAAAGAAATGAGATGGTTCCGCGAGTATCCAGTCTCGAACGAACGGCTCAGCAACCCCATTCAGGCGGAACTTCTGTGCCTCGCGGAAGAAGGCCTCGATATCGAGGGGATCAGCGCGTGAACGCACAACTGTAAGCTGCGCAAGAGTCGTGGATTTCATCCGAGGTTCATGCTGGAAGGCATCCCCGAACTGCTTATACATTGCCATGGTCACTGGCGATGTTTTGCCACCGACCGTTGCTAACATCATGGCTTCAGGGGTGTCAGCAATATAACTGGCAAGCGGGGTGAAGCAATAACGACTGTTGCCAATGGGATCCGATAGCATGACGCCATGTCGAGCTGCCTGTTTCAGAGGTTCAAGAACGATGTCCAAACATTCATGTATGAGGCGATCCTCCAATACACCCTTCATTTGTGTCTTCTTATGCACGAACTTCGGGACCGGTAGTAGAGCGGTGAGAACGAAAGCACTCGAAGACGATTTTAGACGTATATTCATATGTATGTTTGCAAGGCTTATAAGAAGTGGGTGAGCAACGCGATCGCCTGTTAAGGCAGTGATGTTCGTCTTGTCGGAGGATAGGATGGTACCGAGGAGGGTCGCACCACTAGGTATAGCCGCCTTCAAGGATAAATAAGCCAGAGACACCGAAAGTCAACATGGTACGCACCTGCATATCCCAAGCATCATTTCCCGTCATCCATTCAGTATATACACGACACCGCTTCTCTGCAGTAGTGTACACCTTGCGAGGCCTGGAATCAATACGATTGTGAAATATGGGGTTGTTGAAGATGCTGGCGATGCATTCTAGAGGGTCGCGCCAATATAAAACTACCGGTGACTTTGTTGCATGCGATGTGGGTATTACTTTGGACATCCAACGCGGACCACTGGGGAGCATTTCAGCTCGACCCCGTAGTTCTTTAGCTGAGGAGAATGACAAAGGTAATTCTTTGATCTAGAAAGTCCAACAGTTATGGAATGGTAACCAGTATGAAGTTCGGACACTCACCATTTCAAGCGATAGGAAGGAATCGATCTTGCCCATGCTCAGGCCCGAACGAAGCAGCCATGCCGCAACTTGCCAATCTCTTCGACCACTAATGGATAGTAAAGGTTGTTCTTGCGATACACACTATTTTCGTCAGCGTCAAATAGGTTCAAAAAGGTGTAGCCATCCTGATAGGCAAGTGGAGGGTCAGGATAGTATTCAGTTACTTCACCGCCCTCATCCATAATTCCACCTCCCATGATATTCTCTTCATCACCGAATTCACCGCCATCATCACCAAAGTCAACTACCATCGCCTCGCCTCCGAGTTCTGGTTCATGAGAAATGTCGTGCTCGATATTCACTGGGTCCAAGGGTGGAATGAGGGAATTAAGCTTGATGATATCTTCTAGCCACGTGTTGCAGCCAGACCAGGGCTGGCTCATATGGCGAGCGACAGATGTGTGGTCCTTCAGAATTTTTCCGCACGATGGACATTGAGGCATAAGGGTAAGGGTGAGACATACGACAGTCATCATTAACCTTCTGATCGATATTTCGGCATTTTCCAATACTGACTTAAACAATACTACCATGAACATAACCAAACTGCGATCTCTATCAGCACGCGCATCAGGGATGGATGAGCAGATCTCCCGTTTACATCATCACGAAGGACCATCGGGTGCATATGACATATACAATGTTCTTCATTCTGTCAATTCCTTGGTGATGTCGATCTTGAAATTCGCTTTTTCGATGTACCTTACATTTTAACAGTCCATACAGGATCCAACCGACTCTGAGGCCAACCTGGTGTTGGACCTTGTAAGAGCTAAGCGGCAAGTTTATCTAGCGCAAAAGACACTGGCGGACTGTATAATACGCGAGAACGAAGTGTTGGCAAACTTACTCCGATATCGAGCTGAAGAAGCAGAAAAACGACTGGAGGACGCGGATGTTGGATTAGGGTGCATGCGAATCGCATTTAAGAAGAATGGATGGAGTCATTTTCCTCATCCGACTCAAACACGCGATGGCCGCCTACAAACTGGTAAGCTAACGATACGAAACTTGATGCAGGAGGTTGATTATCCCAGTAGAAGATGCTGAACGTGGTCGTCACCTCACCGTCCAGCTTGATTGATCCGAGCGCTCCCTCTTCACATTATTATGATACTCAACTTATGTATATGCTGTTGTTGCATGAATATTTCGCTATGCAGTGTTGTTTGTTGTATGTCCTCTCAGGCATGAATGAACATATGCGTCTCACTCAGATCTTAAACTATCTTCACTGCGGCTGTTTAAGTTTGATCATTCAATTTGAAGCCAAGTCATATCGTACGAAACTGAGTCGTATAGACCTAGAGAAAAGTACTATGTAACTACTACCTATATTAGTTGATAAATTCTTGAATTATACTGTAGAACTGTGAGTAACTGGAGACAATGTATACTTTGCAGCCACTGTTGGCTGTGACTTTGGCGGAACTGTGGACTCTGTGGCTCACTGTCGTGGGAACATGATTTGTGTACATTCTGTGGAGAAATTTGTGATTTACTGATGCGTACTGGAAGAACCTTTGAAGTTCTGCTAGTTCGTCGTCCGTCAGGTTGTCCATTGCATTCAGAATAGCGAGAAACTTCTTGTTGCATGCCTTCCCCCTGAAACGATCAACATCCACAGTATCGTCGGCTTGCTCATCCAAGCTGCAAAATGTAGCGGCGCCGGCGAGCGCCCAGATGAACCTCAAGTTCTTGAGCTTTTCTTCCTCCGTCTCACCGAGAAATTCATGGCGCAAGCCATACCAAATAAACCGGATAACGTTGGACATGATGAATGGATGTTGGAATTTTGCTTTGATAATGACCTCCCCATCCTGAAAAAAATCTAGTTAAGCCTCCTGCAACGTGTGAAAATGAAAAAGTACCTGATCAAAGGTGTAGATATGCATAAAAGCGAGACCGTCAACATCCACCGTGATCTTGTTGATCACTCGTTTGCGATAGACAATAGGGGGTGTGGTACTATGTAGTGGGGGGGAATAGTTGATATGCGTTGAAGATGCCGTCGCGCGCAAATTCAACGAATTTCCCACGTGTGACTGACAGCGCATTTGAGACATGCATGTGGTGTTTATCCAATATGAAGTCCTCGAACATCACTAATAGAATGAGGTCAGTATAATGTTCATGATCGACGTGTAAGGCTTACCATCGGGTCCGAAACAACGCAGCACCGCATCCTGGATCACCTTCGTTAACATGGCCTTTTTCGAGGCTTTACCAATTGTCATCGCGTTCTCGCTGAACAGCTCATGCGTGACGAGTTTCATCGCGGCTTTCACCGTCTGCTTTATCACATCCTTGGAGAGTTTGATGAGGGGTTGGGATGTTGACGATGACGAGCTTTCGGATACGGGTTGGTCAGAGACGTCTTGTGGGCGCGTTGTTGGGTAGGGTTCCATACGTGTTGTAGGTGGCATCGGTCGTCGGTTATCTCATTTTTTTGGTAGCGTTGCCAGGCCCATTGTCTAAATGTATATCAGTATTGAATTAATCGAAGAAAAACAAATGACTTATGTGCATCATGTCCATTTCTCGTTGGATGAGTGTTGTCTCTGAGCCTTGGGAGGGCGTCTGAAAGGAGGGGCCTTGGGAGGGGGTCTGAAAGGAGGGGCCTTGGGAGGGCGTCTCAAAGGAGGGGCCTTGGGAGGGCATCTCAAAAGACAAAGTGCCATAGGAATAGCCTTGATGAGAGAGGTCGCTGTCGAAGGAGTGGAAAGGCGCATCCCGGAATGAGATGCCTTGGGATGAAGTGCCTTGGGAGGGCATGCTACCATAGGACCAGTGATCATGCACAGCTATAGAACTTTGAGCAATCAATGATCGAAAGTATGATGCACTTACATGTGCTCCCAGCGCTTGGCATTTGGGGGTGAGGCACTTCATCGCTACTACCCTGCCAGCCTCCACTGGCTGCATGCGCATCAGAGGTGAAAAAAGACATCTAGGAATGTGAAGTCGATCAGTAGAGGCCAGAAACTCGCGGCGGTTTTGGGACTTTCATTTGTCGCTAGGATCCAAGTTAGCTAGGCATTCAAGATCGAGGGTAAAGTTCTGAGAGCATATGCATGCATTTAACTTGTGGATTGATCTAATAGTACATAGGGAGAAAAGAAACACAAACGTTACACAATCTTTACAAACTTGGAACATGTGGCGGGCTGATAAGGTGATTTGACAAACGAAGTAAGCACAATTACTAGTGAAGACTGAAAAGAGGGGAGGGGCGTGGCCTGATAAGACAAAATATGAACGAGAGAAAAGATCTATGAACGGCCGGAGCGGGCGAAGCGCTTTATTTGAATGGCCGAAGCATGTTTATGAATGGTCGAAGCTTGTGTATGAACGGTCGAAGCATAGGTGAAAAACGGGGGAAGCAAGGCAGTGCCACTTGATAGCAATCTATGAAGTCATTGATATTGATCAGCGTGGGCAGCGTGAATAACTTGGCAGTCACATACCGAGATAATCACAGCTGCATGCTGCACTGGCCCGGCCACTCGCCGTGATAGTCACCATCTTCACCGAAATCGTTCTCGGAGTCAGTATCTGTATCGGTACCCGGCATCCGCGAAATCACCATGAAGCACATGGGTGATGCTGTCCTTGTTGGGCAATGTACCAACGAAACGAGGGAGATAGGGAGCTTCACCCGTAGACGCCAATAATTCACGCTTGGCACGTGGGCCCAGGCATCTTGAGACTATCTCCGCTTGGGTGGTGATGGCACGAAGCATCTCGCATTCATCGTTATAGACGGCCTGAAGGTAATCAGTGTCGTCATCAATTTCTGTGCGGTCATGCCCAGAAAACAGGTTTCTAATCTTCTTCAGCTGTTCGTCCTTCATATTGAGCCGGTCTTTATTCTCCTGGTGGAGCGCCTTATTGAACGCTGTCATACACTCTGAGTATTCGACCTGCCATAGTGATGTTGCCACTTCGTGGCGAACAGTCTCACGGCCAGCGAGTAATGCTCTGAACGCTTTGTACAGAGTGTCAAAGCTCATCCGGGAAAGACCACTGGAAATCACGTCTTCATGCTTTTGAATATAGACTATGTAAGAACATCTAGAACAAAGAAATAAAAATACAAATACCTCTTGAAGTTGTTCAGGTGTAAAATCTGGTTCGCGCACTCGCCCTGTCACGCGCTTTGCAAGGCGAAGCTCCAGTGGAGATGGCCTATGAGGGTATGGAATGTGCCTCTTGGACGACCTCTCACGCATGTGCGCTGTCCGAGAAGGTGACTTTGGTGACTGTATGAGGCCAGGCTTATACAATAAGCTCTCCTTTACATCAGGGAGATGTGGGATCTCTTCCACTGGGGAGAGGCGGACATCTGGAGAACCTGAAAGGGAAGGAGACAGCTTGGGAGAAAGTGAACAGTCAGAGCCAGATAAGAGTGCAGTGGTCATATTATGGGGCAACTCAGAGTAGTCGACCTTCTTAAAAATCTCCAAGGGTGTCAATTCAACATGAGTCGCACTACTTGACATAGTACTGGTGAAAGCAGGACTGCTTGGTTGAGGGGGAGATGAAGCTGGTGATGAACCCGCAAGTTCCATCTGCCTGGCCCGATGACTGTGTGCTGTGAAACGTGAGGTCTTCGGACTTTGAAAGACTTACCAGTTTCTTTGGTTTCCTGTGCAAGTGCTCAGTACTGACACGATGCACACCGGCTTGAGTCAAAGCCAAGTCTACACTGCAATGTAAGTACTTCCGTTGTTCACCCTTTCCATGATGAAGGTGAATAGGAATTAGGGAAGTTCTTTGTGGAAAATCAAACCCAAATCACTGGCAAGTTGAGATGGGTCAGTGACAAGTAATGATCTAAGCTATAGGTATCTACGAACTAGATTTTAGTGTAACTAAACAGAAACTCTTGCAAGAGTCTCAAGCTACATTCCCACAAAGTTGGATCTTTAAGATGATGTAGGTCCTGCTTGCCATTAAGTTAACCGAAAGTGCTGATGATCTTCCAAACCAGGCGATAGGACTTAGGTGTTGCGCTCAGCGCTCAAGCATCTTAGATCTCAGCATCGATTAATGTCTAACCTAGCCGATATCGACAGTATATTAAGAGGACTGTAGAACAGGTAAATATTGTAGCTATGTCATTTCTTACTGACTTTCAGCGCTCTGCGGTTCAGAGCGCACAGATCCTCCTTGAAAATGCTGGTCTGTCTCCACGAGACTTGGATTCATTCTCGTCGTCATCATTGCCATCACCGTCATCATCATCGCCATCGCCACTACTATCACCTTCATCTCCTCCTAGTACTCTGCCTAAATTCTGCCCTGCTTCTCTATCTACTCATTATACCTGTCTAGCTGTTGCTGGCACCCATTATACCCCACCTCCTGTGCGACCTTTTACAGCGGAAGATCATATGCAAGGATGGCATTGTGTCACACACAAGACTTCTGCACATGCCATCGTCGAGCATCCAATTGGTGCCATAGTCGAGTACCCGCAGACTGGACGCCATGCCGACGAATCAATCGCCCATATCTTTCATATAGATCCTTCCATGTTTACTTCTACCTTGCATCCTAAGTCAAGCTTCCAGTATTCCTTGGGTGACGGGCACGGTGGTCAAATCATTGGGAAATGTCTAATGCTCCGTGATGCTGGAGGGCAACCAGTTTCATGCGCAAAGCTCAGAACATCATGTAAGTAATCTACACATTGTCTTTGGGTGATTCTCGAATGTCCTGCAGGCAAGGGCCTCAAAATTTGTTCAGGACATCAGCACGATATCTCTGCGCACCATTTCACCAACGTTTCTGAAGTTTTAGCTCACCATCCGTCTGCATTACAACCACGAGGGCCTGCTGGCACCGCTGACCAAGAACTTTTTGAGAAAACTCTTGCGTTTTTTGTCGCTCTATGTCTTCATGGCTGCTCGCCTCATTCTCCTACTGATGGACACAACAACAATTCCATCGCTTATACAGACATAGTAGAAGATAGTAGCACAGATATTGATGATGATTTTGAGGGTCTGACGGCTGACCAGTATCTTGACAGTGTCTCTACCAGTTCTGATACCGATCTCCATATTGGCTGCGTACCATCAAGTCGTCGATCAGTCAAAAAAAAATGTAATGGAAGACTTGTCATGCACTTTGATGCATATAATCAACCATTCATTCGGTAAGTTTTTATTTATCTACTGCTGTTCGCATATATCTCACATTCTGCATCACAGATGCAGCCTGCATTCTCGCATTGCACGCTCACACTTATTCATATGAAATTTGCAGGAGAGCGATACCCGCTACTTGCAGGCATTACTGGACGACGACCGCCACATGATTACGGAGTGCGAGCAACTTGCAAAGTCGCGGGGATATGGACCCCTGATGCCGTGTAGTTTTGTTACTGGCCCATCATCACAAAAACAAGTGTGCCGTATGTTTTTTTTCTGTTTTGTAGCTTGTTGCTTTTAATCACGTCCTTTGCTTCAGCACATTGGCATCGCCAAGCTGACGGTACATTGAAGCAAGGTGTGCTACGAAAATGGGCGCACAACTGTGTAGCATCATTTGACATATATGTTCCCGAAGATCTTTTCGCCTGCCCTCAAATACTTGTCCTTTGCACCAACCCTCATTCACATCCCCCTCCTCTACCTGTCAAAACGCCGCCTCCCCTCATTGATGTATTTCATGGATTAGTCTCCCTCATGAAGTGGAAACTCGCAGATGCAACACCACGACGAATATACCTGGACACGGCCTTTGTTGAGGGTCTTCATCAAGTGCTCGACTGGCAATTTCCTGATGGCCGTGATGCAATGCTTCAAGGCCTCCATCCATCACTCGCTAATCTTGACCACGTGCGTCGCCTTATTAACTTAACAAGGTCTACAAAGTACCCGAGTGGAACAGGATTTGAAGGTATGTTTGAACCACCTAGTACGATCCTTGATTATCATTTTTTTCTGTTTAGGTGCATGTCGTCTTGCGAATGAACACTGCATCCTTGCCTCTGGAGCAGCGCTATGTTTGCTGCGCAGAAACACATGTCATTGACCATGATGTGGAGTTCAAACTCGTCGTGTGTATGACATCACGAATGTCATCGCATCTAGTGCAAGCCAAATGCTTGTCCATTGACACCTCGTTCAAATGAGCACAAGGATGGCAAGAGTTCGAGATTGAATCATGGGATAGCGAGCATTGTCACTGTGAGTAAAATAAATCACTACTCGTACCGTTAGGTATTAATGGTTCTTCAGCTGTTGTCAGCACTCGATGCCTTCACCACGTCACAGAGCACAAAGGCTCACTTGGTTCTCTTTCAGTGAATTTTTGACATTGCATCTGCAGACACTGGCCACTCGTTTTCATTCCAACATATTCATGGCTTCGGGTGCGAAATTGTCATTGCTGACAGCCACAAAGGCCAAGGACTTGGTACGTTTGATTATCGTCATCCGTGTATTCGCTGATGCATGAGGCATAGGCTTAGGAATGTACTGTGTACAGCTTTCACATTCTATCTCAACACCATGTGTACATGAACCTCACCGACGTGTGTGTGACTTGAGTCCATATGATCATCTTCGCTGTTTTTACCGGCTATGTGTAGCTCACTTCAAGAGGAATGTCCATGCTCTTCACACACATGTTTCGGATGAAGTTTACTCAGGCGATGCTTAGTTTAGCGACGTGTGAGGAACACCCGGACATCCAAAGAACATTTAATACTATTCGTTGTGGTGGGCCAAAGGCTGCAGGTAACTATTCACAACCACAGGAACCGTTAATACTGACATTTTTACTAGCATGGTTGAAAGACAAACTCGAAGGAACGAAATTCGCACTTCCAGCACTGTACCAACCTATGAGCTTGATCCCTCTCGCATTATGGAAAGCATCGCCTTCAACGACCAATGGGAATGAGCAAGCTCACCGTAATGCATACCGCGAAGGTGTACACTTGACTCTGTTAGCTGGGATCATGAAGGGCATGAAGTTCGATCAAGGAGCAATGAGTAGCATGGATGTCCATGCGACATTTGGAGTCTCAACACGAGACCAAGAGGCAACTCAAGTTTATCATGCAACGAGGTGTATTGTTTGGCAAAGTACAAGCTTTGTCCTGAATATTGAATATAACTGAACATTATTTTAGCTTTGGCACAAAAAAAACACTGCAAGTCCTCACAAGCTACAGCCACGCCACGACCTCTGCAACTTCCTACTGTTCGCAACGTCACGATGCCAATACAACCAGCCACCAAACACACTGCCACCACACACGCCATCACAATACCACTATATGGGATGGTTGACAAGGATTCCACCCTGGTCACTTTCAATGAGCCACCGTCAGTCTCGCTTCGCCAACCGCTGATGCCATCACAAATCAGCACATTCAACAGCCTGTCGTTTGCATTACAGCCAGGTGCACGAATAATAGACTACTCACTGACCAGCATTCTGTCTCCGTCGTTGATTATCGTAGACGACTCGAAATGGTGCATCTCAACATATAGTTCCCTGGCGGGAGCACTTGATGAGCACCTGAAGACACTGGGTGGCACAGTTGACGAGGCACAACTGCAACTGAAACAGACTTACTAAGATTTACTTTACTCGGCTTAGGAATACTTTGGGAGGAGTTGCTGGGGTCCATGAATGACTAAGTAATGTCACCTTGCACGTACCTTGTTTTCGGAAGCTTTTGGGAGCCAATCTACTTCGGAACAGTAACAGGGCACCTACGACTCCCTGGACACGAAGCTGTTCGCCTCCGCATTTCCGTCACCATTACGGCAAGAATACACCCTATTGTCATACCTGTCGTCCTCGTCAGTATAACCTCCCACGGCTCAGTGTCGCATACATGCGTCCGACTCGTCTCCAAAACTTCCAGAATTTATCCCATCGTATCCATTCGAGCAGTTGCTGGTTACCGGCGCTTCAATCTGACTAAGATCTATCCTGCATGAGCGCATGCATATCGTTGTTTTTCGTGTCAAGCAGCTACTCCAGCACTCACCATGTCACTACTTCGAACGTGTGCATATAGCTTACTGTAATATCAATTCTTCATCGATGCATCCCGTAGACTCTCAAGATCCCTGTGTGCACTAGATGCAACCGAATTTCATGGTACAAACTCGGAATCTCCTCACCATCACCACACCGCCAATGGCCGCACCTCACTGCGATGCCCCTCCATCATCTTCAACACAACACCTATCTTCAAGTCCCACAACCGAGGCATCTTGTCATACGAGCGTATCACCATACGTCATCTATTAGGAAAAACTGCCACTGCAGTTACACCGCTCTCATAATCTTCAAAAATTCGAAGGAGTGTGGTGCTTGGAATGAGCTCAGACATCTTACTGGAGGTCGATGGTGTGGAGCATGGTCGAGGTGGACTTCGGAGGGATTGTGGGTGTCTTTTTCTAGGCTACAGTGCAGGGGCGTGTAGGTGTGTGTATTGTGCGTTTCTGTGCCGCTTCATTCCATTGACCTGCCTTGTATTTCCATAGACGTCTATGACATGAACCCCGTTCACCTCCATCAAGGTTGCAACAAGAATACTCACCGCTATCATATGTACCCTGGATAACATAACGCCCCCTCTGCACATCCAACACGTATCTCAGCCTCCATTGCATCCAATTTGTAAAGTCCAGCGATCTGGCTGATAGTGCCCGAGGCCTGTCAAATATTACTAGTGTCGCAAACGCCATCTATCCTGGACAGTGGCATGAATAATGTCTTGTTTATCACTAATCACTCTCCCATATCCATCGCATTAAAAACCTGTACCCTGCAAGTGTTGGTGCAACAATGCCGTCAGCTCTACTAACTCTGCGAGCTCTCACCGCACTTGAACTGCATTTAATTATCGACTTGTCACTGTGGATATCCAGGAATGTAATCGATCATGCAATGGTCTAAATTCTTCAAGAAACCAGGTGGGTATAACAATATTCGAGCGATTTTTCACGGCACATTCTAATGCTCTGACCACAATTACCAAGCAAATGCCAAATGCCAGGACTAGATCAGTATTTTTCGAGGAGAGCGAGCACTATTTTTAGGTTTATCTCTGAGCCTCGCTTAACTAGACTGTCCAACAGTAACAAAACTTAAACGTCGACAGGGGTTCCCTTCATGTTTGCAACAAGTAGCTTGTAGGGTATGTTTTTGACTCCTCTAGGTGGTATAGCAGACATGATCATCTCATCATCCGCTCGTTGCTTGATATTTGGTTCAGGTACTTTAGGGCTCAGGCGTTTTGCATGTTAATACTAGGTCAGGCTACGACAGGGCTAACCCACTTTTTTTAAGATCTTTACGACTCGATACTTTGGATCAAGCTTGTCCGAGTGAGGCTATGCGTGCAGCGTCAGAACCAAGACGGAGCTCGAGGATGCTGGAAAAGCAAGGTCTCCAAAGAAGCCCGTATGTAGCATCGAAATCCAATTCTCAAGTCTGTTCAAATACATTCATCCTTCACAATCTTCTGCACTCGCATCTGCCCCTTTGGTATTAATGTGTCTCCTCAAACTAGCAATCCCAGCTGTGATGGCCACTAGTACCGTGCGTACAATTTTGCATCATGAACCGGACATTTCTGGCGGACGAGTCGTTGCAGCAAATAATTTTCTAGTCCGGAGCCCTCCGAGTCAGTTCAACTTGCTTTGGTATACTTTACGACTCAGTAGTAAGTACTCAGTTGTAGTCCTTTGCGCACCTGTTCAAGAGAACAAATACAAGTCAGTTCCTCTGACTGTTCCGGACAAGACAACAATATATTCTGACATCGTATCCCTCATTCAGTGGACGATTCGCGGACGCTTGCAAGTAGTTGGACACATAGACCGAACGTTAAACGTTCATCCCCAGGGAAAACTGGACATGGCCAAAACGGCCAGGATAGTGTGAAATATTGTTTAGACATATAATTTATGCTATAATATTGTATAATCTTCAACGACACGATCGTCTGCGCATCGCATGGCAAAAACATTACATTGTTGTCGATTTGCGTTATTACGTCGTCGAGCGTGTTTTCGTCAACACACACAATTTGTTCACTTACATCACTCCGTCCATGTCTCGATCACTACTTTGCATTCACACGTCACACAGCTTACTTACTCTGCAAAGCTCCACTTGAATTCCGATCACAAAGTTTGGGTGAGTTTTGAAACTACCAACACCCCAAAGTTTAAAAATGTTTGGGGAATTTCGGCAAAGTCCATTTCCCCTTTTCTTCTTACCACCATCTTCCCAACAGCTAGGAGTCCTGCCACTGCCTTCCTCCACTGATTCCACAAATATGCGGGTCTCGTGGATTCAGGTATACGTGTTGTTACTACTACTGCTTTTCTTAAATGGCACTAACTTATTGTCTCTGCAGGCTTATGATCCACTTAGCGCTAGCTGGTAAGTTTCGGCTCTCGAACTCTTATTTTATGATCATTCATGTTTACTAGGAGCGGGAAGGGTGCTTATTGTCGACAGTAGCTCCGCCTCATGATTTTTCTCCGTCCTGTTGTCTTCAGTGTACTACTCACCTCCCTCACTCTTGCTCTATGCCTTTTTTGCTGCTGGATGCTCTCCCATCACGTTATCTTGCCGCTCCTCGCCTGTCTGCATCATTCCTATTCTTTTTGCCATTGCCTGCTGGTTGCTTCCCAATTACCTGTGCTTGCTTGTCTCACTCCTCGCCTGTCCACCTTGCTCCTGTTCTTTTGCCGTTACCTGCTGGTTGCTGCCTGTGCTCGCTTGTCTCATTCCTCGCCCGTCCACATCGCTCCTGTTCTTTTGCTGCTGTCGAGTTTGCCTGCTTCTCACTGTCGTGCTGGTTCTATCATTATCATCCTGTATCGTATTTGCCGGTCGCAGGTCGAAGCGTTTGTATCAGTAGATTATAGCATAATTCACCCGAATGCAACCGATTTGTCGTACCACACGAACTGAACTGAAATATGATAACAATATTCTTAGCATATCCTACGACATTCGAGAAGATTGCAACAGATGCGAAATATTCTATTTGTCTCCACAGCGAGTCTCCTATACTGAAATATTGTGCTTCTGAATTCGTCATATTCCGCTCGATCTCAACCGTTTTGGCCATGTCCAGTTTTCCCTGGGGTTCATCCCCGGTTCTGATATGTATATATTACTTACTTACTAACACTTCTTCTCACTGGCACTGTCTTTTGACGAAGTATGGTCTGGGAATTGGAATTTATTCGAGTACATGCTGTATCATTAGAATCACTTTAGCCAATGGTCATGCGCTTTCCATAAGAACTGGAAGAGAATATAATTATCTCTGATTATTTATGGCAACACGCACGAAATTAGAACAAAAACTTATTTCGGGATCCGATCCATCATGCTCATGCACACCGTACGGTAGCACATACCCACTACGTTACGATGTTCAGCGCGAGTGTCGAAAGCTGTCGAAAGCTGAGCGCTAAACGTTGAACGGCCATACGATGCAACAGCCACGCTGCCAGCCTCATTAACTCCATGGTCGACTGGTATCAGAAACCGGGTTGCTCAATGCCACAGTGTTGCAGCTCCCCAGTAAACACGAGCTGTGCGAAACGATCAGGATGGCTGTATGATGCGCAGCGTGTCCGGCATTCTGATTAAAGCCTTGTATGACCTTCCCTACACCTTTCCCTGCTGTATATTCACATTCTCAGACGCACTATCTGGATACTGCTGACACGACTTGCGCTTCTCATCTTCAAGGACTCCTCCCTCCATCATCCCTATGCCATCCTATGGTCTGACGAAGCGTTATACACGCTGTTTGCTCCTCGCCGTCGTATCGTGTTTCGTGTTCCCTGTATTACTTCACTACCGTGAAGCTGTGAGAATCTATTTCACTGATCAACTACCGCCATTGTACGAGGACTGTCGAAAGCGGGAGCAAAATTTGGAGCATTATAAGGAGTACGAAATGAGCAAGGACGTTAAATATCTTTGGTCAGCCAAACATGCAGATAGTGGGTGATCCTCTTTTTAATTTGATTCATCATGTGTTGACCGTGCCCAGAATCAGGATGGGGAAATGTGATGCAAGACTATGTGATGAATGCACTGCTTGCACATGACACAGGACGCTCGTTAGTTCCTATTCCTTTACGCGCTCCTTCGCTTGGTTCCCACATTCCTGATTTTGTTTTTCGATGACATGTAGTTTTGTCTTTGATGACTACGTTTGGAATCCAGATGGTTCACTCTTTTCGCATTATAATGGACATTTGATTCCCTCTCGGATTCCCCTGACAGCATTATTGGGCGGCAAGTACAACATAGTCAATTTCCGCGTATATGCCCCATTGACTGACTGTTCTAGGTGTCGTGGTGGGTGGTGAAATGCCACCTGGCGACACCACTCCTCGTGCGGTGTCTAAGGATTTCTTCAACAAAGTCTGCCCCCATCCGACAGTCGTTCAGGTGACGGAGGTGAACGATGGTGGTATACCATTCGATGAAAGCGTACCAGTTTCGTATATATTCGAAAAGTGGCTCCAAAAAATCAACTCGATTGAGGATCCGTGTGTGGAAATCGACTCCGACCCGGGCCCGGAGAGTCATCCAGTTTTTGAGTACTTGTGAGTCATACACATCGTCTTTGGATGACTAGTGGGAGACGCCAGACTTCGCGTAGGATATTTGGACAGGAGAGAATGTTGTCCATATGGAAGTACCTCAAGGATTCCCCGGTATTGACGCACTGGAGGTGGTCGCCTTTAATACACGATGCATACAGACAAAATCGCCACATCTTCGAAGGGCTCTCTGGTTCGGCTGTTACGGAAAAATACACAGACCCGATACCTGGCCTCCTAGCACTACACGTGCGAAGGGGTGACTTCCAGGATCACTGCGTCCACCTGGGCAAATGGTCATCAAACTGGAATGCGTTCAATATGTTCCCCGAGTTCTCCGACAGGTTCCAAAGGCCCACTGATGGCGGATGGGGCGAGACATCCGAGAAGAACATGCAGATGTATATGCAGCGGTGCTTTCCCACAATCGACCAAATCGTCGAGAAAGTTGTACAAGTGCGCGTCAAGTCAGAACAGCCGCTGACGCATATCTATATCATGACCAATGGCGCTGTCGCTTGGGTTGAGGAGCTGAAAGAGGCTCTTTGGAACTCTGGGGACTGGGACCAGATTCAGAGCAGCCGCGATCTCGACATCACATGGGAACAGAAATTTGTGGTGCAAGCGTTGGATATGTTGGTGGCTCAAAGATCTGAAGTGTTAATCGGGAATGGGGTAAGAGCCGCTGCAGCTTAATTGCTGGTGCAAGACTGACGAGCGTCTCATTGCAGTGGTCGAGCCTAACCTCAAACGTTGTGATGCTGCGTATGGCGCAGGGTTTTACCCCAGACAGTAACAGATTCTGGTAATTGTTTTTATTATTCAGTGCTTACGGTTGTTGTGCGGGCCGTCGGCCCGTATAGTCGCTATAGTAATACACCATTATCTTTGGTTGCAGATATCAACATCATTAATGCTGGACAGGCGATACAAGACTTGCCTGCATCGACATCGACTAGTCCAAGGCCATGGTATGTCTGCAACTTTCAGACAGGGAATAACAATAATAGCTTTTCGACGTCTTCGTAACCCCGCCAGTCCATGGCATACAGAAACATCATGGTAGACGGGTCGACTATCACCGCGACGGTGGACTCTTAACAAAACTACCAATACGACCATTTCACGACCCTTGGCATCAACATTTGCGATGTCGAGCACTAGTACTTGTTGCACTGATCTATTTAATACTTGGTGTCGAAATTCACATGATCATAGTGCAAGTCGTTCTCATCAAGGAAGTCACAGGCAGCCTATCAACGTTCAAATCATGATAGCTTCCTGGCACCACGAATGTGAGGCATAAATCAGCAAGTGTGTCAAGCGATTGGAGGGCTGCGAGGGGGTCTGAGAGGCTCGTATTGATAGTGTAAGACCGAGAAGTACACTGGTCTCATGAATGACTGGTCCCCACCGTGAAAATTACGGGATGTGTCAATGCATAGATGAGGCTACAAAGTGCTATCGGTACAAACAAAAACCACTCTGAGTCTTGAGATTTCTGGACTTCGAAAAAACACATACAACTACAATATTTCTAGGGTCCTAACATCCATCTTATCATGAACAGACGCCACGTCTTTGGACTTGTGCAATGATATCATAATCCGAAGCGATCCTCTTGTATTCTCCACCGCGTTGCTGCGCTAGTAAAAATGCGCCGAACGGTTGTCCAAGGCGAACAATCAATCGCAATGCTCGTGAGTGAGACTCCGAATCAGCCAACTCCTGTTCTACTAGAGAATCGCCAGCCGAGTCGTCTAACGGAGACTCGGGCTCGGACCACTCTCCTATGCTCTCCGCGTCGTCTGCAAAATCAGACAGCTCGAGGAAATATCGATCCCATGGACGGACAAGTAAGAAGGTCTGTCGAGTGGGCCTTGCCCGCGAAAATTGAACCAGCGTCTTATCGGTGGTGATGAGTAGGTCATGAAGCCCGTCTGCCTTGACTTCGTAGGTGAAACGAGTCTCTGGGGCTGGCCCATGCCTCCGTCTGACTTCCGCGACACGGAATGCGATGCAAGGCAGATGCAACCTGTAGTTCGCGAATCGAGGAGCGCTCATGTTGTCAAGCAGGGTGTAAAGTTTTGAAGCCAACCCCACAGCCACGGCATTTCGCAGCGAAGACACCGTTGTCTGGATCTCATTTTCAGACAAGGATGGCGGAGCGCATGGCGGAGCTGCATATGAGGAAATATCGGCTGGAATACAACTATTGAACTCGGATGGTGGTCCAACCCAGTCCAAGGCAGTAATATCGCCTGACCGAGCCACGATCTCCTGCAGGAGCCGCCCGAGCGCGTTTTTTTTTATTCTCGCCATAAAGGACAGGTAGTTGGACGCCAAAGGTACCAAATAATGAGTATGCGATGTCGTCCTGTACAGTGGTGATACGGGTAGACGCCCATCGAAGTTTCTCTCGGGCGCCTCTCATCCCTGGATGGAAGGCGACGAGAGCCAGCGCATCTATGCCTGTCGCATCCTCCAACTCATGCATGATCTTGACAGACTCTTTGTGATTGGAGGAGTGGTCGTCAAGATATAAAGTCCAATCCTGTTGATAGAAGAAAATGACTTTAGGAGCCAGGAATTCTGGGATGGTCCATCCTCGGGTGTTCCAAGCGCTCTTTGCCAGTGCGCCAGACTTGGACGAAGGCAGAACATCCGATAGGTAAACGATCGTAAGCGCTGATCGGTGATACCAGGCAAACATAGAGTTGAGTGATTTTTGGACCTCGACGTTGTTATTCTGGTCGATGCAACACGTATCAACCCACGCCCAGTGATAGCCCATATCACGAACAACTTTGCAGAATGACTGCAACTTCATGGGACCACCAGCTGCTTTCAACTTGTACACGACCTTGTCCTGGATGTCGTGCAGCAAGGGCTCCGTCCCTTCCCACCTATGCGATAGCATGACACAACGGAAGTACGTCGCCACCACATCTACGATACGCTCCATTTTGGGGTCTGAGCGGTTCATAGTCGATGACAGAAGCTCTTTGTACTCTGCGCTCGTTTTGAAGGTGCTTATCTGCGCTTCTCGGTGACATAAGAGTCCCGTGGCGGTGTCAAGTAAACGAAGCGGGGGCGCTGTCGAGTTCAACGTCAACGACCTTTTGAATGATACGTTCTGATTCGGAGGGACTGATATACTGCTAGCGCAACTCTGAGGAAAGAGTTAAGCACGTTGATATATGGAGTTGCTCAAGGCTTACTTCGTATTTGCATGTTGGGGGCATCGTTCAATTTGGATGGCATCATTTGGAAGGCCTCGACTGCTTCATCATAGCATTGTGCGCCATGAAGCGCTTCGTGCTTCACTTGGTATCCAATATGGGACGAAGGGTTGAGTTCAATTACCTATGCATGCACAAGTGAGCACTGGCTACGAAACGGCCTCAGTAAATGGCATTGTACCTTGAGCGCATCGAAAAGTGCACTCTCCCATAACATTTTTTTCCAGCTTAGCCTTGCTGCGGTGTGCAAAAATGGTGTCGCTTGCAGGATCGAGGTCGATCGCCACAGAAAATAAGTCGATAGCCCTGTCGTAATCGCTTGCAGAGAAGGCATCATCTCCGTCGGCAAGATAGAGCAAGCTGCATTGTTTCTTGAAAGCTGAGTAAAATACGGGTGAGGATTACGGCCTGCATGAAATTACGGACTCCGGACTTGCCGTTAGACCAGTCGAGGCAGCTGGCCTTCGTATCTGAGTCACTCATACCCGTCAAGTCTAGGTACATTGTGAGGGCCTCTTCAGGTCTACCTGCCTGAAGGAGTGCATCACACCGTTTCTGGTGTGCAGTGAGCCACAAAATTTTGAGATCCCAGCCAAAGAGCTGGAAAAGACACTCAGTTACTAATGAAAAGAATTATGTACGCATCATCTTAACGCACCACTACGAAGTCCTCGTATATTTCATGAATGTCCGATTTCGAAGAGAAGCGCTGGAGTTGACAGCGACAGTGAAGTGATCGGCGGCTTCGGCGTGACGTGCGTCATCCAAGGCTTTGATTTCTAGTTGAACACGTAGATATGCCTAATGTGCGAGGGTCGCAGAGATTAGCGTTGATGACCAGCGTGGCTGCATGACACCCACTTCCACAATATGACATGCGCGTGTATCTGCATTCGGACAGCCGGTAGTGAGCTCTTTGAGGAGCAGGATTACCTCGTCATGTTGATCTGCATTGAAGAGGGTGATGGCCTGAAATACGTGATGAAGCAGAGAGTATGCGAGGCAAATGTAACATACCTTGATCAAGAGCAGAAAATGGATGGTCTCTCTGAATCTTGGTCCGTGTACATGGATGCAACGTCAAATGCTGCCCTCGCTTCCAGGACATGGCCTTTTCCGCAGAGGGCAATTCCCTTGGAGATATAGCCTGTCAATGAGGGTGAATGCTGATGGACTATGTCACTGTCGAGTTAGCCTTTCATAAGGGGGCTCTGATCAATCAATATGACTTACCTTGATTGCATCTTCAAGCGCGTGGTCCCAGTCGCATTTTCGCGCCATCACGAATGAGCGATGGGCGTAGGAAATATGGTTGTTGGGATCGGTGTTGATATCTTGCGTAAGTAGTTCTTCAGCGGTAAATAGGTCTCCATCTATGCATGCAATACGGGCTGTCGTGATGGTGAGGATCTGCATAAAGCACGCTCAAATTACGTTATGCGAGTCGAGTATGGAAACGCGCCTTTGGATGGATACCCCGAGGCACTGCCCCACTCTGAGATCATCATATCTTTACCTCCGCTGAGGATGTGCTTTCCGTCCACGGAGAAAGTGACGCATGTGGAAAGGATGAGTGCTTGAAGATGGCAATGGTTTGTCGGTCTGAGAGCCGCCGGAGATGGACGTGGTTGGAACGAGATACGGATGCGATGAGTGTGCCAGCAGGATTAACGGCGATGGCATGGATATAGTCTGAGTGATCCATCCAAGGAACACCGACCTGCTGCCAGGTTGTTGTATCCCATTCACGTATGGTAGGATCGAGCTCATCGCCACTTGTGAGAAGGCGTGTGCCATCGGGCGTCCACGCGAGTAAGGTAGTTGTGTGATGTGTGACCCTTGAAGGATGCGACGCGTTCCCTCGTGCCTGAATCATAAATTTCGATATTATCAAATGTTGCGATGGCAAGAAGTTTTCCAGACGGTGAATACCGTACGCAGTAGACATAACTACCAGGTCCACACTGGATTGGATCTCCTTGCATCTGCCAGGTTTTGGTGTTCCATAGTTCCGTCATTCCGTCCCATAAACCAGCGGCCATTACTGTTCCATCGGGAGAAAAATCCACCGAGGTGCAGCCTTCGAAGGATTGGGTGAAAGGTTCGCCAGTTTCTCCGTGCCAGACGATGAGCACTCCGTCCTCACCATCGCCGCAGCTTGCTATCAATTGCCCATCTCGTGATATTACCAGTTCCGACACCATAGTGCGATGCCCCTCCATCTTCTTCAACACAACACCTGTCTTCAAGTCCCACAGACGAAGTGTGTTGTCCCATGAGCCCGTAACCATTCGTCGTCTATCGGGAAAAACTGCGACTGCATCTACACATTCCTCATGGCCTTTAAACTCTCGCAGGGGCGTGGTGATTGGAACGAGCTTCGACATTTTAGTGGAGGTTGATGGTGTTGAGCACGGTCGAAGTGGACTTTGGAGGGACTGCGGGTGTCTTTTTGCAGAGGTGCGTGTTATGTGCGTTTTATGCTGTTTCACTGCGTCAACCTGCCTAGTTTTCATAGACGCCCAGGACACGAGGTTGTTCGCCTCCATCACCATTACGGCAAGAATGCTCCCTATTGTCATACCTGCCTTCCTCAACAATACCCTCCCAGCGCCTCAGTGCATATATGCGTCCGACTATTGTCTCCAGAGCTTCCAGAATTCATCACATCGCATCCAAACGAGCAGTCGGTGCTCCCCAGCGCTCGAATCTGACTATTTATCCTGATAACCGCACGAATATCGTTTTGTTTCGTGTCTAGCAGCTACTCCAGCACATCACATGTCACTCCTTCGAACGCGTGCATATAGCTTACCGTCATATCAGTTCTTCATTTATGCATCCCGTAGACTCCCAAGATCCCTGTGTGCACCAGATGCAACCGAATTTCGTGGCACAGGCTCGGAATCTCCTCACCATGGCCACACCGCCAATGGCCGCACCTCACTGCAGTGCCCCCTCATCTTCTTCAACACAACAACTTGCCTTCAAGTCCCACAACCGAACAGTCTGTCATACGAGCCTGTCGTTATATGTTGTCTATGAGGAAAAACTGCCGCTCCGGTTACACCGCTCTCATAATCTTCAAAAACTCGAAGGAGTGCGGTGCTTGGAATGAGCTTGACATCTTACTGGATGTCAATGGTGTGGAGCACGGTCGAGATGGATTTTGGAGGGACTGCAAGTGTCGTTTTCCTAGGCTACAGAGGTGCGTGTATTATGCGTTTCTATGCTGTTCCACTCCATCGATCTGCCTTGTGTTTCTATAGACGCCTAGGACACGAACCCCCGTTCGTCTCCACACATACATCAAGGTTGCGACAAGAATACTCACCGCTATCATATATACTCCCTGGACAGCATAACACCCCCTGCGCCTCTGCACATCCGACACCAATTTGTGTAAGTCCAGTGATCCAGCTGATAGTGCCTGAGGCCCGTCAAATATTACTAGGGTCGCGAACGTCATCCATCCTGGACAGTAGCATGAATAATACCTTGTTTCTCATGCCGAGCAACTAATCCAGCAGGTTTCCATGTAGCCTGTCCGAACGGTCACCGTTTGCGTGCATCGTCCCTTCTCTATCGAAACTGAGCCTACTGCAATATCACTTTTTCACTCAGTCGATTCCTGAGATCTGTTACGTGTGCATCGGATACAGCTGAATCCGCTACTAGTGCTACGACGGACGAGTTTCCGCCTTGGTTTCCGACTTTCCAGTTTTATCCGAACACTTGTGTTTGAACTTTTATTTATAGGTTTCCCTGTGTTCCTAGCTTTGCAAACTCTGGGCAAACTCGTTTTGGTTTTTATCGTTCACTAATCCATCTCCTGTATCCATCTCATAGGAATCCTGCACCCTGCAAGTATCGATGCAACACTGCCGTCAGTTCTACTAAGTCTGCGGGCTCTCATCGTAGTCAAGCTGCATTTGATTATCGATTTGTCACTGCGGATATTTAGGAACGTCATCTATCGTGCAATGGTCCAAATTCTCCAAGAAACCAAGTGAGTATCGCAACACTCAAGTGATTTTTCACAGCACATTCTGATACTCTGTCCCTAATTACCAACCAAGTGCCGGGTGCCATGGTTAGACAAACATAGAGTTGAGTGAATTTCGGACCTCGACGTTGTTATTGTGCTCCATGCAATACGTATCAACCCATGCCAAGTGATAGCCCACATCTCGAACAACTTTGCAGAATGACTGCAACTTCATGAGACCAGTTGCTTTTAACTCGCACACGACCTTGTCCTGGATGTCGTGCAGCAGCGGCTCCGTCCCTTCCAACCTATGCGATAGCGTGCAGAATCATTGCATTGTGATATACACCTGCCTGTATATATCGATATCGGGGACTTCAACAACCCGAGGCCCGCAAAACGTTGATCAAAAGCAGATCTGGGCTGGGCCTAGAGCATCCAAGAACACTCGATCTTCCTTCCGACATAATCTCAAAAGATGCGGACGGTCTTCCTGCTCTGTCGTCGAGAAAGGACCCCACTAAGCTCGGTGTGGCTGCAAACATGATGGTATCTGTCTATGAAGCTGTTTCCTGGTAAAGGGGACATTGCTGAATGAACTGCGAGAAATCCTGACCAGTGTAAGGTATTACACGTTACGATATAATGATGGGTTAGGCTTTCAAGGAGGCCAGGTAGTAGGCCCCACATCATTGATATGCGGTATGCTGAGCTTCAAAGTACAATCATAGGTCACATCACCGGCACCCCTTAAAAGAACCCCTAAAGTACAATCTCTCAACGAAATCATGACTGAATACATTCTACAACAAGCTTCTGCAGTGGTCAAGAGCTTCTTTCAAATCTTCAAGGACCCGTCGAACGATCCGCCAGATCCGCTCCCTCCGCGGAAGATCCAAACATTTTTTCCCACTCCCTTCGATGACCGAGTCAATGCCATTTACTGGACCTGCGAGGTTCTTAGTGTGTATCTTGTCATTTCGAAAGAGTCCACATTCCTGCATCAACTTCAACACTGCAAATCTTTGCAATCTCCAGCTCACGAATTCCTCATGGCGTACTTCATCACAGAGATAGACGGCACAAGTTTCGAAATGGGGGTAACACTAGATCGCTATCCAGAAAAGCCGACCGGTCTTATACGATCGTTGTTTCCACGGGACCTGGAACTATCTAAGCACTGCCCATCCCACTTTCCATTAGCGTCCCCCCCCTCTTCCGGCAACGCCATGCAAGATACGGGAAAGAGCGGTGAATATTATCACGCAGCCATAAACAGTATCATAGTGCCTGCGTTTGGAACATGGGGTGGACTTGAACGCATAGCTGAAGAAGCGTTTGGACCATACAAAGTTCTCAATACCGTCAAAGATACCCACATGTCAGCAGCACAATTCGCTACGCTCATCGATGTCATCGACGATTTCGCACCCATGTACACACCAATGTACCAGTGTTCGTGGTTCGCCATGTTTTTCTTTTACATGGTCAGGGACGAAACAGGTAGTAAAGAATATCCCTGCAAGGATATAGATGAACGGGGCAAGCAATTAGGCATGACAGAGCCTTCACTTGATCCTTGTGATGATGAGGAGACAGTGAGTTATCATTATCGTCGGGTATGTGTTCAAATCATATATCTTCAAGTTATTTAACTGATAAACTACCCAGAGGATTGCTAAACTCTGAGGCAATCAAGGTTAGGACAGCCTGTGGTTGACATTCAGCTGGTGTGCATGAGTATATGCTCCAGCGACCCCTATCTCAGTTTCCTGCAAGTTGTCTTTTTCATATCAATGCACCCGACACAGTTATTCTACCGTCTTTTTCTGTCAGTCACTTGTATCACTATGTCGGATGCAAGTATGTAAATGAGAAGCTACACATACCTTTCTGGTTGGTTGCATATGTACCGTGAGTCAGCTCATTAAAGAGCCATTCAGTTGTCATTCTCACAGAAATTTTAAAAGGGATCATAGACAGGACAAAGCAGATGGCACTTCTTCGAATGTACATAAACAGCTTCAGGGGTTATATGCTAGGCTAGGGGCTGATAGAATCCTTACGACCAATTGAAGTCAGGTGTTGATATTCTTACGAAATATCGTGGGGATTTCGCGGTGTTCGTATTCAAGAATGAACTGGTGACTGTTCGTAATAAGCAAGGTGAGTACCCTGCAGCCCATTGGCAAGAGAGAAAAGGGAAAAACGTCAACAGGATGTCAACGTTGTCAGTGAACTTCTCTAGAAAGGGGCTCCGTATCACATAAACAAAGCTCTGTCCCGATTAACGAACGGGCTTCGCTAACAACCGAGGTCCTGCAGGGTTCTGCTAGATTGCGCAGGTTCCATACATACCGTGGCCAATCAATGGAAGCTGTCATGCCAGTGCAACATTCAACGGTGACATAAGAGGTAACCGTAGCGAACAGGTCGTAGTCCAGGCAACAGGGAGCAGCAGAAAAATACCACCAACTTGGACGCGACTCACAAGTAGGAGTAGGGGAAGAGGGTTATTCGATTCAAACTTTCAAAGCCTCCACGGAATTGCAGTTGACTGCCAGGGGTCAATTCTAGACGAATAAGTTGAAATCATGACCAATTTGTTAATTGGATGGATATATGCTTTTAGATATGATTGCAGGGTTCTGATGATCGATGGTTTGCAAACCCCGAATAGTGCCGACCTGCTGAGTTGTGATTCAGCACAAGTTTAGCACCATTAAGAAATGCCCTTGTTGTCAGTAGGATACGACTTTCCATCATGACAGCCTGAGCAGACGGACATATTACTAATGGATTTCAAGTGGCGCGGTGATTGAGAGCAGATCTACTAGTAATCCAATAGTAATCCATGAGGCCCGTCTGACGAGCGCAAAGTCTTCGAGTGGCCGTGACAATGACCTGCGATGGGTAACAGTCCTAGTTTCTTGATACGCGCGACGAGATATCTGTGGTTGAGAATTCCAAAGCGGCGAAAAAATGAGATAGTACCTCATCAATGCAGGGCGCAGATCTACCGTGATTGAATCACCACACCCTATCAGGAATGTCCATACGGAAATTAATATGATATATGTCTAGATTCTGGTCTATCGACATGATATGAAGATGGCTGGAATTTCATCAAACGAGGCCTGACGTTGCGTAATAGCTTATTTGTTCTTCTATTTGGCCTTGTATGACGTTGGCAAACATTTGCGTCGTGTCTGTCAAGTTGTTCCCTGTATGTACTCAGCACTGCAGAACCTTGCAGAACGCGGTGACTAGTAGGCATTACTTCCTCTTACAGAGACACGTGTGCTGTCATATCACAGCCTGAGTCCTGAGCAGGATCTCTCCTCCGTCAAACTTACACTTCCCAAATCGGTTACCTCAGAAACTTATCACCGAGCGCCTCCCGCGCTCTGAGGTGGCGATTACACTCCAAACATGAACTGTTTATAAGCCATAGTGCACGACTTTGTTTGAGAACACATATAATCGAGGTAAGTAGCATGTAGGATGCATCCCAAGAGTTTGTCTTGGAGCAGCTCTTCATGATAGCCACCTTCGTTCGCAGGCTCATATAATCTCGAGCTGGCTGCCCCGCATCATCTCGGGCACATCTATTTGCCACTTTGCCGAATTGAGCGCTTTCTTGGCTACTGATCCGAAAAAGTCAAAATGTTGCTCCTTCGGACGAACGTACCGGTGTCCGAGTCCCTGACCGCCGTCAGAGCGCTGTCTTCACTGTCCGCACTCAGGATACTTAGGAATGCCTCGAACGAGCTCAAATGCCAACGTAAATTTGGGCTTGGGTCTGTCCGATAACCCGATTTAATTCACATTGATGTTCACACACAGGGTCGTACTTTCTCGGGCTCAGGATAGCTCGAGATTATCAAGCTGAGCTTACTATGCATCTAGACAGGGTTTCGGCCAATTGCCTATCTCTGTGCCAGTGTGGGCTCGTGACTTTTCCTAGTCATGAGATAACTCAGATAAGTCGTGCCATTAGACTTATAAAATAGCTGGAAAATACAATTGGATACCTACTCGTACCTCATCATTGCCCTGCGACAGTTCACCACAAGCTCATGGCGACCGTACAAGATTCAGAGAAACATGACATAATCAGATCTCCTTCGTCAATGACCCGTATGTCCGAGGACAACGATAAATTTCTTGCAAGTACCTTTTCGATTTCGTTCCTTCAGCTCAATCAATATTATTAATGAGTAATAGGTGACCTTCGAGGATAATGACACGCGGGATCCCATGAATTTCTCATACAAAACAAAGTGGACGATCACACTGGTGGCGTGTGCTTTCACTGGCATAGTCGGTAATCTAATCTACGCCACGGAGCGACTAGAGAATTGATAGAATCTTATAACTCTAGCTGCAGCGGCGGCCTCTTTTTCGATGGGATACCAGTCGATGATGCAGGACCTGAACTGCACTCAGTTCCAGGCCACTGTCGGATTGAGCATGTGGTCAATCGGATTTGGCATAGTTCCTCTCATCACTTCGTCCTTCACGGAGGAATTCGGTCGCCTGAATATATACATCGTCTCATCATTTGCATTCATGCTTACGCAAATGACGATTGCCCTGTAAGTTCATTTTTCACAAACGTGACGCTGTTTCACAGACTATTACAGGTCACCGAACATACAGACCGTCATACTTGGACGTCTGCTCGGGGGCGCATTCGGCTCAACAGGTGCAACCTTGGTGGGTGGTTCGATCGCCGACGTATGGAAGCAACATGAGTTGGGCATTTTGAGATTTTTACTTGTTTGATCGCTACAGCTATCTTCACAGGCGTGGACAACCTATGGCATTCTTCGCTCTTGTTGCTGTGACTGGAACAGGTCTTGGGCCTGTAATTGCTGGTGTAATAGAGGCAAATCCTCGCCTTGGATGGAGATGGATTCAGTGGGTTCATGTTATGTTAGTCCCTTGGAACATATCACGCACATTGCATTGACTGAATTTTCCTGCAGGTTTACAGGGGCTTATTTCATCTCTGTTGTGTTGCTCATGAAAGAAACGCGTGCTACCATAGTTTTAACCCGCCTGGCAAGCAAGAAGCGAAAAGAGACAGGAGATGATAGATACCGAGCGAAAGCAGAGATTGAAAAACAAAAATTAAGCACTTTGATCAAGATTTCCTGCACACGGCCAATTTGTCAGCAAATTTCGCCGATGGTCTACACATATCAGCTGACATTTTATTTTTTCAGACCTCTTGCTGACGGAGCCTATCGTCCAGGGTTTCAGCGTAGGCTCTGCAGCTACTTTTTAGAGACGGAGCTAAACAGGAGTGTTTCTTTCACGCAGTTGTGGATTGGCTTTACATGGGGCGTAGTCTTTGCCCTTATAGAGTACGCCGTTCCATATCTTCGTGTTTACCGTCTAACCCAGGTATAGGTCTATCTCTGCCGAGTTCCAGGCGGTCTACGATTTTAACGTACAGAACACGGGATTTGTTTTCAGCACCCTCATGTGAGTCGACAGAAGCTGAAACTCGTGATGATGATTTACTATTGTGCGGCTTAGAGTTGGGAGCTTCATTGGATACTCTGCCAACATCTATCAGGAAAAGTTATATCAGTAAGCATGCGCTGGCCACATTGCACATCTATGGATCATCGACCTGTTCGAATTAGAAAAAATTATCCTCGGAAACGTCAGGAAGCGCGTCTTTATCTTCCTTGTGTTGCGGCATTCTTCATACCAATCGGGATATTCATCTACGCTTGGACAGCAAGACCGGAAATACATTGGATAGCGCCAGCAATCGGTCTCACTGTTTGTCCTACGCATCTCCGTCACAGTTGTGAGACTGACATTTCTCAAGATATTCATGTCCGGCGGATTTGTGATTTACATGGTGGTCTTCTTGTATCTCGCAGACTGGTGAAAATATTTTTGACCTGCGCGGTTGAATGAAACTCATCAATCTCATAGCTATGGGACATATGCATCGTCAGCCATTGCATGCCAAAGCCTGTGTCGTGAGTTCGTCTCCTGCACGCCTCTCACATCCTTTTTAATGCCACGAATCCCCAGGAAATTTGGCCGCATCAATCTTTCCTCTTTTCACGACACAAACGTTTGCTCGCTTGACGTATAGATGGGGTCTGACCGTGTTTGGATGCATAGGTGCAGCGCTCGTGCCCATTCCATGGGTAAGACAAAACCAGCTACCTGTTAGGTCAATATTAAATTGGGGCCAGGTACTTTTCTTCTATGGGTCTAGGATTCGTGCTCGAAGCAAGGTGTCACGAAAAATTCTAGAGGAAGAAGAGCTGGAAGACATGGATAAGTGACCAAACATTGCGGAGAAGCGAGAATAATATGCCATCCAGTATCAAAAATACTGAAACAAAGCGTGCCGGCGCTTTGAATGCAAATTATGTAGATTCACTTGTATTTGAATCTGATTGTGCAACTTGAAGACCCTGGGCGGATAGTGAGGACTGAGCGAGTGATGCCCGTGGTACGACTGGTCTTGCGCCTTCCCAACTTGGTACCGGCGAGCGTCCCTTGGCAAACTCCACCCGCTGGAAATAGGTTGGTGACAGGAACCCTTCATTGCCGTCTGTCAGGATAACGCCATTGGCGGACAAGTAGAACGGAACACCAGCATCGAGGGCTTTCTGCACATCAACAAAATCAGAATTTGCGAGGAGTTGCGCATCCTCATAGAGCGTAAATCGCAGAACGTGTGTAGATGAGGTTTTACCTACCGCTCATGACATCATCAGAGAACTCATGAGTCCTTGACATGGTAGCCGTGGGAACTATAGGAGGACACAATTCTGCTCCTGCTAAAGATGGCTATGTATACTGCGAGAAATTTGAGTTATCGACACATAGCGTGATTGTACCATCTCCATGCAACTAAGCTTCGTACATACTTTGTTTCATTGCTCACATGTACATGCGCAAGGATTTCGATGCTATTTCCGCAGCAAAGAATAGACGACAATATATTGAATATTTGATGCATAAAAAAATCCGTTATAGTACTAGACGCAAACTCACAGAATTCCAGGAGCCGCGCAGCGGCAAGCACTTGTAGTAATTAATATTAGTACAGGTTATATCATCCCGGGGAACGTTGGTTTTCAGTGATCATTAACTGCATCGCGTCGACCCGTTAGGCTAAGGCAATATCCAATCTCGGTCATACCTCAATTGGTATACTTATCATCGCGCGACCCCTGTGACGAATGCATCATTCAAGTTTCACTTTGCGTAAGGCAAAATCTGTGCCTATCGTAGAAGTCGGACGATCATCTAACTGATACTTTCATATGACAGCGATTAACACAGATAAGAACACCTTCGTTAGGTCGTGCACATCACGCAATCTACCTGTTTAACCCTGCGTGCACTTCCAAAACCTCCATCTGCTACCATTGTCTCCATATCCTGTAATCGAGCGCCGACCACGGGAACTCGTACCTTGCAAACATCGAAAACCATAGTAGCCTACTATGGTTTCGAGGAGAAGGCATTGTATTCGTGTATCAGTTGATAAGAATCCAGCCATTTGATACCAATGTGGTCCGTGATTCCATGCCGATTAGATAGAGCGGACCGGGGTCAAAGCTGCGAAGGCTGCAAAGCTGCCGGCGGCAGTAATCAGGAATATGAAGGAACTAATGAAGATATGAGGCAATATGTGCGGTTCCTGCACAGCGGCTGTAGAAGCTACTAGCACTGACCGGCTGGCAAGATGCGCGTGTAAGGGAAAGGCCGACAGTATGCTGATCCTTGCCGGAAGGTCAATCCTTATATTGTCCTCACTATTTCGAGACACGTTCTAATTGCGCATCGATGATCGACGCGTAAAGTACATACTGATGATCATTTCTGCGAAGACGCCTATCACAGACGCGATCGAGGACTTTTCCCCGACGACTCACTGTATGGTCTGCATTCAATACCCAGCTCATCAGCAATGATCATCGCAGCCTTCTCTCCAATGAGAAGCGCTGTCGAATATGTGTTCTAGAGAGACGCTTAGACAGCACGTCAATGATCCCGACCAGCACTCACTGTGCCAACATTTTTCGGCGCAATTGACATGTCCGCAACCTTGAGGTTTGTCACGCCGTAGACGTTTAGCCGAGCGTCAACAACCCCTTGATCTGCCCTCGGCTTCATGGCGCAAGTTCCGAGCTACACACTGCAAGGTTCAGGTACCTCATGTGAAAGCATGAAAGTTCAGCTGTACATACCGAATGCCATGTCGTTTGCTACTGAGTATCGATTCAGTATTTTAACATAATGATAGGGATGCGACATACCGCAGTCACGATTGTATCGATCGATCGCCTCGTCATCTTCTGCTGTGTAGATTAAGTCAGGCGCATTCAAGTCCACCGGACCGGTCGTTTCTCTGCAGACTGCAGCGCTTCCCTCTGGGAAACAAGGATGGCCGGCGGGGACTTCACCTCTGTATGAAGGCATGCCGTCGAAGAATTTCGCGCATCTTTTTGTATCCAAAGTTAAGAGGTACAATATCGGATGGACTGTGTGGATTATAGTAGTATTCAGTGAGATGAAATTGCCGACTCACTCATCAGGTAGCCTGTATTGAAGTCGATTCCTTCCTGGCCGTTCTCGTCCCATTTGATATGAATACTGCCGGCGGACGCGGGGTACAACTATTGGAAAATTCAGAACAAAGATTACGGGATAGTAGATGGGGGTAGTACTGTGAAATAGAAAGCAGCCAAGTAATTGCGAGGAGGAAGGCTCCTCGAGAGTGGCCCAACGTATCTGGTTATTGGTTATTGTGAGCATTCGTAAGTCATCAAAGCAAAATAATGTGTACACACCCTTCAGAAAGAGCAAATATTGCAACAGCCTTGTCTGGGCGGTCCTGGAAGAACTCCTTCCATCGTGGTTGAAAGGCTTGAACCCATGGCTTTCAGCTCGTCATCGTCAGGACGCCATTTGATTTTTGCATCGGTTCCACTGAAACTGCCAATCAATACGTCACCAGCATTGAAGGTTTTGTACCAACTTTTGGGCAATAAGTGACTTGCCATTAATTTTCCATTGCGCCAGGTGTTCTATAATATTTCCCTGGCGGTTAAAGGGACTCAGAATATGACAAGAACATGCTTACCCTGGACAACACTCCTTCCCACGCCAGAGGGAATCCATAGTAACAGCTCCATCAGCAGAAAAGTATGGAACAGAGACGATGTTGTGATCTCTTAACCCTAAGTTAACATTATGAGATAAATGGTTGAACACGGACCGCAATAATTTTCTCCGACGCCAGGCAAGTCCACCAGTTGCTGTATATCGCACCGCTTGAGAATCGCTTCGGCACCGATGCCAGACCTCTCGAGAATGGCTGGCGAGCCGAACGCCCCAGCAGTGACAACAACAAGCTTCGATGCTCTTACGATACTTGATGACTGACCTGCGTCTGGGCAAGACACTGGATCGCTGGTGAACTCGACACCTACGGCACGCTTATCTCTTTCATTCGAAAAAGACATCAGCAGTTGGACACGGCTGCAATCCAACTTGTTGTACAACACTCACCGGAAGATCACCGCTCCGCGCTTGCCGACCCATATCTGCAAATTTGCATTGTGAGCTTGGTTGTAGACATAGTGGTGGGCTGCATCAGAACGCCTTCCGGTTGTCCCGTCAATGTACCTTCTTATCTATGAGGTCAATTCACAAATAGATGACGAGCACAAGCTCACTTCGCCCATGACTGAAATGGATCTCGTTAGCGGACTCCACACACAGAGAAAGAAAATCAGGTGGCGCACACTGTATGTGTTGCATGTTTCTAAATCATCAGTGTCTTCGACATATTTCCTCTTGTGATACGTCGTGCCAACACGGATGAAACTCTTCGCTAGCACGTAGTTTGCATCCACCATAGGACACTTTGATAGGTCCACCGTACCCGTGGGTTGGGCGATCGGGCTGCACCTCATATGTCTCCAGCTAAGTAATGAATAGTTCAGCTTGAGAAATTAAAGATGATTCAATCAAGGACCTTCTTCATGAGGGGAATCAAGTTCTTAGATTCCCACCCATCGGCTCCCCAGTCATCAAAATCTGAGGCAGGCGCACGAGTGTAAACCATAGCTGACCGAGTCAACATATCCGAGTCAGAGCCATGCTATTTAGTCAAGAACGCTACGAACTATTCACACTTGACCCTCCACCAATGCAATGGGCGCACGAAACGATCGGAGCACGACCGTTGAGACGTGGACTTGGATTTCCAACGTTGAATGTCATGGTGGTACTTGTGGGCACATGGTGGCTTGTAAATCGGTAAGGCTGCACATGCACAGCTTGATTAAGCGTGTGTTGGCCCCCTTTGAGAATTAAGATACTAAGCGAGGGGTCCCATGCAGCCAGGCGGCCTGCGACAACACAAGCTGTGGTACCGCCTGAACCGCGATACAGCGTTATGTCAAGAGAATCACCATCAATTCAAGATGTATTACTACTCGCCTCCAGCAAAGATAATGTCGAATTCTGATATGACTGGATGAGACATCGAAGGGTATTTCAGGCGGGACCAATCATGTCAGTGCTGTCCAAATTTATATCCCTCGGTGGAGGCGAATAACAAAGACAGCGCTGGCACTAATTTCAGAAGGTTTTCCTGCATTGCTGTCATGCAAGCCACGAGTTTTAATAAACAGAGTGCAGTTTGAAATTTGAGCAATCGGCTTCGGAACGCGTGAGCCCGATAACGCGCAAGGCCGCACGCGGCAGAGCCCGCTACGGTCGCTTTTTCGAGCCATAACGTAAATCGATTGCAACAAATATCGTAGAGATCAACTTAATCCAGATGAGTCGCTTCGAGTGGTACAAATACAATTACAAGTTAAGATCAACTCAGAAGAGTCGCAACCCAGACGAGCCGTGAGGACGGCATCAGCAAACTACCGGTTTTGGATACAAGATTCCCACAGCGACACAACTAGCACAGCCCCACAGTGGTACAGCGCACAGAGCGCACAGAGTGACAGTGCGGCACAGTCTCGCACAGTGCACAGGGTCAGGCGATAAAATGTGATGTAAATTATAGATTAATATCAATATCTTGCTGGTCTTCATCAAAACACGAGATCTCGGAGAATGCATTTCACAGCGTG